GTCAGTTGGTTTTCTTAAAATAGAAGTGTGTAAATCTCCATTATCATATTTTGAGATTTTTATGTCTAGGAAACTAATTTCAAATGAGGAGAAATCTAGGCTAAGTTTCAAACTTTGTTAGTAGCGAAGCCTCGATGACGTCGACGGCTCGATTCTAAAAATTCGTCGACTGCCTGTGTTTCCTCTAGTTCGCCCTCTTCTCCGCCTTCACTAACATCTCCGCCAAATAACGAAGACCCGGAACAATGTCCTTCATAAAGGAGCTTCTTTCAGACATTAGGAGAGCTGTTTTGGCGGTAGCAGTCTCTCCTCTATGCTGGTCTGTTTGCTGCTGGGTGTTTTTGGTTTATTTAAACTTGGTAACTTGAACTTAACATTGGTAAAGCTACTGTTAGCGTTTTCGCTAACAGCTTCTTGCGTTTGGATAAGCTGTTACGTTTTGGTTTAGAGTTCATGTTTTTTGTGGCGTAGATCTCCCTTTTATTACATTTAGAGTGTTGTGGGTTTTTGGTTTCGTTTAAGATATCACCGTGAGTTTGGTTTAACCGCCCAGTTTAGAGTTTGGACCTTTGGAAATCCTTATTTTGGTCCAGAACCCTGTAATCTTTGCCCAGTGGGACATCCCTACTTATTTGTACTTTTGTTTTAATTTCCCACAGGCAGAATTAGTTTTATTATTCCCAACCTGTGGATGGAAAGATTTATGTTTTTTTGTAGTTCTAAATAAACCTGATCATCATTTTAACTTTTAAATCCCGTTATTGTCCCTTCCTTTTTGCACACGAGCCAAACTCCCCAGGAAGAGTCGTAACACCACTCACCTCACGCACATAAGTGACCAAAACAAAGCAGCATGGAGACACTCCGTCTCCAACCACCTCTCAGGCAGCAGCCTGCACTCCCAAGTTCTACACGTCACCAGAACATAACCAACCGCAACACAGTAAAAGCAGTGTTATACAAAATGGAAGGCCTGTAGTGTTTTTTCTCTTACAGTAAGAATTTATCAATTTTTTTGAGGAATTTATTAGAGATTTCTTGTTTTTTTTATTAACTGTGCAATAGAAAAATAATCATTAGATTAATTGTCTAAATAGTCATTCGAATAGTCGACTATTCGATAAAATAATCGTCAGATTAATCGTTTTAAAAATAATCGTTTACCCCCAGCCCTAGTTGTTCAGATATGAATGGAATTGAAGTAGTTCTGATTCTGAACCAGACCACAGCAGAATAATGTCATCAATGTATCTTCCCCACCACATCATCTTATCAGCATAGACATTACGATCAGAGTAAACATATGTTTCATCCCAAAGTCCATAAAAAGATTAGAGTAATTGGGTGCAAACATGCTCCCATTGCTGTACCTTTTTTCTGTCTAAATAAATGGTTTTGAAACAGAAACACGCTGTTGCATAGAGTCCTCTTCGCCAGCTGAAGGATGAAAGAAGGAGGCATATCTTCTGAATGTCTTTGGTCCAGGTAATAGGTTAGTGCTTCTAGTCCTTCTGTGTGGTTTTTAACTATTTAAGCCATGTACTAATAAAGGCTTTTTATTTTGTATCTCCTGAGTGCCTCAGATCTCCTTTTGTCAACATTTATGTGGATCCCTTGGCTGAAGAGCACCAGATAAAATTTCTTACACCCCTGCAGCACTTCCAGCATTTTTTCTATTTTCATGAAATAATCCATTGTTTGGAACAACACCCCCTTCACCACATTTTTAAGGATCTCGGGAGCTCTTTCAGTGGGCGAATGTTAATGCCCTGGTGCTCCACTGAACGTTTTAGGAACTCTTTTATTCCAGCTGCAGTGCGTTTTTACAATGAGCATTTCGTATGATTGTATATTTGATATTTTTATCATGATTGTGGCTTATAGCAGTGACCAGTGAATGTTTTATTGTGTGGATGTGCATGTTGTGTTTACTTGTCCAAGGCAATTCAATTTCCCCCTGGGGGATTAATAAAGTCAACCTCGAACCTTGAACCTTGAACTGGTTTGGGTTTGCTGCGACGTACGTGGAGCGTGGCACTTTTATTCCAAGAGGGTGTTCATTTATTCAGAAATGAGGGTTACATTTGTCTTGCTTGTGATTAAATAAAAAACTAAATTGGCTTTAAGATGCCTTCCATTTGTACTTATTGCAATTATTTATAATTGAGGAGGAACGAATCATAAAAAAATTCGTAAATCAAATACAAAAAAATAAAATTGGAGATTTTATTTTTAGGTCGTATCGCCCAGCCCTAGTAACACACCATGAGATCCTGAGGAGGTAAAAAATGTGATTTTCTTTTAAAGAGCAAGTCAACCCCTACCAGAGTCTAACTCCACTCTCACTTCATGTTTGAAAAATGCAACACATGCTGTTGCCTGGCAGACCGAGAAGGCGGAGCCGCTAACAAATACCCACACACATAGGCTCACGACAGCATTGTGACATCATAATGTACCAGTTTACATCATAGCATACCTCTTAGCCAATAGCGGTGGCAGATTTAAATTAAAATACAGTGCAGAGTTTTCACCTGACAACGGCACAACACTGCCAGTTTTAGGCAAAATATTTAAATTTTAACTAAGATGCACTGAAGTGCGAAATTATTGACTACATCTGTCTGCAGCACGATTAGACACTCGTTTATTTAGTTTATCAGCGAAAAAAAGCTTATTTGGGGGTGACTTGCTCTTTAAAGTTTTCTTTTATCTAACTGCTCTGTAAGGCAAGCAATTTGCTTTTGTTTTTCTCTTTTACATGTATAAATGTCTCTGCCTTCTAATAATGAACAACAACAGAAAAGTAAAAAAAAAAAAAAACAAGCGTAAACATCAAGAAAAAATTACTTGAGGTTTTTTATTTTTAGTTTGTAAAATGTCCCATTTGTTTAAATCAAAGGGGCGGGACACAGCATTGCACGTTTTAGCCGTTGGCTAATGCAGATTCAAATTCAATGTCTTGCATAGTTTCAAGCTGAAGATGGAACTAGACTTGACGTTTTTAGGCTGAATTTAGAGTTTTTAAAGAAAATGCACCAAAATGCAAAACGAATGACTACACATGTCTACAGCATATTAGACACTCATTTATACAGTTTATCAGCAAAAAAAGTTGATTTTGGTGTGACTTGCTCTTTAAAGCTTATACCGGAGTCAGCCACTAGAGGGCAGTTGGTTCCTTTTAGTTTAAATCGTGTGTCTCTAAAAGCTGCAATAGCAAATTTGGAAAACATAGTGTAGCTACAGATATATTGTGGTGATAAATAAGCAACAAAAATACCTAATAAAGTGGTTCTCTCACATTTGTAATAAAACCTCCACCAATAACACGTTTTGGACCAAAGCAACCATTAGACCATCTGGTTGTCTGTCTCGCAGAACCTCCACATTCACCCTGAGTCCTTCACTTTTACACATTTGATAGTTTAGCAACAGAACACCACTGGTGTGAGAGGTTCATGGTTCAATAATATCAGAGGAGGAGAAACAGCCGGCTGCTACCGCTTCAACTTTAGAACAAACTACCAGAGGCCCAAAAAGAAAAACACCTTTTAAATCCACGGACAACAACAGACATTTGGACCTAGAACGCTAGCGACTGGTGTTTAGCACTATCTCAGTTGCTCTGACAACGCGGGTTTTCGGTTCCGGCAGAAGTACCTCAGGGGTGGGGTGAGTGTTCCGTGATCGGGTTTACCTTCAAAACCTAGCTTGTTCTGTAGATTCACTAAAGCAGCTTTAAAGAGCAAGTTGACCATGTTTTATTTGTTATTTTTGACACCCGTCACTATGAGTTTCACTCACAGCGTAAATGTGAAAATTGTTTTCTACACACAATTTGCTGCATTTGCCACTGATAGAAAATAGACGAGGAGATGCGCGGGTCAGAAAAAGCAACACAGATCTACATTAAATTGTCCGTTCATGGACTCATCCATCTCGGCTTGTGATTGCGGGAGGTTGTTTGGATTTAGTGTCCAGGGGAGAACAAATTGCCTCTTAGCTAGTAGACGCTAACCGTTAGCATTAGCAACTCCACAACAAGGCAGAACTCCTTTAGTCTTGTGTTATCTGTGGAGATAAATCATCAACATTGCAGAGTGAATGGAGGCAGTGGAAGAGTAGTGTTGCTGTTAACCAATCAATCAATCAATCAATCAATCAAATTTTATTTCTAAAGCGCTTTTCAAACAAAGTGTGATTCAAAGTGCTTTACAAAATGACCCCAGATTCCCATAACAGGTTAAAAACATTAACAAACATATGCAAGCACACGCACACACAGACTCACACACACACAAGTAAAAATTATATTAGGCTGAGTCCAGATGAGCCAAGTATGGTGACGCAAGGAAACGCCATCAGAGGAGCCGTCTGCCCCGGCAGCATCAGGTCTTCCACACTAAGTCAGGGCGCTCAGTGGAGGGGGAGCATAGACCCCCACCTATAGAGCGCCCAGGAAGCTACAGTCGACCACCGCTCCCGGGGCAGAGGGCCCCCACAGAGGAAACACTGGATTAAAATGAGTAAAAATGTAATAAAAGAGCTAATATAAATGACAAAAGTTAGAAAATAAGTAATAAATAAAATGATATAGACAGTAAAATAATAATTTCAATAATAAAAGTGTGCTAAAGTATAATTATATAGAACATGCAAAGCAAGTAATAAAATATAATCATGTAAAACGAAAAATAAATCAGAAGCGAGATGTCTGAGTATCGTAAATATTAATGAGTAAGACACCAAACTGCTGTTTTCTGTTCCCACTCCTCCGGTTAACTTCTACTTCCTGAGAGTTTTTTACGACAGGGAACGACTCATAAGGCATTCATTTATACTAGAGACCACAGCAAATGTATTGAATGAGAGGTTTAATGATTTTAGAAAAAAAAACAATTTTTTTGTGTAAAACATTAGTAAGTTTCTACATCAGGTGATAGCATGAAGTGTTTTTCAGGAAGTTTTCACTTCGCTGATGTTGTGTCTTCTCTCAGGTTGGATCATGTTAACGTGGTCGCAGCCCGAGAAGTTCCCGAGGGGATGCAGCAACTCGTAGCCACCAATGATCTGCCGCTGATGGCCATGGAGTACTGTCAGGGCGGAGATTTGAGAAAGGTGTGGATGTTGGAGAACATGTGCATAAGCATGATTTGATTGGCTTGTTACCACAAGGGTTGAGTCTCTATTTTAGTTTTGAATTTATACTTTTGTCCACATTTCCCGTCAGATTTTATTACGTTTGTGCTGAATACTTTCTAACGTTATGCTGGCGTTTACCACCTGTTCTCATGTTGATGATTTGTATAAATTCTTTTTAGTCCTTTGCACCATCCAGTTGTGACAATTTGAAAATAAAGTCTGACTTAGATATGAACATTTGAAGTTTTAAAAGCTACTTTAAATTCATTAGGAAACTTCAGAGATTACAAACAATCCAGTAAAAGTGTTTTCTGCTCGAGTTTATGTTACTCAGATCGTAAACGTGTGTTTCTGCAGTATCTGAACATTCTGGAAAACTGCTGTGGAATGCGCGAGGGATCCATTCTGATCCTGCTACGTGACATTTGTGAGTATTTGTTTCACTCTCCAGCTTCAGAGTGATTGCTAAAGCCTTTCATATCATGTGTGAGGGAGATTTAATTAACTGATCGGGTGAGCTAAGAGAGTGCTCCCTGGTGAGGAGTATCGTGATGTCATCCATGAGCCAAAACCCCAGCTGCTTAGTCACCACGGCGATGGCTCCCAGTCATACTTGAGTCATTTGTCGAACACTCCCCTTGTGTGTCACAAACAAGCATCAACACACACACTGTGTGTCTTAAACAATATAAACAAGTTAGTGGACGTTGCCTGATAATGACAGGAAACTCCACGAGGAAGCAGGCCTCCCCCTACACAATGTTTATCCACAAAGTTCAGACTCTGTTTTTATAAAATGCGGATTTTCAAACCTCCCCAGATACAAATTAAAGAAAATGTTTGTGCATATTCTCACGGATCTGTGCTACGTTCGGTTTAAAAGGAAGGAGGCCCTGTTTAAGATAGCATGGTTTGAAAATTGTTATTTTTCCAAACATGACAGACCTCACTTATAAAATTCATGGATAAACCAGTTATGGTTCTTCTGTGTGGACACACAGCAAAACTACACACATCAAGTTCCTGCACAAGCATTCCCTAGCCGGATGGGAAATCTCTGGCGGAGGAGAAGCAGTGCTTCCATCACCTGGCTTTCCGATGATTCTGGCTAAAATGTCACTTTCAGGAATAGGAAGCACACTTGTTTGCCCTCAAAATCAGCTCAAGACAATCCAACATATTTACTGTCCCTGATGTATGATCAGAGAAATCCCGATGTGCGTCCGAGCAGACCAGATTGATCCTAAAACACCACACTGTATGGGAATTTCAGATGAATTTGTTTTTAGACTCATTACGGTAATCGGACACATCTTAAGGTTGACAGAAGGCGAGGATCGGGTCAAAAATCTGTGTACTTAGCTCACTTTGTGAACCGGGCCTTACTGAAAGTATAATCGATACTCATGACAATGTTCATTCCCGCATTCCTGTGGCAGCCTGCCCCCCAATTTTATCTGCACCTTAAACACTTCCACCAACGATGTTCCACGCAAACACACACTTAGGGCCTTGGGAGTGAGCACATCCAACGGCATTTGGCAGGGGGATATCTCAGCCTCCTCCCGGGTGCCGGTGCCCACTCCCAATTTTAAACTGCACTTAGACACCGAGGGCTGTGGGTGCAAGTGGGGCGGTGCGGTGGCATCAGCTGGCATAGGCCAGACGATGCCACCGCACTGCCCGCTCACCACAGCCATGGGATACACCTCATCAACACTCACTAACACCATATTGGAGCGGAGGGAGACTAGGGGGTCTTAGCACACCTCTGTTGTTGCTTGGCTTCCTGGGGCTGGAGGCTAGGAGGGAGATCTGGCTGTCTGGTTGGGGTCTGGGGTGGTGGGTCGCTGTGCTCAGCGTTGGGCGGGGGAGCCTGCTCATCAGCACCCCAGCAGAAAGGGTCAAACTCATCTCCCCTCCCCCTGCCGCACCTGGTGTGGAGTGTGGTGCCTTGGTCTGCCTGTGTGTTCGTGGCTCCCGGGTCAGGGGGTTTAAGATTTTTGGCGTCTGCCTGATCAATCCCGGTGGCTGCCTGGTGGGGTCTGGGTCCCTGGGCTCTGCTGGGTTCCCGGCGGGGGTGGTCGCCCCTGGGTCCCGGGCTCGGCCGGCTAGGGGTTGGGAGGCTGCGGGCAGGCCTGTGGCCCCTCACTCTCTCTATTGGACGCTCCTATAGAGAAACCTTACATAAACAAGCGAGTGTACACACACAGGTGCTCACATGGTGCTCTCATAAGTATGGACTTGGGCACGTTCAACACTTGTCTTAAGACTGTGGTTGGCACTAAATGCACTGTGATTTATTATCGTGTGATTGTTCAGTTAAACAATGTTGATTATATATTTCTTCAAGTTGACGCAGTGATAGCTTGATCTTGTTGTATTGTTGTGTTCCATTTTATTTCTCTTCTTCTCCCTTTCTGCAGGTCTAGAAGCAGACTCTTGTTCATTATTGTTTATTTTTGTGGAAACCCCCCTCTTCCCACCTTTTGTCTTTTCCTTTCTCTTTCACCTCTGACTCCGTCTCTGTTTGGAATTACAAAGCATCCAAAACCAATAACAGTAAAGTTTTAAGTATCAGGCGTGACATTAAAAGCAGACGATTTGATGCTCCACCTGAGAGTAAATCTGTAAGGCTTGTTACCAGCATTCAGACATCAGTTCTGTTTGCTTCACAGCCAGACAGGACATGAAAAAAAAGACAGTGTTCATGCACAAAGCTAGAGTAACTACATACCATAAGGTCCAGTTGAATGAATGGACCTCACCAGCACACACACCAGTAACTCTGTGACGCACAAGCTTGATGGCTTCAGAGTTTTATTATTACAGTCAGATTAAACATTTAAAAATCTGCTTTTAAACATGATTTTGATGTTTTTTCTGGTATTTTAAATGTTGGTAGTGTTTTATTGCTTTATGTTCACAGGAACTCTTGACTTTTCTTAAAATTAGTCATTCTTTGTTTCTTAAGTTAAAATCGTCACTCCCAGCTTCCTTTGTTTTTGCTCCAGAAATGCTAAGTAATTGGAAAATAAAATCATGATTAGTAGCACTCGAGCTTTCAGTACTTGTTTCAATGAACAATACTGAATATTAAAGTTTCATGATGAAATTAAAGAAGTATTCATATTCTGATTACGTTTTAAAGGTGCAATTTGTAAGAATTATACAATGAACTAATGGCTAAACAGTCAATCATGTTGGAAGGAAAGTCATACTGAAACGGATTTCATTGTCAGCCGGCTAGGGTGTTGTCAAAACGTCCCAAAAACGATAAACGATATGTAGTTACTGTTTACAGCTTCGGTGTCTCCTTTCCTTCTAACTCTGATTTTAGTTGTGCTATCTCATTTTTCCTTTTCCCAGCTTCAGCTCTAATGTACCTCCATAGCAACAGGATCATCCATAGAGACCTGAAACCAGAAAACATTGTGCTGCAGCAGGGAGAGAAGAGGGTGAGTTACAGATCCACTGAAGACAAAGTGCACCAAAACCACAACTACAAGGCTCTTGGAACTTCTATTGTGCAAGAAATGATTGCATGTTGTACCCCAGCTTTAAAAAGAAAACAGGAAAATCTTGTATAACTGAGGCCAGACATTAAAGAGGTTATATTCATGTTTATGCAAAATCTTCTGAGTTTATAGAAACTGAGCCTGACCAGCTTAATCAGTTTAAGTTTATAGGTTTGCATTAAAATTTGTTTCTTCTTTTGCTTACAAAATACCTTAGTTTATGAGGTAAAATTAAATGTTTTAAGAAAAACTGATGAGGATCGACACCTCCAAATCTGAGACCATGGTTCTCGGCCGGAAAAGGGTGGCTTGCCAACTCCGGGTCGGGGGAGAGGTCCTACCTCAAGTGGAGGAGTTTAAGTATCTCGGGGTCTTGTTCACGAGTGAGGGTAGGAGGGATCGGGAGATCGACAGGCGGATCGGTTCGGCGTCTGCAGCGATGCGGACGCTGAGCCGATCTGTCGTGGGGAAGAGGGAGCTGAGCCAGAAAGCCAGGCTCTCGATTTACCGGTCGATCTACGTCCCAATCCTCACCTATGGTCATGAGCTTTGGGTAATGACCGAAAGAACGAGATCGCGGATACAAGCGGCCGAAATGAGTTTCCTCCGTAGGGTGGCCGGGCTCAGCCTTAGAGATAGGGTGAGGAGCTCGGACATTCGGCAGGGACTCGGAGTAGAACCGCTGCTCCTCTGGATCAAAAGGAGCCAGCTGAGGTGGTTTGGGCATCTGGTCAGGATGCCTCCTGGACGCCTCCCTGGGGAGGTGCTTCGGGCATGTCCTGCCGGCAGGAGGCCCCCGGGTCGACCCAGGACACGTTGGAGAGGTTACATCTCCAATCTGGTCCGGGAACGCCTTGGGGTCCTGCCGGAGGAGCTGGTGGAGGTGGCCGGGGAGAGGATGGTCTGGAGCTCCCCAGTTGGGATGCTGCCCCCGCGACCCGGACCCGGATAAGCGGAGGAAGACGACGACGAGGAAAAACTGATATTTTATGTATTTCATGGCGCATTCAGTTCAGCAGTTACCAACGTGTCAAGCGTTTTTGGGCTTTTTTCTTTTTTAGCTCATCCATAAGATCATAGACCTTGGCTATGCTAAAGAGTTGGACCAGAGCAGCCTTTGCACATCCTTTGTGGGAACTCTGCAATACTTAGTAAGTAGTACAAAGTAAAGGCTTGCACACCTGATTTCCTCCCCACTTTTCTAACGTCTAATATCTTTATTTCAGGCACCAGAGCTCATAGAAAGGCAGAAGTACGACGTCACCGTGGATTACTGGAGCTTTGGCACTTTAGTGTTTGAGTGTATTACGGGATTTCGTCCTTTCTTACCGACCTGGCAGCCTGTTCCCTGGTAAATTCTGTTCAAATGTAAATTCTGTTCAAGTTTTACACTTTAAAAAGTCACATGTACCCGTTCAGATGAGCTTTTTCCTCATGGATCCAGCAGCTTTTCATTCTATTACGTGAACATTAAGAGTACTTCCAAAAGTAATGAGAACGTTTACCTTTCCACTACCTTCTAACCTGTTACAGTCATAGTTTAGGAATCTGTACAATGATGTTTTCTTGTGTTCAGAATGGATGAACTTGAATAAAAGTAAATGTTTTTGTGTGATTGTTGGACTTGAGCTCGAGTTGGTTTAAAAAGCACAGGAGCAGCTAATGAATTGCAGGATATGTGAGGTGTGCCAACATCAGCGTTCTTTTCTTGTTCTTCGTAAAACGTGATGAATGATGTGAAGCGCTGGGGGCATTGAGTTATTTAGAGGAAAACTACTCCTTAGCCCTAGCAGGGACAAGTGAAAACATGAGAATGTGCTTGTCTCGTGGTCCATCTGTATCCTTCTAGGCACAACAAAGTCAGGCTGAAGCAGGACGATGATATTGTGGTTTACGAGTCTCTCGCTGGAGAAGTCTGCTTCTCCAAACATCTGCCTCAGCCCAACAATCTCAACAGGTGATTGTATACCCCGACAGCTGTCAAAAGGGTTATTCTCTAATGCAGATGTGGTTACTGTTGTCTGCCAGTCTGCTGCTAGAAAAGATGGAGAGTTGGTTGCAGCTGATGCTGAAGTGGTCTCCTAGGAAGAGAGGCAAGGAAGGCAACTCCTTCTCCCAGCTGGAGCTCATACTGCAGCTCAAGGTCAGCAAAGAACATGAGAGTTGTATGGTTGTTTATTTTATTTTATGTTTTCTGACTTGTCTCTTTCCTTTCAGCTGGTTCATGTCCTGAACATGATGTCGGCTAAAATCCTGACGTACAAGGTCGCAGAGGATGAAACTGTGGCCAGCCTGCAGCTGAGGATAGAAAAGGACACGAACATCCCTGCAGCCAATCAGGAGCTGCTGCTGGAGGCGGGGCTGGCGCTGGAGCCTCAGGCTCTGGCCACGCAGTGCGCCATCGATTACACAGTAAGGATATCTGACGTGCAAAGCATGTTTGTCATGATCACACGTTCCACTTCTGAATGAGAGCTGTAGCGTTTGTATCATCGGTCTGCAGGAGATAGATGGACGTCGGACAGATTTACCTCTGGTCTTCCTGTTCGACTGCTCCTCCTGCTCATACGAACCCCAGTTTGCTCCCCGGACTCTTCCTGAAAATATCCGCTTTGTCCGTAAGTACGAAGCCTGTGATGTCAGGAAAAGCCGTGCTCAGTAAATTTTATTTCATTTATTTTCGTGTCAGCTAGCATAAATGAAAAAAATGAGTGTAGAGGCTGAGAACTCCAAACTGACAGGTGTCATAATTAAATATAACAAATGAACTGACAGCTAGGAGACTTATTTTAACACTGTTAAAAGGCGTTCGTGCTAGATCTTTCTCTGAAAGAGTAGCAATGACCATCCTTTCTTTAAAGACGCTTCCGCAGCAGCTTTTCTCGGTTTTATTAACAAACATGGACAGTTTAGGCTGCCACCCCCGCGACCCGACCCCAGGTAAGCGGCTGAAAATGGATGAAGATTCAGACAAAAAGGCTTCATGTTGAGGTGAAGCGTGTCAACGTGAGACACACCCAGAGCACTTGATTAGTTATTGTGACCCATGTTGGCATTATCCAACAACCAATGGGTCAGCTCCTCCGGGTAAATCTTGAGGTGTTCCCTGGCCAGCCGAGAGACATGGTCCTTCCAGTGTGTCCTGGGTCTTCCTTTAGGTCTCCTTCCGGTTGGACGAGCCCGAAAAACCTCCCCAAGGAGGCGTCCAGGAGGCATCCTAACTAGATGCCTGAGCCACCTCAACTGGCTCCTCTCGGAGTGAAGGAGCAGTGGATTTACTCCGATCGCCTCCTGAATGACCGAGCTTCCCACCCTATCTCTAAGAGCCCAGCCACCCTGCAGAGAAAACTCGTTTTGGCTGCTTGCATCTGCGATTTCGTTCTGTCAGAACCCAAAGCTAGTGACCGTAGGTGTGGGTAGGAACAGAGATTGACCACTACTACTCCCGCATCATTGCACCAATCCGCTTACTGATCTTGCGCTCCATTTTTCCCTCACTCGTTAACAAGACCCCAAGATACTCCTCCACTTGAGGCAGGACCTCGTCCCTCGCCTGGAGAAGGCATTTGACCCTTTTCCAACTCAAGATCACATTCTGATGAAGCCAACAGGACCACATCATCTGCAAACAACACCTCGACTGCGCCTGGAAATCCTGTCCATAAAGGTCATGAACAGAATCGGTGACAAAGGGCAGCCTTGACGGAGTCCAACTCTCACTGGAAACAAGCCCGGCTTACTGCCGGCAATGCTGACCAAGCTGTGACACCGGTCATACAGGGACCTAACAGCCCGTATCAGAGGGCCTGGTACCCCATACTCCCGGAGTACCCCCCACAGGGCCCCCCGAGGGACGCGGTCAAACGCCTTCTCCAAATCCACGAAACACATGTAGACTGGTTGGGCAAATTCCCACGCACCCTCCAGGATCCCCCTAAGGGTATAGAGCTGGTCCAGTGGTCCACGGCCAGGACGAAAACCACATTTTTCCTCCTGGATCTGAGGTTCAACAATCCGACGGACCCTCCGCTCCACAACATCTGAATAGACCTTACCAGTGAGCCTCAGGAGGGTGTTGTCTGGGTTAGGGTTAGAAGAATAAATCATTCCTTTCCCTACTCAAAGGTTGTGTTGATATTGAACAAAATAGTTTTGATAATGATTTCTTAATAACCAAGCAGCTCCGATTCTGTGTTATTTTTAGTTATAAACATACACCAATACCGTGTTTTTCTCTCTTTTTCTCATAGAAACCGACCCGAAGCATCTCCTCCCATACAGCAATCTGAGGAGGACATGCGGTCAGGCATGGCACACCATCCGCTCTCTAAAGGAAGACTGGCAAAGGCTGCAGCAGGGCCAGAAAGCTGCCCTGTATGACCTAGACACTACATTAGTACACACGTGCACTTGTTTGACAAAAATAAGAAAACAGAAACACCTCCTGCTTCTTTCAGCATGAGCCTGCTGAGACACAACTCGTCACTGTCCAAGCAGAAGAATGAGATGGTGTCCATGTACCAGAGACTCACGGCCAAGCAGGAGTTCTTCAGCACCAGCCTTCACGTCGACATGGACAAATATCAGGAGCAGACATCCACGGGGATAGGTGCACAACCGAAATATTTGTGACTTAAAAGACAAATTTAGTACGAATTCTGTGCCTCTGACTAATGTTTTTTATGTTTGAAGCATCAGAGAAACTTCTGGGTGTTTGGAGGGAAATGGAGCAAACTGCCATCAGTTGTAGTAAGGTAGGTTTTGAGTGAATTGAGTGTGTGTGTGTGTTTGTAAAGAGTTCCCTTTAAAAGACTTGGATGTGTGTGCGTGTGTGCGTGCGTGCGTGTGTGAAGGCCAAAGTGGTGGAACTGGAGGAGGAGATGATGAAGCTGCAGCCAGACATCGTTGATGTGCAGAGGCAGCCATGGAGGAGTGGAGAGACCTTGGAGACACTGTAAGTCTACATCATAATATACAGGTGCTGGCCAGTAAATTAGAATATCATCAAAAGGTTGAAAATATTTCAGTAATTCCATTCAAAACGTGAAACTTGTACATTATATTCATGCAATGCACACAGACCAATGTATTTCCAATGTTCATTACATTTAAATTTGATATTCATAAGTGACAACTAATGAAAACTCCAAATTTGGTATCTCAAAAAATTAGAATATTCTGAAAAGGCTGAATATAGAAGACACCTGCTGCCACTCTAATCAGCTGATTTACTCAAAACACCTGCAAAGGCCTTTAAAAGGTCCCTCAGTCTTGTTTTGAAGGCACCACAATCATGGGGAAGACTTCTGACTTAACAGCTGTCCAAAAGACAATCATTGACACCTTGCACAAGGAGGGCAAGACACAAAAGGTGATTGCTAAAGAAGCTGGCTGTTCGCAGAGTTCTGTGTCCAAGCACATTAACAGACAGGCGAAGGGACGGAAAAAATGTGGTAGAAAAAAGTGTACAAGCTCTAGGGATAACCGCACCCTGCAGAGAATTGTGACGACAAACCCATTCAAAAATGTGGGGGAGATCCACAAAGAGTGGACTGCAGCTGGAGTCAGCGCTTCAAGAACCACCACGAGGAGACTCATGAAAGACATGGGATTCAGGTGTCGCATTCCGTGTGTCAAGCCACTCTTGAACAAGAAACAGCGCAAGAAGCGTCTCGCCTGGGCCAAGGACAAAAAGGACTGGACTGATGCTGAGTGGTCCAAAGTTATGTTTTCTGATGAAAGCAAGTTCTGCATTTCCTTTGGAAATCAAGGACCCAGAGTCTGGAGGAAGAGCGGAGAAGCACAGAATCCACGTTGCATGAGGTCCAGTGTAAAGTTTCCACCGTCAGTGATGGTGTGGGGTGCCATGTCATCTGCCGGTGTTGGCCCACTCTGTTTCCTGAGGTCCAGGGTCAATGCAGCCGTCTACCAGGAAGTTTTAGAGCACTTCATGCTTCCTGCTGCTGACCAACTTTATGGGGATGCAGACTTCACCTTTCAACAGGACTTGGCACCTGCACACAGTGCCAAAACCACCAGCACCTGGTTCAAGGACCATGGTATCCCTGTCCTTGATTGGCCAGCAAACTCGCCTGACCTTAACCCCATAGAAAATCTATGGGGTATTGTGAAGCGGAGGATGCAATACGCTAGACCCAACAATGCAGAGGAGCTGAAGACGACTATCAGAGCAACCTGGGCTCTCATAACACCTGAGCAGTGCCACAGACTGATCGAGTCCATGCCACGCCGCATTACTGCAGTTATTGAGGCAAAAGGAGCCCCGACTAAGTATTGAGTGCTATACATGCACATTCTTTTCATGTTCATTCTTTTCAGTTGGCCAACATTAGAGAAACAAACATTTTTTCATTGGCCTTTAGAATATTCTAATTTTCTGAGATACCAGATTTGATGTTTTCATTGGTTGTCACCTATAAATATCAAATTTAAATGTAATGAACATTGGAAATACATTGGTCTGTGTGCATTGCATGAATATAATGTACAAGTTTCACGTTTTGAATGGAATTACTGAAATATTTTCAACCTTTTGATGATATTCTAATTTACTGGCCAGCACCTGTAGAAATAGAAGTTAAAGAAGTAACTGCCGTTTGAGGTCACATTTCCTCCTTTTGATCCACAGTGAAGGCAAAGCCATGGAGCTGTTCCGCAATCTCAGAGAGAAACCCAGAGGTTTGGACTTTTTTGGGGGGGGGGGGGGGGGGGGGGGGGGGGGGGGGGGGGGCTCATCGTGGTGCCTTGCATGTGAGAACAAACCTCATCTGACATCATTTTGGTTTTCCTTCCTCAGAACAGAGATGTCCTGGAGACAGCCAGGAGTTGGTGCGTCTGGTATTACAGGCCGTGCAGTTCTACGAGAGGAAGCTGAAAGATTTCTACACACACCTCAGGTACTCCCTCACGAGCATGCAAGGTTTTATGCAAATCAGTTCTCTGATCCTTTTCAGCTTAGAGCAGCAGAGAAGCGTTCCTGATTAGTTACACTTTTGATTTTTTCCAGCTTACAGAGGCGAAAATGCTAAAGTAGGTAAAAAGTTGATAATTTTTTGTGTTGCAGTCATTTGAAAGGTTTTGAACTTTTTAAAATAAGTTTTGAATGTGAAGCGTTCCTTAAAGAGTGTAACAGCCTTTCACATTTAATTTTTATTAGTTGTTTTTTTATTTGACTGTTTGACCCCATCTAGCGGTGAACTACAGAGGGAACAATTGTTCTGGTTTTTGGTTCCGCCTGACCGTTTTTTGTGTTGCACTCACGCTGAACTCACATGTTGCAGCTGCTCATTAATTAATTCCACTTGTAAGAGAAAGAAATTGCAATAAAGAGAAGACATAACCGAGGAAGGAGATAGAGAAGATGATACTAAGACTATAAAGGACTATTTAGACCCTTATGGATGTCTCGTCCCGGGAACTCCAAAAAGGGTGGGTACTCTGAACTGATATTTGGCCCATAAGCACAAACAACAGTCAGAACCTGTTCCCCGACCCGAAGGCGCAGGGAAGCTACCCTCTCGTCCCCCGGGGTAAACCCCAACACACAGGCAGAGAGTCTCGGGGCTAACAAAAAGCCAACCCCAGCCCTCCGCCTCTCACCCGGAGCAACTCCAGCAAAGTAGAGTGTCCAACCCCTCTCCAGGTCTCGCGTTCCAGAGCCAATGCTATGTGTCGAGGTGAGTCCGACTATATCTAGCCGGTACCGCTCAACCTCTGCCACAAGCTCCGGCTCCTTCCCCGCCAGCGAGGTGACGTTCCATGTCCCAAAAACCAGGTTTCTTGTCCGGGGATTGGACCGCCAAGGCTCCCGCCTTGGTCTGCCACCCGATTCGCATTGCACCGGACCCTTCATGTTCCTCCTGCGGGTGGTGGGTCCACAGTTGGATGAGCCCATGTATTCGGTTCGGGCTGGGCCCGGCCGGGCCCCATGGGCGAAAGCCCGGCCACCAGGCGCTTGCTCACGGGCCCCAACCCCAGGCCTGGCTCCAGGGTGGGACCCCGGTAACCCTCCGGGACGGGTATTCAGACTCTTTGAATTTACTTCCATGAAAGATCCTCTGAACCGTTCTTTGTCTCACCCTTCACCTGAGACCCATTTGTCCTGGGAGACCCTACCAGGGGCACAAAGTGCCCCAGACAACATGGCTCCTAGGATCATTAGCGCACTCAAACTCCTCCAGCACGATAAGGTGACAGTTTCCTTCTTTTCTTTTTTCTTTACTTTCTTTCTTTTCTCTTTTCGTTTCTGTCTTTTCATTTCTCTGTTCTTTCTTTTCTTTTCTCTTTTCTTTCTTTTCTCTTCTTTTTTCTTTTCTTTTCTCTTCTTTTTTCTTTATTTTCTCTTTTCTTTCTTTTCTTTTCTTTTCTTATTTTTCTTTCTTTTCTCTTCTTTTTTCTTTTCTTTTCTCTTCTTTTTTCTTTATTTTCTCTTTTCTTTTCTTTCTTTTCTTTTCTTGCTGCCATTTTAAGGCCATCCAATCCTGTTATATTTTTCAGCTGATCTGCAGCAGATTTTCCTATTCCATAATTATTATTTGTGTGTGTGTGTGTGTGTATGTGTGTGTGTGTGTGTGTGTGTGTGTGTGTCTTCTGCAGTAAGACAGCCGTGTGCCGTCGCCGTGTGATGGAGCTGCTGCCGAAGGTGGAGGGCGTGGTCCAGGAGATGGTGGAGAACGAACAAGTCCTGATGAGTTTGCAGGAGAGGCGGCAGAAAGAGTTGTGGAACCTGCTCAAAGTCGCCTGTGTGAGGAAAAGCAAAAAAGTGCTCCATCTTCAGACAGAACGCCTGTGAAACAGATAAGTGTGTTGAATAATTTTGTCTTTTCTAGAGCAAAGTTCGGAGCCCAGTGAGCGGCAGTCCTGATGGACTTCGAACCTCCTCATCGGTCCCGCCCCTGTTGACCACCGGGCACAGCCTACAGCAGCTGTGAGCTGACTCAAACACACATCACGCAAATATTTCAAGTTAGTTTCAGAGTAATCCTCTCCCCCCACCTCTCACACTAATGCCGTCTAGTTTTCTTTAAGCACAGAGTCACAGGATCTCTAAAAACACAGACATGCTCTGATTTATGTGTCAACGCCGTGACTAACATCTGCATGTATCACATTGTCCGCAGCGACGAGTCTCTTGTGGAGGAGAGCAAGGCGTATGAGAGCCACCTCCAAAGTTTGATGCACAACACCATGCAGGAGTCAGTGGGCAGTATGGAGGTACATGGACACTCATACTCAACACACTGAGGCTGTTTTTGTGTGTTTCTAAAATAGGTGAGATGTTTAAAAGCCAATCTCTTGTTCCAGATGTTGAGGGAGTGGGTGTGGCTGCGTGGGGACCAGAATTTCTCCAGTGACCTCTCCTGAACTTGGTTTGGCTCTGCAGTGACACGTGGTGCTCTACTACCTCCATGTGGATGTGCTGCTGAACGGCACAAGGAAGTCACAACTCCAAACCAAAGCTAATTTGACAAATTCTAAAATTTATAGTAGGTTCAGCGAACTATGAGCTTATTAATTTACCACCATCTGGTGTTTTGCTTTATTATTTCCAGCTAAATTCATTCCTATAGTCTGGATTGCACAACCTCTCACAACCTCAAAACTAGTTTTTTCTCAGAGATTAAAATTGGGGTAGGCCGATATCAGTCGGCCAATATATCAGGCCGATACTTACCGTTTTTTATATGTCGGCTGATATTTATTCTTAGTGAAGCCGATTTAAAGTCAGGCACATCCTCGGGCAGAATTTCATTTAAATGTATTTTTACTTTCAAAAATAACCTCTACATAATAAATACTCTAGAGTTCAAAAACTGATTCAGCTTCAGAAATTTTGCATCAGTGATGTTATTAGTGACATTTTAGCGTGAAAATAGGTTGGTAAATGTCTATATATCGGCAAGGAAAATCAACCAATAAAAATCAGTGGGAACCACCAATTCGATTTATGCCGCGCAATTCTGGCGTAGCTCCAGAAAGATTCTGCTGCTGCTGAGCAGACAGCCAGCACGTCTACTATATATTGGCATCAGTATCGGCAATAGAAAAACCAACATCAGTCGACCTCTGGTTTGAAAGTAGATTTTCTGTGACTTCAATAAGATAAAAGCTCGTTAAGGATCAACGTAAAGGTGTAGCAGTGTAAAGCGTCAGATTTAGGAGATTATTGCGCTTTAAAGACCCACTCTAATAAAAATCGTGTGTTTTCTGTTTTTAACGTACTCTTGAGGCGTTGTTCTTATGCTACAGGACACAGTTAAAGAAATTTGAACTCAAAATTGCATTTCTGAGTATTTCTGCCTTCAAATCGCTGTGAATCAGTTGTAGATGAAAAAACTACTACTACAACTTACCGGCTTTGTTACATCACAAAGCCACTGGGCGGAGCACAAACTCCACTAAGAAGATGGATAGCTCAACTAGCAAGGCACCTGCCTTGCACACAGGGGATCTGGGTTGGAATCCAGGCCGAGCCATACCAGATACTGGCTCAGATGTCAGATATATATATATGTATATATATATATATATATATATATATATGACATCTGAGGTTGTATCAACTAGTCGACTTCACTGCTCTGTAGTGACTTTTTATGCCTGTCATCGACTAGTCTCTGTCACGTGATAATGACCGACAAGATGCAGTCCTCGGAAAAGACAGCAGGTGACAAGCTCCTGCGCGTCGGGAGGCAACGCGCTGTGCCAGAGCGTCGGTACTGACACCCGCCGTAAAACGGACATTTAACCAAATTGTGACCTTTACCCTCTTGAAATTTAACCTTCCCCTCACTTCCATCCTAACCTTAACCAGCTTGCGCATGCAAAGCTCTGATTGTTGACGCACTCCAGACATCTGCGTCCTGAGCACGGCCACAGTAACATTATCAAATCAGGTGTCGCCACCTCAAAAACTAATTTAACTCGCGATCGTTCACGTCGGCTCATTTCCTTTTATGTTTTCTGTCTTTTATTCTTTTATTTCTGCCTGATGCGTTTCGCTACTGTGGATCAGGGCGCATCACCTGTTTTGTCCTCCGGTGACGCACCTAACTGATGCGGCCGGCGAGCAGCGCGCACTCCGCTGTTTTTGCGGTCGATAGATCTTTTGAACTGCAGTTCAAAGGTAACTCATAAGGTGAATATATATGAAGGCAGGTAGCAGTTTTTCTTTAGGATTGAGAGGAGATGCAGGAAGATAATAAACAGACAGGACAGAAAAATAGTCAAATAAAAACAAGTTAGTTTTTGTACCTGGTGGTTGCAACAAACAGACACCACTGAAGGTAATCAGAAGTGAGGAACAGAAAATGAAATAATTATTTTAATGTTTAGAGCAGCAGGAACTCTGAGAGGCTGCAGGCGCATCAGTGAGTTTGCGGCTGCTGCGCAGGGGGAGGGGGGAGAGGGCTGAAGCGGAGCAGTAAAGATGCAGAATCTACCGTTGTTAAAATAGATGTTTAACTTTGAAAATGTGGGCGCAATTTTAATTGTCAAAAACTCCAGCAAACCAACTGACCCCCTCCCCCCCACTTCAGGTGTATGACGTCATCAACGACTAGTCAGTCGACTCGATTTTCATTACTTGACTGTCGACTTAAAAACAAATTAAGTCATGCAGCCCCTAATTTATATATATATATATATATATATATATATATATATATATATATATATGTATATATATATATATTTTTTTTTAAGTAAAACAGTAATACGTATTACTGTATTATTGTACAGTAATAAGACGCCCACTGGCGGTCATTAAACGGCCAAATGAGACGCACGGAAATACGTTGAATTCACGGCCAGAAAAGACATCAGTTCAACTTTCATTTTGGAAATATTTTTCAACCAAGACAGGATGTTACTTTATAAACATTATAAATATATATTCTGGACGGGATGTATACACACATGTTAAAGCAATGTAAAGCAGAAGCCACAACAGCACCCGGCACGTCCCCTCCCCCTGAACAGAACATGTGTAGTTCGGGACTCTGTCCTGGGGAGAGGCAGCAGCCGAGCTCCAAGTAGGTCGCACAGCCGTGGGAACCACGAATTCGCTTTATGCTGCGCAATTCTGGCGTAGCTCCAGAAAGATTCTGCTGCTGCTGAGCAGACAGCCAGCACACGACTCCAAGACACAACGCTGCCAGATTTCTTCTAATTAGTTTAGGAAGTTGGACCGAGCTCGCTCGCTCGCACACGAGCCGGTCAGAGAGGACAAAGCAGCGCATCGGGCAGCAGGTGGAGAGAAAGAGGAGCTCAGAGCAGCTGGATGACAACAAAAAATCATGGTTTATTTTTTACCCAGAATGAACGAACACATTTCCTGATGATGGCCTCAGTGGTCCAGATGGGCCATTCCCATCTGTACCTGGTCGGCCCGGCCCGGATAGCATAGCCTAGAAGTCTGGATTCGAACCCGGGTCCCCTGCAGGTGCCTTACTGGAGGGTCCCTGTCCTCCTCGCCAACGACTCCGCCCACAACCCAGAGGCGAATTTTTAATGAGCTACTTCCACTATGTAGAAACTGAGGCCTAGAAAACTGCACAGGTTTTGTGATTTTCACTAAAAACAGCATAATCATAGTTTAAACTGAGAACTATTTAAAACGGCTAAAAAAGATAGTGGGACTTTAAGGTTCATAGTTTTTTCTAATATGTAAAGTAATACAAATACAGGCTTCTGTAAAAGGTTTTTAAATAGTATTTGAATACTTTTTTATTTTTTCAAGTTTTACTTGAATTTATTAAACAGGCAATATCATGAAATTACAAATGCCTGTCAACCAGTGGAGATGTGCGGATGTCTGCATCATGTTTAGTAGATTTTCGGTTCGTCCGTACTGTGTAGATGATTTTTTTACATCATTCAACATTAATTTGCAAAACTTTATGAAGAAGTGTAATTCTGACGATGGCCTTATTAAAAGGGGTTCGTATGAGGTAGAAAATTTTACAGTGTAAATATTTAATTTTAAAGTCAAAATTATGTATTTTAACTAATTTTTTTAAACCTGCTGCAAATCTGTGTTAAGAAGCCCATAAATTTACTTTCACCAATCTCTTTAAATGTAAACATATCAGTGTATGATTGCACATTTGGTTCGTTCATGTGGTGTTTGATACATTTCCATTTATAACTTTAACGGTTGAATATGGAACACGAACACCAAAGCGACATCTAGTGTGTGGAGGTTGTAGTTGCAACAGTAGAACAAGGATTCCAGCCGTCAGGATAACAGGTTCGCCGTCGATATGTGAACATTTTCATTTGGGTCCATCTGTTGTAGACTTCTCCTAAACTCACTCTGGTTTTATATCCTTTATGGTCAACATCTTCTGGCCTCAGAAGCAGCTGCTTGAATTGCAGAGTCCGCCATTTTCCATACCCTGCAATAGTTCCCCCCATTGGCTGGTAGATGCAAACATAAACCCAGCGCCGTGCCCGTCAAAATAAATATTTTGTTGTCGTCGTCTTCCTCCGGGTCCGTGTCGCGGGGGCAGCATCCCAACTAGGGAGCTCCAGACCGTCCTCTCCCCGGCCACCTCCACCAGCTCTTCCGGCAGGACCCCAAGGCGTTCCCGGACCAGATTGGAGATGTAACCTCTCCAACGTGTCCTGGGTCGACCCGGGGGCCTCCTGCCGGCAGGACATGCCCGAAACACCTCCCCAGGGAGGCGTCCAGGAGGCATCCTGACCAGATGCCCAAACCACCTCAACTGACTCCTTTCGATCCGGAGGAGCAGCGGCTCTACTCCGAGTCCCTCCCGAATGTCCGAGCTCCTCACCCTATCTCTAAGACTGAGCCCGGCCACCCTACGGAGGAAACTCATTTGGGCCGCTTGTATCCGCGATCTCGTTCTTTCGGTCATTACCCAAAGCTCATGACCATAGGTGAGGATTGGGACGTACATCGACCGGTAAATCGAGAGCCTGGCTTTCTGGCTCAGCTCCCTCTTCACCAATTAAACAAAATATAGCTTTTAAAGGAAATACTGTACCTTCATTCTGCACACCTCTAAACGCCCCACAGAGGTTTTCTTTTAAAGATGCAGCTTTTTGTTGAAATGTTCCATGTTCAACTATTAATGCTATAAATAAATCCTACAAAATGATGTGACAAAGTGTCTAGTGTCTTGTTTATTATGTACAAGACTTCTGGTGTTTTTATATCAGGATTTATAAAACACAGATTTTTTTGTTTTATTTTATTGAGTGTTTTCATATTTTTCAGGCTCAGACTCTGTTCTGTTATTGTGTCATGCCAATTAGGATAAAATGAGGAAAGGAATCAAGCTTGTGGTGTTTTTACATTTATTCGATAAAACTACTTGGTGGTCCTGACTGTAGACTACATCTCCTTTGTGACCACAGCGCAGATGTTGAATGTAGTGACAAACGCTGAACAGACACAAAACATAAGTCAAAGAGACACAAATATCCAAAAAGGAGGTCCCTTTTTCCGTTCACCAAACAGGACCTGAAATTCGAGAACGGTGGGTTTACGGTTTGTGGTTGAGGTGCAGAGAAATCCAATCAGGTTTCGTTTTTTCTACCAAACTGTCCTGCTTCTGTTGCATCAATAAGACAGAAAAATATGCCTCTTCCCAGCTTAGAAAACATGCAGCAAAACCACAATATCCTGTGATAATCCTACCCAGATCAAAACTGAAACCAATCACAAATACTCCCATTAAAAGGGCACTTTTACCTCTATGAGCAGCATGATTAGAGACTACTCTGTTGTTTTGGTAGTAGGTGTTCGTGAGTTTGTGAAAGCTGTAAGCGTTAGACTAAAAAAATAGATTCGGGTGGGATGTACAGTACAGTAGGTCTCAGAGGCTGTTCGTGGCTTTAGGGTGTGTGTGTGTGTGTGTGTTGGCCTCAGAGGGAACGCGTGTTACGTCGTTGAGCGGGTATTTTCAGTATCTTCACATTTGGGCTGCTTCATCCTCCACATTGCTTCCTTTCTCCTGATGAACATTTACGCCTCCAGTTCGAAGCCCATGCCGACTTTGTGTCCGCCGCCATTTACGTTTTTCCCATCAACCAAGGCCGAGAGAGTGAGCTTCACACCTGCGTAGAACAACAGCAGCCGGTTGTAACGGCAGCGATGCGCTTTGTGTTGTTACTGAAAACGGATTTAAAAGGTGAGTTTGCAAACCTGGTCTGAGGGTTTGTGTGTATCCAACTCCTACAAGGCAGGCGTTGTCCACTTTCGTCTGAGGGGAGAAACAAGAGGCCACAGGTGGAAAAATCATTTATATTATAAAGATTTTAATTTAGATGATCGTGCAAACCTTGTGTTTTCTGCTGCAAATGAGTCGTGATTATGCTGCTTGAGGTGTACAACAGGAACTAAAAGTGTTTTTTTTAAACCGTGCAATTGTGGAATAATCTAGAAATGTTTCTGCTTCTGTAGCTTTGCCGCTTTTGTGTATCACAACCATCGACATATCACAACGAACACATTTGTTGTAACCGGTGTAGCGGTAAACCCCGGTAAAAAAGTAGACAATAATGATAACCATCTTGTTTTAAAAAAAAATATATTATCTCGGTGGATTACCGTGGCTGCGGTGTTGGCGCACCAAGCGGAAAGTAAATGTGTCAAGCATAAACCAAGCTTCAAGCGCCTTGGGGGGTTCCAGGACTCTAGAAGGCGCTATATCAAATACAGGCCATTTGATCTAATATTTTTAAAATGATGACATCAAACTGACAAAAAATAAGAAGTTATGGGCAAATGTTGGTATTGTAAAGATTAAAGGGGAAATATGTAAACAAATAAACATAATTACAAAATAACACATTTTAGGCTAAATTTAGACACAAACTGAGGACAATATTTTCCTGATATACAGGGTTTATGTAGTTGTCTGAAAATGTAACACGTTTAAAAAAAATACCGCGATAATACCGAAAACCGTGATAATTTTGGTCACAATAACTGTGAGGTTAAATTTTCACACCGCTAGTGTGCATTTAGCATATTTGTCAGCGCATTTTAACCCCATTAACTTAATTCCATGCTTTCGTTCTTTTTAAACACAGAAACAGTTTTTTAGAATTAGAAAGACACAGCAAGAACACACCTAAGATGCCCATTAACTTAACTTTTTCAGTAGATTTTTTTTTTTCAAAATTAATTTGATTTTAATTGTAAACTTTATTTTGAAATATCAAAACTAAACAAAAATAGTTTGGCCTATACCTTTACAAAAATTATTTTCAAAATATTAAATAGTCAGGCTGCAGCTTCAGTAACAAGAGCAGAAATGAATGTGACCCTAAATGTTTGGGCACCATAAACCCAGTTCATCTGTATTCATTGCTTTCTTTGTCCGAAAATATTTTTTGTTCTTATTTCAGAATTCCATATTTTATTTAATTATTTAAAAATATATATTCTGAAAATTAAAACAGACAAAATAATATTTGGGAGGGAAAACTACATAAATTGATTTCTTAGGGCTTTAGTGTTGTGTTAATTCTGATGATTTGAAGGTGTGGATCGCACGTTTAATCAGTACATCTGCTGTGGTCTCTAGTAGGAACGAATGCCTTGTAAGTCATTCTCGGGAGGGCAAAAACACCTGTGCATCATTTCCAGGAACTAGCAGAGAACCACATCACAGCTGCGCTTCAGACGACAGGATCTGGGGTCTTACTTCCTGATATCTGGACATCTCGTCCTGGATTGGATTACAGCGACTTTAACATCAACTTGCAACGTAGACGTTTTATCTCCACAAATAGCACACGCCTGGAGGAGTTCTGCAGTGTGGGGGAGTTGCTAATGCTAACGGTTAGCCTGTACTAGCCGAGACATTCTCTGCGTTTTCCTGGATGCTAAACCAACAACAGCCTTCCTGAGCCAAGACGGGTGAGTCCATGAATGCTAGGTGACAGTGTGACGTAGATCTGTCCGGCTTTTCACATCCTAGAGTTTCACCGTCTTATTTTCTATCAGAAGCTAATGCGGGAGACAGGTGTAGGAGACTATTTTCGTGTTCAGTCTGCATGAAAAACTCAGTGGCCGATTATAATCAGAAACAAGATTTTGAAAACTGTTTCACACCTTTAGAAGCGAATGTTTAAAGCTCATATTTTATCTGTCATTGATGTTTTTGTGTCAGATCTTACAGATAGGGTGGCGTCCTTATCCAGCTGGTATTTGGCTCCGATACCGAAGCGTGTGTTGTTGCTTCCTGCTGTCCAGGCCAAGCTGACCGCCGTCTCCAACTTACCGTTCACCTTCTGGTAAACGGAGCCTCCAAACTCTGTCCCGTCATTACTGAAACACAGCATCAAAACACAACGTAAGAAGTGAGACTAACACTGTCCTTCATTTCCTTTTTTCACCAGGACACCGCGACTCACACGCTGGTGTGAAGCTGGAAGTCACCGGCCTTGTAGCCAAAGGCAAAGTTATTCTGAGTCAGTTTAGACTTGGAGGTGTCAAAGGCCAGCTGGTAGCCTGCGATCCAGCCTTCGTAGCCCAGCACGGCGGCCGCATGGATCGTGGGACCGGACATGTCAAAGTCCAGATCGCAGCCCAGGTTTAAATAATCCCGCTTGTATCCTGTCTTCAGTTTGGCACTCTTCTTTCTAAATAATTAGAGCAAGGTTTAATAAAACTCAAAACTGCTTTCACTGTTAATGTAAAACAAATATTTATTGTAACGAATGCTCCTCTCACCCGGTGTTGGGCACAAACGAAGTGTCCAGTGCCAGCTTCAAGCCTTTAGCCAGCTACAGACAGACAGAACCAATGAAATAACTACATTTCTGCTCCTAAAGCGGATCGTTGTTGCATGACAACAACCTGGTCCTCCATGGTGACTTCTGTGGTGAGAGTGTTGTCCGTGTTCCATTTCTGGTTGAAGGTGAGGCCCAGGTCGCTCAGTTTGTACTTGGTCTCCAGGTGGCCTCCTGACTTCCCCGTGTCGGTGTTGCTGGAGCCAGAGGTTGTAAACTCCTGCAGGACAAACGGGGGAGAAGAGAATGCAGAAAAGCACGTTAGAGGGCAGGAACAAGAGGGAGAGGGTGGGGTGACATTCAGGCGAGTTCTTCAACTGGAACATCGTTTTCTCAAAGTTTGTTTGGTTCGTGGTGAAAAAAGAAAACAAAGTAAATCGATAAAGAAAACTGAAAGAATAGGCAAGACTGACGACTTAAAAGGAACTCCGGCTATGAGGACGTGTGTGCTCTAATAAGCCACAAATTTTCTGTTGCACCAAAATATGTTGTTAGAAACACACAAAATATTGCTGTTTATTTACAAATCTATAATATTTAGTACATTTCCGACATACGTAGGACGCCATGGTTTCCACACACAATGCACTCTGGGGGCGATGACGTATATTGGTTGTTCTTGGAAGAATAGCTATTGACGCTAGTGTTTGTTTACGCACTCACCGTATTAATAATGAAGTAAAATGCCGCATTGTGCTGCTTTTGGATGTAATTTCCAGTCAGAGGGCGACAAGGGGAGTGATGTGAGTTTACACAGCTTTCCCACTGGCAAGAAGAGGAGAAAGCAGTGGGAAGGTGCCTGTGGACGGACACAACTTCCCAAAGATCCACGGCTGTGTTCCCAACATTTTTCTCCTGATGCGTTTGAGGCTTATAGTCGACCACGACTACTTAAAGAGCTCACCGAGCGGCTGGGTATAAGAGAAGGTGGACACTAAATGCTTTACCGACCATTTTCCCACACAAGGAGCCTAAACGCCCTCGGAGAGACGCTGGACGCTCTCCTGAGCCACAGCTTCCGCTTCTGTCACGTTGAGCCAACCATCGGACACGCCACTCGTCACGGATGAAGCTGAACGTTCACCTCTCCCGTCAGTAAAACAAGCCATAAGTGTAGCAACGCAGTGTTCTCCACATATATAATATCTGCAACAATGATTAAAGTGGTTTCACCGAATATCCTAATTATCTATAACACACACGACAGCTCTGGATGCTAAAATTCTCCTAACTTCTGCTGACAAAAATGTGAGCTCTTGACAAACTCTCTCCCTCTCGGTTACCATGGAGACACATTTGCTGCACACGCACCACCGGGTTTGTCCTGCTCTCGCTTCATCCCGCCCTTCCTGCTCTTCATGTTGATGCTCGTTTTGTGACACATGGTCAGTGATGTCCTCATTAATGTTTCGCTCTGGTTCAAACTGAAAAGGCTGAACAGATGACACGTTGATGTCACTGAACAGTCACTACAGGGTCCCAAAGCCAGCCGGTGCAACCGAGGTACAACCACATGACGTCACTACCCAGAGTGCATTGCGACGCTAACAATGGCGACCTACTAGTTTAACTTTTTTTTTTTTACAAATTTTATAAAAATGAAGACATTAAGAATGTTTTTTACACCACTTTGATATAAATGATACTAACATTTATTTTTTAAGAACCACCAAGTTTTGTAACCTGGGTTCCTTTTAACGATTTCATAGAAAATCATGCAAATGCTATTTTTTCTCATTTTCAGCATCATAAATTTCACATGAAATTATTATTTAATTATAATTTTGTGGTTATTTGGCGCAGAAAAAAAATCATTCTTCCAGAATACTTTAGTTTTTTGATGCTGGAAATCAGGGATGTGTATTTTTGAAATTCTGGCGATACGATACATATCGCGATACAGGGGAGACGATACGATATATCACGATATATTGCGATACATTCAGTCAGACGTTACAAGCTTTTTTTTTTTACTGAATTTATTGTAAGAATGTTCAATAAACAGTCAAAACTGATACGTAACATGTTTAACATGAGGTATCTGAACCATGATGGAGGGATTTACATTTCAATGGTGGAAACAAAACCCGTCACACACTGCTGCTAACTAGCGGGTGGCGATTGAATTACACATAATGAAAAGAAAATACACAAATGTTTGCATGGAAATTCTTTCAAGACTTAGATACACGGCTTTTGAATATCGATGTAATAATCGCAAGAAAATATCACGATATATTGTTATATCGATATTTTCTTACATCCCTACTGGAAATGTTTTAGAATACTTTATAATTTGGGCTGTGCATTATGATCAATTAAACCAGCTGTTTATGGGGATGGGAGACATTGGTCATGTTGAAAAGCTGTTGGCTCATCTGTCCAATCACAACTAATCTCTTTCTCTTCAAACTGAGGCCATCGGCAGAGCCAACTAGGCCAGGAACATATAAAACCCATCATAAACATCCGTATACCTGCATTTAGTCAATAAATATGGACACAACCAACCTTACCATCTAACAGAAGAATCCAAAGACGAAGCAGGAAATTTAAGAAAAGAGAAAGTGGAAGTTATGGAGAATAACACAGAGTATATTATTTATCCCTGGGAATAAAAGGAACAAAATGCTTCAGAAAACAAAGTCTGCACATGCATGACCTTTTTTAAGGCTGACATATGGCATCGGAAAATGTGGCTGCAAGTGCTCATTAATGGTTTTGCTATGGCAACAAGTTTACAGCATGGACACACCGAATGTCTAACTGAAGTCTTGGTGAGATGTTTAGCATTCAGGGACAAAAATAAGAAAAACTTTTGCAGATTTTGTCAAAGTTCATGATGTGTAAAGACATGAATTTGGCTTCTATGAATTCAAATCCATCAGGATTACAGATAAAACTAGTCTATTAGACATGAGGCCACTATCCATGGTGGATGGAGCAGGCTTCCAGCTAATGTTAAAGCAGTTTAACCCAGGTTACTCCATCCCCTCCAGAACACACTTTGCTAAATTGCTGGAAAAGAAATACCAAGACACCATGAATCAGGTTAAAGATACTCTCTCAGCCTTGGAAAGCCAAAATTGTTTTGAACAACATTTGCACTTAAGCTAACTGTACACTGTTACACTGTGTTTGTGTTCAGGTTGAGTCGTAAAAATGTGAAATGCACAATTGTTAGTAAACACTAGTTTTCTTATTCAAAAGGTATCAACAGCAGCTAAACTGCCATCTTTACAACATGAACAGTGATGCTCTGACTTTCATTTATGGACAATTTGTTAAAAGGGCAGATATTTTTGTTAACATGTACTACATTATTTTGTATGGAATCTACCTCTTATATTTTGATGCCAAAAATGATTCTGGACTGATATTTTGCACTGTTTAGCTCATATTACACTGTTGACTGTGTTCATGTGCAATAAAATAGATTATTATCTTGTGTTTTTCTTTTTCTTTATAGAAAAGTATTCATCACTTGTATAGGTTAAATAGCTAAATAGTAACAAACCGATTAATCGAAAAAATCATTGACAGATTAATCGATTATGAAAATAATCGTTAGTTGCAGCCCTACTTACAACTCCACTCTGGGACTTGGTCTTCACATCGAGCTTCAGAACTCCGTAGCCTGAGGAGGAAGGAAAACAGGATATTAAAAAACCTTCAAAGGCTGGAAAAAATAACATCCTGTTGCTTTAGATGTGGCAGAAAAATAAACTTTCGTTATGTAAATGTAAAAATAAAAAAAAAACTTTACTCACCAAAGCCTTTGTTAAAAATGTCTTTGGCAGATTTTCCCAGGTCTGCGTACGCTGGTGGGACGGCCATTGTTCCTGAAGAAACAAGCACACATCTGGTAGTAAACAAGACAGTAGAAACAAACACACATCTGTAGTAAACAAGACAGTAGAAACAAACACACATCTGTAGTAAACAAGACAGTAGAAACAAACACAACAGGTTCCTTCTAAGCAGATATACAAAAAAATCTATGCAACCAGGACAAAAATATAAAGTAACAAACAGATGAGCAATAATGGGAAATTCACATGTGATCAAATGACAAATAAAAAGTTGTGCAGCGAGCCCAAAACATCCAGGTTTAGTTTAGTCATGTTTCCTGAAACAACGCCAGACTTTCTTAAATGAAAACCTACAACTCTCCGCCTTCCCCGGTTTGTTTCACGACATTTATTCCCAGTCAAATAGATGCTTATAAACAAACTTATTAAATCTCAACAAAATTAGATGGTGTGAAAAAGTCACCCCAGGGAAGCTATTTAAAGGAGACTTATTCTGACTTTTTCTCAAGTTACAATGGCTCTTTGATCGATACTAAACATGTTCTTTGCACACAATCCCTCTAACATTGAAGAGATTTCAGCTGTTTTATTCCTGGAAATTTCAGTACCTTCCAGAATGAGCCGTTTCAGGGCTCTCTCACTTTAATAAAACAAGCTGGTGCTGGCCATGCCCACCCATCTCCCGAGCAGGCTGCTATGAGCTGATAAGCTCCGATATCCAGAAGAGGCTCGGAGCAGAGTAGAGCCTGGAGAGGTTAGAGGTGGCTCTATGCAGATTTACCCATTTGTGACATCACAAATGGATACGTTTTGAAATGGTTTGTTTTAGGCACATAATTCCTAAAACCAAACACTGGCAGAAAACAGATGGATGGGTGTTTTCACATTTAGAGTATTTATAGTGGCAGTAGAGAAGCAAATGGGAGCACAAAAGGATGCAAAGTGTGAGTTTTGCACAATATGTCCCCCTTAAAGCTTATACAGGAGCCAATTTGCACTAAATTAATTGTTCATCCAATGCAAAAATTCCATTGTCATTGCTAACAAATTTTATTCATGAAGAATGAAACTTTCATGTAATATTTACAAGTGTTTATTTTTAGAGTTGGCCTCATTATTCAGCTATTAACGGAAAACTGCATTTGGTTTTCTTAAAAAATAAAAGAAACTGTAAAAGATTGGAACAAGTCCAAGTCAAAAATATTTTTACAGCAGATAGCTTCTGCATGACAGTGCTTTTTTTAAAAATCACATTAAAAAACAACAAATATTGACTTAGAAACAGCACACACCATCATCAGCATGCAGAACAGTAGCTTTCAATGTGATGGATCTGTGCAGCACATAGATGTAAAACCTATTGATCCCTGGGAGATGAGGCGGCAGCACTTGTTAAGCCAATGGAACGGTTTCTCTAGTTGAGACATGCAGAATGTGTGCAGCCACAAAGAACTTGTTGCCAGTCACAAGTGCATGTCAGCCTCTGTTGTACAGAAAGACATAATATGCATGATGTGCAAACATTCAGCCAGTGCTGCAGCGCTAACGCAAGCAGCAAGCCAGATTCTTTAGTCAGCATCCTGCACACCGCTGCACTGCACCGTGCTGATTCACTCAGTCATCAGGGTCCCTGAGTTGGTGTGTGTGGTGGTGCGTGCATGAACTGAGTGTCAGAAGACTTTTATGACAAGGTAACTTAGATTCAGAATACACCATCTTTCCTCACAAACTAAAGCTGGTTTAATGTTTCACTTACTTGCCTTCTTTCCCGTGACCCCTGCCCGGTTCCCCGACTGTTAACCTCAACAATAATAGATTTTATGAGAGGGAAGTAAACTTTACTCATCAGCTAATGAAGCCAGGATTGTAATTTGAAGGACAAAATGATCAAGTCCTGGATTGAGATTGGAAGTCAAGGACCCTGGTGATAGCTGAATCACCCCTCCACGTGCACACCCACCACCACTCACCACGTCTCACGGGAGCATGGTGCTGACATGTCACACAGACATCTTTGTTCCCAGCCTGCACCACAACCCCCACTGTCTCTTCCATGTCTTCTACGACAACGAGAGAAACGACAGCTTACAGAAGGTCCTGCTCTGACAGAACCGGATCACTAAATAAAAAGTCATTAAGGGGCTGACTATTGTGTTGCGTGCTCTTTCGCTGCACAGCATGACAATTTTCTAATTCTAGACCCACAGATGCAACGCTTATGCGCCTTTTAGAAAGCACTGAACACAGAGACCAACATATAAGTAATTAATGTCCTCCACATCACCCCCAGAGACCAAAATATGCTGCACCATCTCTCCAAATGTGTACCCTTTTCATGTTCTTGTATCTTGTAGGGTCTTTAGCATTAACACTTTCTCAAGAAAGGTTGAAGGGAGGGTTAAAGCTCAGAATTAAAGTAAATCCTATTTTTAAAATAAAACACCTACACTAACTGACAAATGTATGCACAATCAATTCTACACCCTTTTTACTCTTCTCTCGGCCCAACATGATGAGGGAAAATCCATCTATTTTCAGCTGCTTATCCGGGGTCGGGTGGCGGGGCAGTAGCCCAAGCAGGGAGGCCCGGACTCCATGTGATAAAAGATGAACTATGGAGAAATGATCTGAAAATGATGCACTTGAATTAGGTTTTTGTTCTTGTTGAGGGTCAAGCTTTCCATCATTGTCACTAAATACATATCCAAAAATAAATCCTGTGAGTTCTGTCTTGCTCTTTATTTATTTCTCAGCATCTTAAAGCTCTCATTCACTCATTTCCTCAATAATAATAAAGCAGCTGAAGACTAGCTTTGGTGTGACCTGCATCACCACTAGGGATGTAAGAAAATATCGATATGGCAATATATCGTGATATTTTTTCCAGCAATATTATATCGATATTCAAAACCGTGTATCGGAAATATCGATATGGCAATATATCGTGATTTTTTCCCTGCGTTTATTACATCAATATTCAAAAGCCGTGTATCTAATCTTTGAAATAATTTACATGCAAACATTTGTGTATTTTCTTTTCGTTTTGTGCAATTCAATCGCCACCCGCTAGTTGGCAGCAGTGTGCGACGGGTTTTGTTTCCACCATTGAAATGTAAATCCCTCCATCATGGTTCAGATACCTCATGTTAAACATGTTACGTATCAGTTTGGACTGTTCACTGAGCATTCTTACAATAAATTCAGTAAAAAAAATTGCTTGTAACGTCTGACTGGATGTATTGCAATATATCGTGATATATCGTATCGCCAGAATTTCAACAATACACATCCCTGATCACCACCCTCTCCTTATTGTGCTTCCTACCAACCCCGCCTTTCCCGGGATCCACTGATTTCCCTTTTTCCTATTCATTTTCTGTTTCCCTTTCCTTACATTTTGTAATTTGGGCAGCAGTATGTCGTTATTGCTCAACAGGTTGAGCGGGTTGTCCAGTAATCGGAAGGTTGCAGGTTCGATCCCGGCTCCGGACAGAGAGTTCTGCTGTTGTGTCCTTGGGCAAGACACTTAACCCACCTTGCCTGCTGGTGGTGGTCGGAGGGACCGGTGGCACCAGTGCTCTGCAGCCTCGCCTCTGTCAGTGCACCCCAGGGCAGCTGTGGCTACATCGTAGCTCATCACCATCAGTGTGTGAATGGATGAATGATACACTGTAGTGTAAAGCGCTTTGGAGTCCTTACTCTGACAGGCGCTATACAAGTGCGGGTCATTTATCATTCATTTAATCACAAATTTTCTTTTTCATTTTAACCAAATTTTTGAAATCTTATTTATATTAAATGTTTTGTTATTGTGAAACGCCTTGTGATTTTTATCTTGAGAGGCGTTATAAAACAGATCATTTTCTTTCTTTCTTCTTTCTGTTTCAGAAAGTAGAAGTCAGCCGGGGGAAAGGGGAGCTGAAGGCAGCTGGATTTGGGGTCTTACTCATTCAAATTCATGATATGAAAACATCTATCGGATTAGATTTGTGCCAATAGGATCAAGAAAAACACTTTGAAGATCAAACAAATATTAAGACATTGAGAGAAAAAAAATTGTTTCAAATGAAAAACTTACGATCTGAATCAACTTCTTCAAATGAGTACTGATGTTTTATTTCCACAAAACACACAAGCTCAAACTTGTTCTGCCTTGTTAGTTGCTAATGCTAATGGTTAGCTTCTACTAACAGAGATGTGCTCTGTTCTATCCTGGCTGCAGACATCAATACAAATTCTGTGTGATGTAGATCTGTGTGGCTTTTTCTGACCACAGTGTTTCCTCCTCTATTTTTCAATCAGCGGCTAATGTAGGAAGTAGGGATGGAAAATGAAGTTTAGCCTGCATGTGAAACTCTGAACGACCAATCGTATTTTCAAAAATAATTAGGGCTGCACGATATTAGGAAAATCTGCGATATTCGATAACAGTGATTAATATTGCGATGACGATATTACTTGCGATAAATAACAGCTCAGCTCTGGAACAAAAATGATCAAAAACAAAGAAATAAAAAAAATCATAAAAATGAGAAAAGCAAAAATATGAGGAAAGGGGAAAATAAAATGAATCAGAAAAGGCAACCAGTGGATCCCGGGAAAAGCAGAATCAGCAAAAAGAGCAGAACTAAGCTAACTCAGGTGTTTGCTAACCATCAAAATTAAGTACCGTCCACCTCGGGGGCGGGCATCTGACCTATGAGAACCCAACCAATTGGCCAAATGGGTGAAGAGCTCTGTTTGATTTGTTAAAAAATTATCATGCTTCCATTTGATTGACAGAACGCGTTATGCTTAGCAAACATTTGAGCTGACCATTCATTGCGATATTTTTCTGTTCTTTGCGATATGCATATTGTGCATGCTGATATCGCAATAACGATATATTGTGCAGCCCTAAAAATAATTTAAAACATGGATTCTCAGTGAACCTGCTCTTTAAGCATCCTGCTTGTTGTTGACCACATCCAACCTCCTCTCCCTCACTTTTTTTTTATTTTTATCAGACAGATGCTCCCTTTTTGTTCCCCTCGCCCATCACAACGTAGCCCATTCTGGACTCGCCCCCTCTCGGCCTTCGTCGCTGCATTTTGACTCTAAATTTAGCCCAGGTAAACCTGACACTACAACCCATGACCAGGCGGTTGACTTGTGTCCTCCTCAAGTTCAGCCAATTAAAATCCCTGTAAGAACAAACGGGTTTGTCCCTATTGTACCTCCACACTGTGCTTACATGCAAACACGCTCTTGACACCGGCTGTTGCTTTAACCAGCGGGCGGGATGGACCGAGCTCAAAGGTCAAAGTGACAGGGGAGAAGCACAAACAAAAAATAGGAGCTGTTGAAAATCAGACACCGTCATTATGTTCTCGCCTGTGATTCTCATACATGAAAGCTGATAAACAATCAGTGAGCTATTATTTTAGGGGGGACAGATGCTAAAGCATGTGATCTAACCATCGACATAAATACATGGATCTAACATGAAAGACAAAATAAAAACAGTGATTAAGTTGTTTAAACTGTAATAACGGAGCAGACCCCCATTCAGATGAAAAGACACCTTATCAGATGTGTCAACCGGCAGTTACTCAACACCAGCCTAACCTTCAGATAACATGAAACCAGCAGTGAGTGTCTGAGTCATATAAAGGGTGTGTGTGTGTGGGGGGGGGGGGGGGGGGGGGGGTGTACAGATAGGTTGAGTCCAGCTCAGATGAAGTGTTTTATATTGACTGGTAGCTAATATTTGTTTAGTGTGAATGTTTTGTTGTGTACAGTGACAACATTGAGAGTACTAATGTGCGTAAATCTGTGTTCAGCACGTGCCTTTGGGTCTAATAACTTTAGCATCATGTGTTTTTTTTTTTGTTCCTAAATTTTCTGTCTGTGAAATAATCTGCAAATAAAGTAACGTCTGGTATTTTTAATGGAAGGAAATAAACCGTAAAACCTTACGTTTTAAAGACTAAAAGTTTGGTTTTTATTTATAGCTTAATTTCCCTGATGTCGCTATCTCAGTGTGTACACACACACTATAAAAAATCAGGCTGTATAATTAAACCTAGAAATATAACGGTCCCTGTTCTGCCGCTGCTCGTGGCCCACGTGGTTCTTCTATCTGCACCATGTGGGTGAAGCTCACAGCAGGGTTTAGGCATCACGTAGCTCAGTCGCAGGAATAAATGAGCGTGCTTACTACTGGATGCGTCCAAATCCGGTTTCTGTTGTTTGTAAGCTGCCAGCAACATGCAACCCACCATATTTTCTTACACACTCTGTGCAAAAGTGTACAACAAATCCACCTTTTTGTTTTTGGGAGCGAAGCATTAAAGTTGAGGCATGTTTACGTCAGTTTGTGAAGGTTGTGTTTTTTTTAGTATGCTGATTTTAACCCACTCAGGCCTAAACAAGTATTAAAACCACCGTCTGCGGTGTTTCCACTCCTTTCTGTATGACAACCAAGCGACTGTTTACAACAACTAGACACCACGCAAATGAACAAGTGTGATAATAACTTTTTGAAAATAAAAATCCACTGGTGATCAACCTTTCTTACCTTGTTTAAAAATCGGAGTGTGCAGGGTTTTCACAGCTCTGTTCGGAGCAGCTGTTTGAAGGGGAAAGCACAGACAAACGCAATGAGCATGCGCGGTCTGACCTGCTGAGGGCGGGGCCGTTGTGCAAGTGACATTTTAGACTGCTAAACTTTTGTTTAGTTTTATTACACACGTCGTGTCTATAACTCCATTGTGCAGGAAACACATTTTAAAACGATAGTAATAGTATGATAGTAAGGACGATTCCTAGTTAATCACTAAAATAAATAAATAAATAAAACACATTTGATTGTTTTAGTCCTCTGGTGCATTTTCTAATGCTTTAAACTTCAATATTTTCAAACACTCAGTATGTGTCATATATTATTTGTCTATAATAGCATTTAAATTGATGTGAGAAAAAAATGGGATATCTGCATCTATTTTTACCCTGAATTTTGCTTGACAGGTGAATCCAACTTAAGAAATCTCCGTAATACCACCATAAAATTATGAAAATCCAAGCAGCTAACCTTATGTATTTTGATAAATCAATAAAAATGAATTAGCAGAGTGTTTTGTTTAGCATCTGGCATGGGCTTCACGCAGCCTGATAGGAAATGCTCAGGGACAAACTACTGTTTTCAAGTAGGATTAACACAGAACTATAACTGCTAGCACCGCTCCAGAGCAGAGGACTCGCGGTCACTTTTGAAATCAGTCACTTTTTACAGTAACACTATTTTAATACTTCTGCAATCAGTGTCTATACTTATCGTTGTTCATACGTTTGTCTTTTGTTTGCTTAATTTGTAAATCATTGCGCTCTACTTTTCTATCAGGTCTAGGTCTGTGTGCGCGTGCTCCGTTGCTATGGTGAAGAATTCTACAACAAGTTGATGCGTCGGCGTCATTGGCGTACGGGAACAAAACACCACACAGATAAACAACGAAGGGGTTTAAAAGGTAAAAAAAAAAAAAAAAAAGTAACCTGGTTCTTGAGGCTATTTATAAAAAGCCACAGAAAACCGTGACTCGTGTTTTTATCATTAATGTTGAGGCGGAAATTAGTCCCAACAGCTTGTGCTGATTAGCTCTCTTGGTGTTAAGCTATGACCGGTGGTGCCCTGCTTTTCATGACTACGTGAATAAATCCCATTTGTCATTTGTTCGCTTATCTGATATGTTTTCGTTTATTTTCAAGCTGTAGCAAACTGGCGGGCAGCTTAAGACAGCTGAAAACGTCAGCTCTTGTTTGTGCAACGCTTTTATTGTCAGGATGAGATTCGCTTTATAGTCCCTATATGGGCCTATAAAGATTTTTACACGGGATACATAAAGTATGTTTGGTTTGAAAGCCATAATAAACCCTATTATTATTATTCTTGTAGGCTCAAGATAATTAGTGTCGCTGGTATTGTTTGTCATAAAGTACATTGTGTACTAACAATTGATTCAATCAGCTGTTTTAATATTAAACATCACTTGAATGCCTGCCAATGATACTGTACCCTTTGTGTGTCCTTTAATTCTTCAGATGTGTGAAGGACCTTCAACACTTTCTGGGCCAATCCCCCCAGATCCCTCTCTGTGTCCTCAGTTCTACAGACGCCCATCGTCAGGTTAGGAACTGTCAAACCTGTGTTTTTTGTACCAATTCTAATTTATAAAAAAAAGTGTTACTACTTACAAATTATGAATTTATGTTTTCAATCTGCATTGTAAATAGTCTTCTTTTTCTTCTATGCTGGCTTGTTCACAAACACGAGAGACACGAGCGTTCCTTTTACTGATTCAATTCAATTCAATTCAAGTTTATTTATAAAGCGCCAAATCACGACAAGAGTCGTCTCAAGGCATTTCACATAATAAACATTCCAATTCAGGTCAGTTCATTAAACCAATCAGAAATAATGTTTCCTACATAAGGAACCCAGCAAATTGCATCAAGTCACTGACTAGTGTCAGTGACTTTACAGCAATCCTCATACTAAGCAAGCATTTAGCGACAGTGGAGAGGAAAACTCCCTTTTAACAGGAAGAAACCTCCAGAGGATCCTGGCTCAGTATAAGCAGCCATCCTCCACGACTCACTGGGGATGGAGAAGACAGAGCAGGCACGCACGCACGCACACACACACACACACACACACACACACACACACACACACACACACACACACACACACACACACACACACACACACACAGACAAAGACAAAGTAATGTGTCTATAGTTATATTGTGATTTCTTGGTAAATATTCTATTTGGTGAAAGATAAACTTTATTGTATTTATCCTAGTGGATCTATAATTAAACAGGTAAACTAGTAGTAGCACATCCAACGTCAAGGAAACAAAACGTTATTATCAGGAGAGGGAGAATGTTTAAGTGGTTAGCAGCAGTGTGCTAGACGATGGCCCCCTCCATGAGGCCACCACAGCTCAGCAGAACATCGTTGTAGCTTCTTCTGGGGAGAAAAACACTTAGAGAGAAAATAAAGTTAACAGCTGAAATTGCAGGAAATAATACAGTTAAAGAGCAGATTGTAGAAGAAAGTAGTAGAGTGTGTGGAAAGTGGTCAGTGTGTCCTCCAGCAGTCTAAGCCTATAGCAGCATAACTACAGAGATAACTCTGGATAATCTATAATCTAGCTGATGTTTAATGCGGTCTTGCATCTTCAACTTTACACCACATGAACACCGTAGAACTAATGAAAAAGCATAAATCATGTACAAATTAACAAGTTAGTTGCCTTAAGTTTGCTAACATATGGAGTTTATAAATAAATAATAAACATACCACTTTGGTCTGCTAGTAGACAAGCCGGTAGACTTGAAAACACGTAACTTTCTTCTCAAATGTTCTTAATTGGCACAAATTTGTCCGTTCGCATCAATAAAATCTCCGAAACTACGAGAGACAGGAAGTGACGTCACAGCGCTCTTAAACACAACTTATCAAATAAACCAATTCAAAATTACTCAAACATCTAAAATGATTAATTCTGTGCACCTGTAAATGCTACAAAATGTATTAAAAACATGAAAAATAACATTTAAAGAGCAAGTCACCCCCAAATCAACTTTTTTTGCTGATAAACTAAATAAACGAGTGTCTAATTGTGCTGCAGACACGTGTAGTCAATCATTTGGCACTTCAGTGCATCTTAGTTAAAATTTAAATATTCTGCCTAAAACTGTCAGTGTTGTGCCGTCGTCAGGTAAAAACTATGCACTGTATTTGAATTTAAATCTGCCACTGCTGTTGGCTAAGAGGTATGCTATGATGTAAATTGGTACATTATGATGTCACAATGCTGTCGTGAGCCTGTGAGTGTGTGTATTTGTTAGTGGCTCCGCCCTCTCGGTCTGCCAGGCAACAGCATTTGCTGCATTTTTCAAACATGAAGTGGGAGTGGAGTTAGACTCTGGTAGGAGGTGACTTGCTCTTTAAATAAACATGTCAAATAAACTTTCTAGGGCATTCACAAAATCACAGTGCCATCTTGTGGTGAAACCTTGAACAAAAAAGTTGCTTCAACTACCTTTACATCTTCTTTGAAATGCTGCAACAACGTTGTTAATTTTTTGATAACTGATTCTTAATATGTATCATTTAGTACGCCATTACTGGAAATTGTACTGCACATAGTTTATTATACATTTAGAATTAACTACATGTTGGATTTTTTTCTCTCTCTCCTTCTTCAGCTCGTGGTCGCTTAGAGGGAAATCACGACAAGCCATTGGCCCTTTTCTTGGGTCCGCTTGCTCCAGATCCTGTGCTGTACCCAGACTGCTACAGTGCTCATACCCTAATTCAACGTCCTCGCATCAATCCTAATGCAACTCATATTCTGGAACATGGACGAAAAGGACTTGTGGGAGAGCTACTGAAACTAGACGGTGTCTCTGTAACTCCAGTTCCCAAACAGAGTGAGAGTGACTGACTTACCAGAGTGGCTTGATTTCAAAAGCTCTAATTGCTTTGGATAAATAGGTTCATTTTTCCTTATCCTTATTGAAAAATCCTGTACACAGAGTAGCAAAGCTTGTTTTTACCTTTTTTGCTAACAGTTTTGGCTCCTGCTGTCGCCTTCATCAGAGCCTCACCGATGTTTGTGGAGTTGCTTTTGACGCCGTTTATCTGCGTTAGCAAACTTTTAGCAGTAACTTTAATTCCAACCACTTTTGTATTGTTTCCCTGTAGAACAAAGAGTACAAGACTTTCGTAAAGAAAATGTACGTCGGCTACGGGAGATCCAGAAACGCTGCAAAGAGCAGGAAGCTGAGAGGGCGCAGAGCGGCCCTGTTCCAGTTAAAGCTTTATGGACCTCCTCAAAATACCAGAACACCCCGTCTAAAGTGATGGCCCACTTAGAGGCAAGTTCAAAACTCTTTCGTGAGATAAAATTTTGCCTTGCAATTTTTCCACCTCATATGTTTCATTCGTTTAGGTTTCCAGTCCAGCTGTTAAGCCTCAGTGTCAAAACTTTCTAAAGGCCCATTCAAACTGTAGTTCTGCTTCACCTTCAAAATCTTCACCTGTAGTTGTGCAGCACCCAGCTTCCTGCAGCTCTACACAAGACCCAGACTTGAAGGTGGGAACAAACAAAACAAATATTTCTGTATTCAAAAAATTCCCAGGGGCAATTTGAATGTTTTACTTAAAGGTGCAATAGGTAGTGATTTTATAGGGAAATATTCACAAAACAGTCTAATGTCTCAATCACGTTGGAAGGAAGGTTACATTGAAACAGATTTCCTGCTCAGCCGACTGGGTGGTTGCCAGTTTTCTTCCCTTGTTAAAAGGCTGCAAGGAGATGTAGTCTTTGTTTACAATCATCCTGCCTCCATGTTTCCTCGTTCCAGAGCCATTCCCACTGGAACAGCAGTAGCTCAGGAGGTAGAATGGGTTGTCCAGTAATCAGAAGTTGCAGGTTCGATCCCGGCTCCGACCAGAGAATGCTGTTGTTGTGTCTTTGGAAAAGATACTTAATCTTAATGGTCTCCCCAACAAACTCACTCATAAACTGCAACTGGTCCAGAATTCAGTAGCCCGTATTATCACCAGAACCCCTTCCTTTCACCACATCACCCCGGTTCTCCAGCAGCTTCACTGGCTCCCAGTTAAATTCAGGTCCATCCTCAAAATTCTCCTCCGTACCTTCAAAGCAATCCACAACCTCTCTCCTCCATATATCTCAGACCTTATAAGTATTCACACCCCATCCCGTTCTCTCAGATCTTCTTCCATCCATCTTGCGGTTCCTTCTGCCCGTCTCACTACCATGGGGAGCAGAGCTTTCAGCCGCTCTGCTCCCCGTCTCTGGAACTCACTTCCCCCAGACATCAGGAACATCGACAGATTTACCCTTTTCAAAACAAAACTCAAAACACACATGTTTAAATCTGCCTACAACCTCTGATTTTATTGAACTGTTTCTCTCTGCTTTTTTTTTCTTGTTTGGGTTTTATTATTGTTTTATTGTATTTTATTACGTGTTTTCTGTCAAGTGACCTTGGGTGTTCTGAAAGGTGCTTTTAAATAAAATGTATTCATTCATTCATCTGCCTTGCCTGCTGGTGGTGCCAGTGTTTGGCAGGCCTCACCTCTGTCGGTGCGCCCCAGGGCAGCTGTGGCTACATCATAGCTCATCCCCATCAGCGTGTGAATGTGTGGGTAAATGGGAGAATGACTGATTGTGTTGTGTTGTGAAGTGCCTTGGGAGGTTGTAGATCTCTAAGAAGGCGCTATATCAAATACAGGCCATTTACCATTCGTATTTGAGCCTGCAAAGTTGCTTAGTCTTCAACGCAAACACTGCACCTGAGATTGTAATTCAACACCAGCAGGCAAAGAACAACAGCGTTGTGAACAGATTGGAAGCCAGTAAACAGGAGCAGCCCAGAAGTTATTTCATGGACCGCAGTACCACAATTTGACCACAACATGTCATTCCTGTTTCATGAATTGTATTTGAAATTGAATGAGAAGCACATTTTCAACTTATATGTATCTGCAACTCTGTATGTTTTTTTTAAATAAAGTTACAGGTGCAAGGTCAGGCCATAGACTTCATAAAACATAACGCTCGGTCTGCTGGAAAAACTGTTGTCCGCCGATCCCAGTCTTTGACAAATCTCAGAGAAAACCCTGTGCCCAGTGCAATCAAAGGACAAGTACCACAGTAGTGAGTGATTTAACATCAGAGTGTACATTTAAATGAACCGACTGAGAAATAAATTTTATCTCTTTGATGTTTTTCTCCTGTCATTGATGTTCCCACACAAGTCTTGTGGAAAGGAAGGAGCAGTGGCGTAAGGAAAAGGAAGAGAAGAGGAGGAATACACCTGACCCTACAGTCCCAGCTGGTCACACCTTAATGCCGGAGAATGAGAGACAAGAGACACTAAAAACCCTAAAATCTAGTAAGTGTCCACCTTTGCAATGATACCAAAAGCATTTTGGTTGTGCCGTAAATACAATATGTACAACTATTTTCACATAACTAATTATGTCTTTTTTTTTTCGTAGCCCATCGCTCCTTGGTGACTGAACTGCTCTCACTCCCGCTGAAAGCAGACAATCTGAGTGTTCGATCCCATCGGACTTATCTTGATTATAGGCTTTCTGAGATTGAAGAGGCCATTAAAATATTCTCTAGGGACAAAGTTTATGTAAAAAATGATTCTTAAAACATGAGGAGGACCAAGAATAGGTAGAATTTATCCTGTAAATTAACCATTTTGTTGAGATTTTTTTCACAATTTACTAAGTAACAGAATGAGGGATTTTATGGAAAAGGTAATAATTAGTTAAGGAGGCATGTTTTATATGAAAGGTTTTATCTTTATTGTTACTGAATTTTAGTATCTTCCAAAACAATAACATATTTAAAGCACCTTATTTAAAAAAAAAACGTTGCTTTATTGTGTAGGGGATAAGTAGCAGATATAATGCAAATTTGAAATAAAAGGCTGTAATTACACTATTTACTGATAGACGCCAGCTATTTATATTTACTACTGTTTCTGTACATTGTATGTTTTTAATTACTGTGTAGATCGCAAACAATGTTCTATAATAACTTTTTCACCAAAAATGTTGGTGAAAATGATCAATTTTTAATGAAAATACAATAAAAGAACAATCCTGTTTGGGGGTCATTAACGCATTGCGCATGCGCACACCTTTCTACGTATTAGGTCATTGTTCTGCGTGACCGTTGGCTAAAGTGCTAGCCGTAAGCTAACTGGAGATTTAAATTTCTTAAAACGTATTTTACCGGTTAGTAAAACTGTCTGGATTGCAGGGAGCATTCTAACGTATCTAAAATCCACAATGAGCAAGAGGAAAGCACCGCAAGAGTCCCTAAATGAGGGAATTACTGACTTTCTTGTCGGTACGTATGAGCTCAGCTAGCAGTAGTTAGCCTGACGGTCACTTTGTTTTAAAATGTAAATACTAAAACTTTCTAAATGAAACAAGTTTATGAAGCATGCATTCAGCAGTGCTGCTTCTTTCAAGCTGTTTTCTACTCAAATGTGTTTCTCTAAATTACTGTTTAGCTGACGAACGAAGGTAAATGTTTCTATATTTAAATGCCTAGCCTTTCTACAGGATTCAGTCTCCCACACACTTTTATTTCCAGAGCTGGCAAATTACGAGAAGAACGTCAACAGAGCAATACACAAGTACAATGCATACAGGTAGGTTCTGAAGTTTCCACAGAGCTGTGCTTTATTCAATTTCAAAATATGAATCAATTAAATATTGTAATATATCACTGTTTGGGTTATTGTAAGTAGTTATAGTTGTAGGCTGGAAGCAGTGGTCTGTGTAGCAGAGGACCTACAGAAGTCTCGCATTGGAAATACTGTTGTTGCTGTCTTGTGAGGAGGATGCTCAGGCTTGGACCACCTTGCTCTGTCTACATTTTATGAAGCATCATTGTTTATACAATCAGCTCTAAAAGCTACAGAGCAGCTCATAGAACACAGCCGGACAGCCTTTACAAAGACAGCTTGACAGTACTACATACAAATAAAAATACTGTTCAAATAAATTTGTCATCTACAGAAAATATATTCTTTCAATAAAGCCTAATGTATAACATTGTTAAAGTTGTTTGTTTTAGGGATGTGCAATATATCGGCATTTTGCAGATGTTAGTAATTTTTTAACATGTCAGTATCAGTTTGATTGTAAAACTGGGCCCATATTAACAAGCAATATTTTTCCCATCTTGTTTCCATTTGTTTATCTGTTTCAGAGGGTGGGGGTGGGGGCGTGTACAGGTCCTTCTCAAAAAAGTAGCATATTGTGATAAAGTTCATTATTTTCTGTAATGTACTGATGAAACATTAGACTTTCATATATATTAGATTCATTACACACAACTGAAGTAGTTCAAGCCTTTTATTGTTTCTAATATTGATGATTTTGGCATACAGCTCATGAAAACCCTAAATTCCTATTTCAGAAAATTTGCATTTATTGAAAAGGTTCTCTAAACGAGCTATTAACCTAATCATCTGAATCAACTAATTAACTCTAAACACCTGCAAAAGATTCCTGAGGCTTTTAAAAACTCCCAGCCTGGTTCATCACTCAAAACCGCAATCATGGCTAAGACTGCCGACCTGACTGCTGTCCAGAAGGTCATCATTGACACCCTCAAGCAAGAGGGTAAGACACAGAAAGACATTTCTGAACGAATAGGCTGTTCCCAGAGTGCTGTATCAAGGCACCTCAGTGGGAGGTCTGTGGGAAGGAACAAGTGTGGCAGAAAATGCTGCACAACGAGAAGAGGTTACCGGACCTTGAGGAAGATTGTGGAGAAGGACCGATTCCAGACCTTGGGGGACCTGCGGAAGCAGTGGACTGAGTCTGGAGTAGAAACATCCAGAGCCACCGTGTACAGGCGTGTGCAGGAAATGGGCTACAGGTGCTGCATTCCCCAGGTTAAGCCACTTTTGAACCAGAAACAGCGGCAGAAGTGCCTGACCTGGGCTACAGAGAAGCAGCACTGGACTGTTGCTCAGTGGTTCAAGGTACTTTTTTCGAATGAAAGCAAATTTTGCATGTCATTCGGAAATAAAGGGACCAGAGTCTGGAGGAAGACTGGGCAGAGGGAAATGCCAAAATGCCTGAAGTCCAATGTCAAGTACTCACAGTCAGTGATGGTCTGGGGTGCCATGTCAGCTGCTGGTGTTGGTCCACTGTGTTTTATCAAGGGCAGGGTCACTGCAGCTAGCTATCAGGAGATTTTGGAGCACTTCATGCTTCCATCTGTTGAAAAGCTTTATGGAGATGAAGATTTCATTTTTCAGCACGACCTGGCACCTGCTCACACTGCCAAAACCGCTGGTAAATGGTTTACTGACCATGGTATTACTGTGCTCAATTGGCCTGCCAACTCTCCTGACCTGAACCCCGTAGAGAATCTGTGGGATATTGTGAAGAGAAAGTTGAGAGACGCAAGACCCAACACTCTGGATGAGCTTAAGGCCGCTATCGAAGCATCCTGGGCCTCCATAACACCTCAGCAGTGCCACAGGCTGATTGCCTCCATGCCACGCCGGATTGAAGCAGTCATTTCTGCAAAAGGATTCCCAACCAAGTATTGAGTGCATAACTGAACATCATTATTTGAAGGTTGACTTTTTTTTTGTATTAAAAACAGTTTTCTTTTATTGGTTGGATGAAATATGCTAATTTTTTGAATATAAGAATTTTGGGTTTTCATGAGCTGTATGCCAGAATCATCAATATTAGAAACAAAAGGCTTGAACTACTTCAGTTGTGTGTAATGAATCTAATATATATGAAAGTCTAATGTTGTATCAGTACATTACAGAAAATAAAGAACTTTATTACAATATGCTAATTTTTTGAGAAGGACCTGTATTTGTTTAGTCATGTGAAAGTGATTGTAATCATCTCAGAATCTTAAATGTGTGTGGTGTGTGTAAATAATAACAAAAGTTCAGCTTTAATAATTTTCATTCTATACAACATATGCTGCATTTAGAAGCATTAATGTCAGTTTATCCGTATCGGCAAATATCGGTTATCGGCCATAACAGTGATATTATATTGGATATCGGTATTGACCCAAAAATTTCATATCGGTGCATCCCTAGTTTTTTCCAAAACTATTTACATATTTAGACGTGATGGGTTTCTGATACTTTTTACTCAAAGTAAAAAAGATTGAGAATTTGTATATTTTTAAACTTACCATCATTCACACAGTGCAGACTTTCATACATTTGTTGGGATGAATAGAATAATGTAATGCTTTCACAGGCAATCTAGTCACATTTAATTTAGTAGCAGTATTTTTGGATTTCCCAATATTAACTCCTCCTTGAACCGTCACCTTATCGTGGTGGAGGAGTTTAAGTGCCCTAATGATCCTAGGAGCTATGTTGTCTGGGGCACTTTGTGCCCCTGGTAGGGTCTCCCATGACAAATTGGTCTCAGGTGAAGGGTGAGACAAAGAACAGTTCAGAGGATCTTTCGTGGATGTAAATTCAAAGAGTCGGAGTACCCGGCCCGGAGGGTTACCGGGGTCCCACCCTGGAGCCAGGCCTGGGGTTGGGGCCCGTGAGCGAGCGCCTGGTGGCCGGGCTTTCGCCCATGGGGCCTGGCCCAGCCCGAACTGGATACATGGACTCATCGAACTGTGGACCCACCACCCGCAGGAGGAACATGAAGGGTCCGGTGCAGTGTGGATCGGGTGGCAGACCAAGGCGGGAGCCTTGGCGGTCCGATCCCCGGACAAGGAAACTGGTTTTTGGGACATGGAATGTCACCTCGCTGGTGGGGAAGGAGCTTGTGGCAGAGGTTGAGCGGTACCGGCTAGATATAGTCGAACTCACCTTGGCACATAGCATTGGCTCTGGAACCCAAGTCCTTGAGAGGGGTTAGACATTCTCCTTTGCTGGAGTTGCTCCGGGTGAGAGGCGGAGGGCTGGGGTTGGCTTTTTGTTAGCCCCAAGACTCTCTGCCTGTGTGTTGGGGTTTACCCCGGGGTACGAGAGGGTAGCTTCACTGCGCCTTCGGGTCGGGGAACAGGTCCTGACTGTTGTTTGTGTTTATGGGCCAAATATCAGTTCAGAGTACCCACCCTTTTTGGAGTCCCTGGGACGAGTGCTAGATAGTGCTCCATCAGGGGAGTCCATTGTCCTGCTGGGGGACTTCAGTGCTCACGTGGGCAATGACAGCTTGACCTGGAGGGATGTGATTGGGAGGAACGGCCCGCCTGATCTGAACTTGAATGGTGTTTCGTTATTGGACTTCTGTGCAAGCCGCAGTTTGGCCATAACGAACACCATGTTCGAACATAAGGATGCCCATTGGTACACTTGGTACCAGGGCAGCCTAAGTCGCAGGTCGATGATAGATTTTGTAGTCGTATCATCTGACCTGCGGCCGTATGTTTTGGACACCCGAGTGAAGAGAGGAGCGGAGCTGTCAACTGATCACCACCTGGTGGTGAGTTGGATCAGATGGCAGGGGAAGATGCCGCATAGACCTGGCAGACTCAAACGCATAGTGAGAGTCTGCTGGGAACGCCTGGCAGAAGAACCTGTTAAGATGGTCTTCAACTCCCACCTCTGGCAGAGCTTTGACCGCGTCCCGAGAGCAGTGGAGGACATTGACTCCGATTGTTGAGGTGGCTGTTGCTAGCTGTGGTCGCAAGGTGGCCGGTGCCAGTCGTGGTGGCGACCCCCGTACCCGCTGGTGGACACCAGAGGTTCGGGGAGCCCCATGGAGAAAGACTAAAGATCGGCTCCAAAGAGGTTCTGGCAAACTGTCCGGGGCCTCAGGAGAGGGAGGCAGCAACTCGCTCACACTGTTTACAGTGGGAATGGGAAGCTGCTGACGTCAACTGGGGCTATAGTCGGATGGTGGAAGGAATACTTTGAGGAGCTCCTCAATCCCACCTACGCGCATTCCGAGGAGGAACCAGAGCCGGGAGACCTGGGGATGGACTGTCCAATCTCGGGGGCAGAAGTTGCTGAAGTAGTCAAACAACTACACAGCGGCAGAGCCCCAGGGGTGGATGAGATTCGTCCTGGGTATCTCAAGGCTATGGATGTTGTAGGGCTGTCGTGGTTGACACGTCTCTGCAACATTGCGTGGTCATCAGGGGCAGCTCCTGTGGAGTGGCAGACCGGGTGGTGGTCCCCATCTTTAAGAAGGGTGACCTGAGGGTGTGTTCCAACTATAGGGGGATCACACTCCTCAGCCTCCCTGGAAAGGTCTACTCCAAGGTACTGGAGAGGAGGGTCCGATCGATAGTTGAATCTCAGATTGAGGAGGAGCAATGTGGTTTTCATCCTGGCCGTGGAACTGTGGACCAGCTCTATACCCTTGCAAGGGTGATGGAGGGGGCATGAGAGTTTGCCAAACCAATCCACATGTGTTTTGCGGATTTGGAGAAGGCTTATGACCGTGTCCCCAGGGGCATCCTGTGGGGGACGCTCCAGGAGTATGGGGTGGGTGGCTTTCTGTTAAGGGCCATTTAGTCCCTTTATCAGAGGAGCGTGAGTTTGGTCCGCATAGCCGGTAGTAAGTCGGACCGTTTCCCGGTGAGGGTTGGACTCCGCCAGGGCTGCCCTTTGTCACCAGTTCTGTTCATTTATGGACAGAAGTTCTAGGCGCAGCCGTGGTGTGGAGTGTGTCGAGTTTGGTGGCAGGAGAATCCCGTCTCTGCTTTTTGTGGATGATGTGGTCCTCCTAGCTTCATCCAGCTCTGACCTTCAGCTCTTGCTGTGTAGGTTCGCGGCCGAGTGTGAAGCGGCTGGGATGAGGATCAGCACCTCCAAATCTGAGACCATGGTTCTCGACCGGAAAAGGGTGGCTTGCCAACTCCAGGTCGGGAGAGAGGTCCTACCTCAAGTGGAGGAGTTTAAGTATCTCGGGGTCTTGTTCACAAGTGAGGGTAGGAGGGATCGGGATCGACAGGCGGATTGGTTCAGCATCTGCAGTGATGCGGATGCTGAGCCGATCTGTCGTGGTGAAGAGGGAGCTGAGCCAGAAAGCCAGGCTCTCGATTTACCGGTCGATCTACGTCCCAATCCTCACCTATGGTCATGAGCTTTGGGTAACGACCGAAAGAATGAGATCACGGGTACAAGCGGCCGAAATGAGTTTCCTCCGTAGGGTGGCCGGGCTCAGCCTTAGAGATGGGGTGAGGAGCTTGGACATTCGGGAGGGACTCGGAGTAGAACCGCTGCTCTTCCGGATCGAAAGGAGTCAGTTGAGGTGGTTTGGGCATCTGGTCAGGATGCCTCTTGGACTCCTCCCTGGGGAGGTGTTCCAGGCATGTCCTGCCGGCAGGAGGCCCCCGGGTCAACCCAGGACACGTTGGAGAGGTTACATCTCCAATCTGGTCCGGGAACGCCTCGGGGTCCTGCCGGAGGAGCTGGTGGAGGTGGCCGGGGAGAGGACGGTCTGGAGCTCCCTAGTTGGGATGCTGCCCCCACGACCCGGACCCGGATAAGCGGAGGAAGACGACAACTAATATTAACAATAATTTGTAAGATTTATTTCTTTTAACCCTTTAGAACCCAACCATAATGAATTAGAAAACCGATTTGAATAAATACATCAGAATGTAAAAAATTATTTAATTAAATAAAGAAGTAGAATAATTTTCAATATATGTATGGATAGAATGTCAGTTAGGTTTTCAAACTTGAATAATTGACTCAAGAAGCAATTCTGCAGGTGTTTGAAATCAGTTGTGTCACCACGGGTCCTTAAGGGTTAACATTACTTCAGTTTTGGTGTGTTTTTAAAACATCACATATGATTCCTTTTGTACGGCGAATAGGAAAGCAGCTTCCACCATTGCCAAGTACCCCAACAAGATTAAGAGTGGAGAAGAGGCCAAGAAACTGGTTGGTGATTTTTAGTTTTGTACACTTGCTGCATTTGTTAAGAAGTCACCGTTGTTTAATGTATTAACATACATGAAAAGTTGAAGAAAATCACTAATTTTCTTCAACTTTTCACAATTTTACAGGATGGAGTTGGAGCCAAAATAGCAGAAAAGATTGATGAGTTTCTTCAAACTGGCAAGTTAAGGAAACTTGAAAAGGTAAGTTTGGATATTTGCATAATGGATATAAGAGCAAACAACCAAATGTGTTTGGATTCAAACGCATCACACTGACTGATGTTTGCTACTTTAATATTTTCTACCAGATCCGAAACGATGACACCAGCTCTTCCATCAATTTCCTTACCAGAGTAACTGGAATTGGGTATTGTATTGTTATTGTGACTATTATTACAGTTAAAAAGTGTCGGGGGATGTTTACAATTAAATACACAATCACCACATCACTTGGTTTTCTGTCCACAGCCCGGCTGCCGCAAGGAAGTTCTTCGAGGAAGGGGTTAAGACTTTAGATGGTTTGTGAAACAAATTCCCCTAAAACAGTTTCTTGTTTAATTTCATTTCACATCCAATGACTCTGAGACTCTGATCTCCATTGTTTCCCATGAAGTTGTTGTGTACAAATTTGGTTTTATTTATATATTGATTCTCATGATACTCATGGTTTTTATTTTCAGATTTGAAAAAGGTAGAGCACAAGCTAAATCATCATCAAAAGATTGGGCTCAAGTAAGCTCAGCCAAAATACGCTCATCCCCCAGCACCACCACTTTCCTTCATTTTCTGTTATTATTTGATGGTTTTAAAAGTATTTTTAACATAATAAATGTGCTGGTGTTTTCTTTGGTACTTAGGTACTTTGAAGAATTTGAAAAAAGAATCCCACGAGCTGAAATGGAGAAGATGGAGGTGATTTTGAATATTTCTACTAAGGCTTTTATGCCTAGTTCTCTTACACTGATCCTGTGTTTTTGTTTAGACTCTTATTCTTGGAGAGTTGACAGAAATCGATACAGAATACATCGGAACAATTTGTGGAAGCTACAGGAGAGGTAACCCAAGTAGAAAATAATTAGTTTTTAATTTAAGGTTTTAGTTGAGCTTTTTAATTAAGGTGAATAATTTCCAGGTGCAGCATCGAGTGGTGATATTGATATTTTATTGACCCACCCAAAGTACACTTCTCAAACCGAGAAGCAGGTCAGACCACCGTTTATTCTGTGGCTCATTGTTTTCTAAAGTAAATGCAGCTTTCTCTCATTTAAGCGTTTCTCATTTTCCAGCCCAAACTCCTTCATGCTGTGGTTGAGCATTTGGAGTCTGTCGGCTTCGTCACCGACACTTTGTCCAAAGGAGACACCAAGTTCATGGTGAGGCCTGTTTTGTTCTCAGCTGAGGAAACACACCAACCCTCTGTTGTACATGACCCTTTTCTTAATGTCCTGGATCTAGTGGTTTTTTCCCCTTTTCTCTAGGGCGTCTGTCAGCTGCAGCCTAGTGATGATGATGAGGAAGAATATCTTCACAGGCGTATTGATATAAGGTTAATATGGAAGTCTTACAGATTTTAATACATTAGGTTGCTTCAAAATAACGATTGAGTAATTCTGTCTTTATTCAAATAGTTTTTTTCTTGCTAGTTATTGATTTTCATTTCATTTCAAAAGGTTGATTCCCAAGGACCAATACTACTGTGGAGTTCTGTATTTTACTGGAAGTGACATCTTTAACAAAAATATGAGGACTCATGCCCTGGAGAAGGGCTTCACTCTTAATGAGTACACCATAAGACCACTTGGTGTCACTGGTGAGTCGAACAAAGCTAGATACACTCAGAACTTTGTTCAAGTTCTCAATAACCAGACATCATATAGACAGACACCCTGTGGACTTGTGCTGCCGTGGCAGGCTGCCATCTTGGATGGGTCTCCATTCACCCCCAGTGCATTTATTTCTACTGTTTAATGTATTTACGCAAATAAAAATACTTTTATTATGCTTTTTCACAAAGTCAGACATATGGTATGGCATGATAGTTAAATATCTTTTTTGCACATTATAAAAACTATACAATAATTTAACTATACACTTAATATAAATATAAATACACACTACAGTACTGGGTGACAGAAACAGACAGGCAAATTGATGATATTTCAGTGCAGCTTATTTATTGTGCAAGTTTGAGTTAATTATGGTGATAGCTTTAGGAAATAAGCTATCCCTGATTCCATTTGTTCTGGCCTGTATGGATCCGAAGCACCTGCCAGAGGACAGTAGGTTGAAAAGATGGTAGTTTTTAGCTGACCAGGAGAGGTCTGCAGAGATATGGATGCCAATACACTTCAAAGACTCCATTTGGTCCACAGATTGTCCATTGATGTGCAGGGGGGCAGGGGTCATTCTGTTCCGCCTGAGTTCCTTGGCCTTCCCAATGTTATGTTCCAGGTTGTTTAAAAATAATTACATAAAATAAACATAAAACATCTCAAATGTAAAATCCCAAAAGATAGGCTAGAAAAGTCCCACGTGATCTGTTTTCAATAGTGCGTTGGTTGATGCAACCATAAGCTGTACAAAATAAAGGCGTAGTTGCTCACTCTTCATTGACTCTTGGGTTTAGAGAATGGGGAACCCATCCAATGTGGTGGTGACACCGTTACTCCCTCCAACGCCCAATGAGGTGTCTGTCTTTGTCTACATTATTTACAGCAGTTCATTCTTGTATCTTTTAATCTGTTGTAGGAGTGGCTGGGGAGCCTCTGCTGGTGGATAGTGAGAAAGACATCTTTGACTACATCCAGTACAAATACAGAGAGCCGAAGGATCGCAGCGAGTAAAACAATGCTACAGCTGTCCTGCAAACAAGATTTTACTAGAAACAAGTGTTATGCTTTTGCCATACCTTCATAACGCTGAGAAGAAAGTAACTGTGAAAATGTTTTTAATGATTTGTGTTGAAATATTCCTACCTAAATTGAAATGGTCATCACTCTTGTGAAAAAAACGCTGTATTTATATGTTGACTTTACACACAAACATCCTTGTGAACATAACTTCAACTTGTTTTTTATCATGTAAACAATAATTTATTTGACCTTATTTTTATTAGTTTTTATTGTTACAAAAAAACAAAATGTCTAGATAAGTCATTTTTTAACTGGAATGACCTGTTGCATGTAATGTATGTGCTGAGACTCGTGTTTTTCTTGGCGATGGTGCTCTTGAATACAGCTTACTTGTACTTTTATTTCTTATTTGGTTAAGTAGACAAAGGGGAAAGTGGTAGTAGACGTTATCATGCCAATATTGTGCTTGCTTATCTGTTTGCGGGAAAAATACATGTTCGAATGGGACATAATAGCATTTTGAGTGATGTTTTCAAAAGTAAAATAAGGTGTAAGACTTGAATACAAGATTTGCATTAACTATTTTAGTTTGGGTTTTGAATACTTGCATGAGGGGGAATTATGAAATTGATTCAACTGTTAACTGAGTGTGAATGAAATAAAGGAAAGTGATGGATTTCTATTAGCCAGCCAACAGCAGCAAACATACTTTAAAATAGTGTTTCTTAACCTTCATGGCAGTTTACACTGAGATGCTAGAAAATAAACTTTTAGGCAAGGCTGCTTTATTCATAGAGCATGTCATACAAGCTACTCAGAGGCAGATGAATACATGAAATGTTTCCATTTTGATTGAAAAGTCACAAGAGTTTGGGCACTTTGAGGTCATAAATGCAATGCTTCTAAAGCCATTTTATAAATGAAAATGGACAGATATTTATAAATGTTGATCTGACAACATATTGCATGGCATGATGGGACAAAGTAAAATGCAAGGTAAAACTAAGTAAATCACGCAGCACATTCTATCCTTAAATCACAGTATTCAGGTTTGAAGGTAAATCTAGCATTTTGCATAATGGGAACTATATATGATTAATAGCCTCTTTTTTTAGTTGACATTCCGTCTAAAACTTTCACGATGATTCAGCAGCTAATTATCGTGGAATTGCACCTCATCAAAACAATGGACCCCATGAAACAAGGATAAAAATTGTCGTTACCTCATATTTTAAACAACTATTTATGGTTTCCTCCACAATATTTGAAGCGATATTTATATATTGTGTTGTGGCAAGATGGATGAAGACATTAGGTTGCTCTAGCAACAACGTGCCGCAATGCATGATGGGGTGAAATAAAATGCAAGTAAAAACACCAGAAAGACAAGCACAGATGGACCAATAGGCACGCTCCGTTTGTCTACACTGACCAATAGGATCACACCGAGGCTGCAGTCTCTCACCGTTACACACCCACATTACTTTTGTGTTAACCACTTCGCGGGAGTTGTCGCTTCAGAAATACGCATTCCGTTGATCCTATTCTCACACAGAAGTCAAGGTTTGAAGGTAAATCGACACATTTGCAAAATATAAACTCTATTTGATTTATAGTTGATGTTTCTTAAAAAAAATTGCGTTTTCTGACCCACATTTTTTTTCTATTTTCGCGATGAATGGCTAGTTATCATGGTTAAAGTGATTCCCCGCTCGTTATCTTTGTACGGAAAGTGTTAAAGAAACCCATGATTTAATCTCCCCATGATACTTAGGATACGATTATATTTGCTTACAAATAATTGTATGGTATGCGCGCCAAAATAGTTGGAATAGTTTTCCAACGGTCTGCATAACAATTATATTTTTCTCACAAAATTCTTGTTGATTCGTTGGAGGAAAAAATACTGATAATCATAAATGTCCTGCGTATCCATAGAAACTACGCAGCACACGCGGTTAACCATCCCGCATCTTCCGATAGAAGTTATGTAACACTGGTAGAAATGGCTTGTTCAAACATTATGTAGTCGTTGTTATTATGTAATAACGTAGCCCCTAACCAGCCGCTGTTGCTTGTTGCATGTACTTGACTCGCTATTGTCGCTGATGGTGATGATGAGTGTCAGGATGCTCGATCTCACTGTGTTTGTGCCAGCGTGCCTGCCAGAATGATGGTTTTTGTGTTTTGGTTACCCAGGGCAACCATGTCTGACAGAAAGCCAGTGATCAAAAATGCTGACATGTCGGAGGACATGCAGCAGGACGCCGTGGAGTGTGCCACGCAGGCCTTGGAGAAGTACAACATTGAGAAAGATATTGCTGCATATATCAAAAAGGTAATTAATAAAAGTAACCCCTGGAGTATCTGTCTTCCAATATTATATATATATAATCAATTAATAAATCATGTTAAAGAGCAAGTCACCCCCTACCAGATTTTTTCTCAACTCTCACTTCCTGTTAGAAAAATGCAACAAATGCTGTTGCCTAGCAGACCGAGAGGGTGGAGCTGCTAACAAATACACACACTCACGACATTGTGACATCATAATGTACCATCTAACATCATAGTGTACCTCTTAGGCAATAGCGACGGCAGATTTAAATTCAAATGCAGTGCAGAATTTTTACCTGACAACGGTGCAACACTTGGGTTTTAGGCAGAATATTCAAATTTTAACTAAGATGCACTAAAGTGCCGAATTATTGACTACATGTGTCTGCAGCACAATCACACACTCATTTATATAATCTGCAAAAAAAAAATGTTGATTTGGAGTGACTTGCTCTTTAAATGAATTGTGTTGCAACTATATCATTGACATTTAAGCCACTTAACACCCATTCAGTGCATTACTGTTTGTTGCACATTCAGCCTGGTATTTAATTTTTCTCTAAGCCAAATTGGCTCCTTTGGAGACCGATTCTTCTGTAGCTTGTTTGTAGCCACCATTTTTGGTGGCATTCTCTTTCCATTATGCACATTTAAATGTAAGGTAGCTGCTTGTTTTCTTAATATGTTAGATTCATTTGATTGGCTGATCTAACGTTTCTGTTGTGATCCAAATTTTAGATGATAGGGAAATACGGCATTGTTCCAGTGTAGTCTTTCTGAGGGATGCTGTTCTTCTTCCACCTAGGATTGAATGAAAACGTGACAAATTTTCTCTGACCACCCAGAGTGCAGAAAGACTGCATGTTTCTTGATGTTTGATAATCAAACGATCTCTGTCTCCACACAGGAGTTTGACAAGAAGTATAACCCGACATGGCACTGCATCGTTGGGAGGAACTTTGGCAGCTACGTAACTCATGAGACCAAGCATTTTATTTACTTCTACCTGGGTCAGGTGGCCATTCTGCTGTTCAAGTCCGGCTAAGGGAAAGCGTTTCTTTTCCTGATCCCAGGTGACCATACAGTACTAACGGACTCGACTAAAGGCACTCATCATTCCTTGGCAAGGGGCCGCTGCCTTTTTCTGTGCTGCATTCTACTTTATTTTTGAAGATAAAAACCGTGGCCATGTTCAAAGATATAACACTTGTATTTATTTTTGTCTCGTTCAACTAGATGCATCCGTTTTTTATTAAAGCGTGGCTGTCAAGCTGTCTGTGTTCCAATGTCTGTTGTGGTTATTTTGTTAAACTACTTGTTATTCATACCAATACAAGAAGGCAATAGGACAGGAAATTATGTACATTTCTAAATGCTCGAGTTTATTTTTTGCTAATTTTGTAAGTATTTGGTATGGGATTTAGCGGATTTCCAAAGTCTTGACAACTGAAGCTCCAATCACTTGCGCAATTTCTGATGTACGTCTGTCCCTTATGCTGTATAGTTCTGGAAAACCCAAGTTTCCGAAGAGTACGCTTGTATTTAACAGCAGGAGACGGCTACATTATAATCATGTGAAGCCAAATCAACATGGCCTATCTTAATCTGTTTCGTGTGACAATGTAAACTAATTCAGATCTTAATCTTGGGATATTCCAGTAGATTAAGGCCTAGTCCACGCGTAGCCGGTTTTTAAAAAAAACGAATACCCGCCCCTCCAAAAACTTTCATCCACACCACCTCGTTCTAAAAAAAAAAAAAACTCCACACGTACCCGGATAAACACGTTGTTAAGGACATGCCAGACCTGTAGGCGGCAGTACTTCCCCGGTCTTAACCTCGTCCTTCGTCTGTGGTCTTCCGCAAGGAGCAGTAATTCCACTCGCAAAAAGCGCTTGGACAATAAAGCGAGCGCAGCTCTGAGGGCATCCATGCTGTCGGCTAGTGTAAACACAGGTCGCACACGTGATGTCAGCATTTTTTGTCGCAGAAAGTGACATTGCGGACCTTAAAACTCCAGTTGTCCGTCCACACGCAGACACCCAAAACGGAGAAAACGCAGATCTTCACTTTGGCCGGAGTTTTTAAAAAGATCCGTTCTCGTGTGGATGACAGGCCAAAACGTAGAAAAATATCTACGTTTTGGCAGATCCCCGGCTACGTGTGGACAGCGCCTGTCAACCCCAATTTAAACAGTTCAACAAACACTCCTTTTGGAACTTTTTAAACACTTATGAATTAAGCCCTAAATCCGTTATTTGTGAAGCACACAAGGGGAAAACACTAATTGTTACACTGCACACAGGTGTGTTGTAGGAATCAGTGTTTATAAAAGTTGAACACAAATGATCTGATGACATTAGATTGTAGTCTTTATTTAACATGTTTAGAAAACCAGCTTGTGTGGATAAACGCCGTTTGACAGGCAGAAAGAAGAGCGCAAATATCCTTTCAGCTGTGGTACTTTCTTGATGAGGGGCAGGAGCTGAGCATCAACGGTCTTCTGGTCTCCCTTTCTCTGCTCTGTCAGCTGGTATTTCTGCAGATTAAGAAACAAATCAGTAATTATTAAGCTTGAAGCCATGTTCTGTGGTGTAATAAATGATACAATTTAAGGTTTAAGTTACCTCTTTCTCCGTATCAAAGATCTCTCCCTCCTGGTGACGGGGCCTCCTCAGTTTCTTCTTCTTGAAGTAAGCATCGTTGAGAGTTTTGGGAACCTTTACACCAGATATGTCAACTTTGGTAGCGGTAGCAATGACAAATTTCTGGTGAGCCCTGCGCAGGGGTACTCTGTTCAAGGCTAGAGGGCCTAAGAGAGCCAACAGAGAGCATGTCAGCGTTTTAACAACATTTTTAACTAGTTATTAATATAGAATTGACATCCTCACCGGTGACCAGCAGGAGACCACTTGAGAGCTGCTTCAGAAAGACCACACGCTGAAAAACAAAAGATCTCTATAACGGAGTGCACTTTGCAATAAAGACTTAAAATAGCAGCATCAACCTCTACATATACCTCTGTCACCCCCACACAGAACATCAATATTTCAAATCTACTGGACTTTCAGCCTTGCGATCATCTTAATGGTTCGCTGCCTGCCAGTTCAGCTAAAATGGTTTTTAGGTCAGCTGTCATCTCGGTGTGTGTGTGGGAACGTTTACGTCTAAAACTCGCTCATGCAGAATGTGAGTGGGAGAGAAACGCTGCCTGTTGTACTGAGGATGCGAGATTATGCTCGTGTCTAGCTTTTATGCTAAGCCTAGTGTGTAGTTGAGTAAAACACTAGCAGCAACACCTTTAGAGACTTAAATGTGCAAACTATTCTTCAGGTAAAATTTTGATGCAGTGAATTTTATTTGATATTGTGAGATAACAATAAAATAACACTTATACTAGAGGTCGGCTGACATGGGTTTTTCTGTTGCCGATACCGATGACGTCCACCCCCCCCAACCCCACTTGAAAATAAGCGTGTTAAATGTGTCTTTAAAATTCACGGACATCATACGTGAAATCCACGGAACATAACAAGCGGAATCAGAAAATAGCGTTTTAGCCCCATTGACTTGCATTCATTTTTCCGTTCTTCCGAGGACCCGTGGTCCGGAAGTAGATGGGCGTGACTAAAGGCTCCCTACATGTAGAGGTTGTTGTCAGCTGACGGCCGACTTATGCTGCAGAGTCTGTGGGCAGACTTCATGGCTGACATCTGGACATTTTCCACCTTATTTGAATGCTAAAATCTCGTCGACATAAGTCGATGCACAAAATTTCTGAAGCCAAATCAGTTTTTTGAACACTGAAATTAGCCAACAGTTAAATGTCAAAATCAGACATCTAATGAGTTAATGAAACATATCTATTAAGTGACCAAGCATTTAACTCAAAACTGGTAAATAAAATACATTTTGTTGAAAAAAACCATTTAGAGCATGCATTAGGCCGATGTTATTCAGAAACAAATGTACATCTAAATTAAAATCTGCAGTGGCACCGGGATGCCTGACTTTATATCTGCCTAGCTAAGGAGGTACATTGACCGAGGTCGATATAAAAATGCAAATATCGGCCTGATACATCAGCTGACCAACATCGGTCTACTTCTAGTTAAAACACAGCATTCTTCTGTTTGAGATTATTTAAGCTGACTTTGTTCGGATACCACATCTTTACAGACTATTGTAGCCAATAGTTTTCATGCGTAAGGCAATACTGACATTAAACGGATAAATAAGTTTTAACTTTTAATACTGCCGGTAATTTCTTCAGCATCCTGATACAGTTTAAGTCTGAAAATGCATTTGTTAAATAATAATGTATTCAAAACAATCTAAAAACCCTTTTTATTTATCAACTATCCCACCTGATGCCTTTTGTCAGTCAATTCTGCACCACTGATCACATCTTGATCAGTGCGCTCCAGTCTTACCTTTCCACGGTGGCGACCGGTAAGCAGAATGAGGACTGTTCCAGGAGTGATAGAGGAACGCAGATTCCTCTTGTGCAGCTTGAAGGGCTTCTTCCCATGGCTCTTCAGCTTACGAGGAACATCCTCCGTTGGGTAATAGCGTGGCTACAAGGACGACAGATTTAAATTAAACAAACACGTGAACATGCAAATGTTTTAAAACAGTAATGAGTACGTTTACATGCAGCCAATATCCGGGTTATGATCAGGTTAAGGTCGGTATTCGGGTTTCTGAGTTGATCAGAATAACCCGTTTACAAGCATAAATAGAAAGAGTTACCTCTAACTTGCATAACCCGATTTAAATGCAGATGTTGGGGTAGCGTTAAGACGTATGGACTACGTCCAGACGCAATATGCGTCATTTCTGGTTCTTCTCGTTCCGGTATCCGTGAAAACAACAACCTGTCTCCCAGTTCGGAAGAGATAGCGACCGCGTTTGTTTGCGCTTTAGTTTCTTCGTCACTCCAAAAGTGTGGTGCTGTGCCGCGACTCGCCATGTTGCTCCCCACTTGTTGTTTACTTCCGGAGTTCTGGCGCATACAAGACGTCTCGCTACTCAAAAGACCAAGATTCCTTGCGAACAGAGCATGCGCAGAACACACGCTTTGATGAGGATATCCCGGTATGCGTTTACACGACCAAAAAAGAAAAGGGTCACCCCAGGTGTAGTAACCGGGTTTTTTAAAAACCCCGTTATGAGCATATCCGGGTTTTTGGCGGTGTTTACATGGACCTGCGGAACCGGGTTATTGTGAATAATCGGGTTTTAAATGGGTTACTGGCTGTATGTAAACGCACTCAATGAAGGTATGACCATACGGTGTGTGCAAATTATTTAGGAAGATGTCAGAGCAGAATAGATAGTTTAAAAGCTTGCAATTTACAATGTGATGTCAGCCGAACACTCATGTGGGACAACTGTATTTCATCCACTATCATGTAATAGAATGACACTTCCTTTTAAACCAGTGTTTCCCAACCCTGGTTCTCAGGGCACAATGTCCTGCATGTTTTCCATTGTGCCCTTTTAAACACCAGTGTTTCCCTGCTGCCACACACCCGACTTAAAAGAACGAGTGACTAACAGGCATCTGTGGCGCTTGATGCATATCATATGGAAATCAGGTGTGCTGAAGCAGAGACATGGAAAACATGTAAGACAGTGTACCCTGAGGATCAGGGTTGGAAAACATCGTTTTAAACTGACTAGAAGCCTGAAGATGCCAGGAGCTTAGATTTTCAACACAGAGGGCTAAATTAAGAACATTTCAAAATACAACACTTTACAGAATACTTACCATCTTGCGCAGCTTAACAACGCGAGTGCCTCCATTCTTGTCTCCTCCAACAGTCTTTACCACCGTAGCCTGGGGTCTGGTCTTTACTTTCTTTTCAATCTAAAAATGAGAAAATGAAGATACAAAATCTAACCAAATGCTGTGTCCTACACTTTTGGAATCAAATAATATTAAGTGACAAGGACCCGTCCATGCCTTGGTCTCGGTGGTCTTGGTTTTCCTCTTGTACATTGCCCGGCGGGCGTACATAGCGGACCGGGAGTAGCGGCCAATGCCCCGGGCCAGAACCGGGTTCCGGCTCCCGTGCTTCTTCTTGGCAGCCTTCTTTTTATCTCCCTCTGCCATCTAACAGAGGAGACAGGTTGACGGTTATTAGAATATTAATAGCATCATTTATTAAATAATCATGGTTTTTAAGACTTAAGTTACACTTTGTGGGCAACTACTGCCTTGGTTTGGAGCCGTGGTGGTGGTGAACTACAACACCAGAACTGATCTAATGACAATCATAACATTAACCCTGTTGGTAGCCAGTAACTAAATAAACCTGCACGGGTTACAGAGAACTACGAAAACATGGCTCACTACGGTTCTGGTAAAGGTAAACCATGACAGATAAAGCTACAAAGGCACCAAATGCATAAGACGAGCGTTAGCAACATGCTAGCAACACATTAGCCGAGTCCATTTGCTAATCACATTTCTTTATAAATTTGACGCTGAGAGTAAAATTAAGCAAGAAGACAACTAAACTATGAGAACAGAGAATAGCAGAAACGGACACGTTTCTACAAACGGTGTGAGTAACGACAGTCTGGACAGAAGCTATCCGGCGGCCTATGCGCATCGGTGCACTAAACTCTTCCTTATTAAAGCAACGCTGTGAACAAATTTCTCTAATATTGACGTCTAACGGATCATGTAAATGTAAACTTTAATCTCTGAACATTTTCAGGCTCCAGTTTTTATTCAGTAACACTGATGAAAGCAGATTTTAATTTCTTGCGTTACACGAAAGCAAGGCTGTCTTACCTTTGCTATGAAAAAAAGACCGACATCCGGGGACGTTACGCATATAAGGACGCCAGACGATGACGTTGACGTTTTAGCGTCAGCTTTAAACAAAGTTGTGTTTTTCTGTTAGTCCAAATTATTTGTAATGGCTGTTATTTGATCACGAGGTTTTATTTATCCTATTTCAGTAAAAAATCTAAAATTTAATAATGGTTAATATATCTGCGAATGAACCACTGTTGACTTAATGAACGCTTGTCCTGTTCCAAAAATAGAAAACAAACAAACAAAAAAAAACTATTATGTAAATGGATATTTTGTGTGACTATTTTAATCAATGTAATAATCACTGAGAAAAAATGCTTAAAAATAATTTAAGCTGTGAAAAAAAACCTGAGTTTATCCCCCCGGCCCCCCCAAAAAGGCCATAAAACATAAAAAAAACTATAGGTTATTGCTGATGCGCAAAATATGTCTTGTTATAAATTATTGTTTTTTTATTGAGAACATTTGAATATTTCTGGCTTTTGCCTATTAAAAAGAAACACTACTCATAACAATAGTTAAATTAAGGATTTTTATTTTATTTTATACAAAAATAATTGTAATGTCAAGCTTTTGTTTGATTTGTTAATAATTTTTGTAGTGGCGTGTCATTAGACTCAGATTAATCAGTTTAATAAGTTCTGTTATTAGTTTTGAAATCAAAATAAAACATCAGGGGTAAAAATAAAAATACCTACAACAGGATCATTTTGGACAGTTTTATTTAAATTTTCTCATTTTTGTTTCGTCACAGAAGTACAAAATCGGTTAATGCAACCGCCTCGATTCTGGCAACACTAGACCCTAAAAAAGGAGTGATCCACAACATTTAAAGGCAGAATGCTGACACAACCCTGGACACAGAGTGGCATTTTAGGCACATACACACATAATCCTAAACCTTTGTACCTCAATAGATGCAGATGTGTGCTGCAGAAATCAGCTAATACCAAATACACAGTAAAAGTTAGATTAGTAGTGTTGCAATGAAGAATCTGGGCAGAGGTGTTCCATTATCACTGTTTTATGTTGGGAAAATGTCTCCTTTGAAGTTGTATCAACTATATTTTATTTCACATCAATGGATGGCACGTGTAGGAAATCCTTCAGCAGGAATCCTTCTGCAACCAGAAAGCTTTGTTGTTCAGCATCTTTCGAGGACGATGGCGATGCCTTGACCTCCACCGATGCAGGCAGACCCGATAGCATACTTGCCTCCTCGCCTCCTGTGATAAATAAAGTCTATAAGTGAAAGTATCTCAGGGTGCAAACGTTCTGGAACTCAAGCAGCTTTTGTTTTTGTATATCCAGCTAAAGGTGATGGCTTTTGTACCTGAGCTCGTGCACCAGGTGAGCAGTGATGCGTGTTCCAGAAGCACCAAGAGGATGACCAAGAGCGATGGCTCCACCGTCCACATTGCTTCTCTCTGGGTCCAGCCCAAGAGCTTTAGCAACAGCCAGATACTGAGGAGCAAAAGCTTCGTTCACCTGAGGACAGCACAGGACACGGTCATAACCAAATATTCCCCTAATGAATAAATCTAAATATGAAACGTGTTGTTTTTCCATTTCTGCTTACCGATAAAGGTCCAAAACAATCCAAACTAACCCTTTCTAGCCCACTCAGATAGAAGTATATTTAAGTGACTAAACGTATTGAAATGTGGAACTGCACTTTTTTTCCAGGTGCTGTAGTAGAAGTACTCTAACATGCAAAATAATTTCAGTGTTTGTGAAGTGACAAAAACTGTTTTTCACAAACCTCAACAAGAGCCATGTCGTTTAGTGACAAGCCCGCTTTCTTAAGGGCTTCTGTAATCGCTGGGACCGGACCTACGATGAACAAGAACTTTTTTTTTAAACATAATGGTTAAGATTTTTTTAAATAACATCTCTGATCACAATCAAAGTGATTGGACTGGATCTCCACTCACCAATTCCCATAATGCTTGGGTCGCAACCCGACACGTGATAGGACACAATCCTGGCCAGTGGGGTGAGCTTGTGTTCCTTTAGTGCGTCTTCACTTGCAATCACAACTGCAGCGGCACCATCAGAGACACCCTGAAGAACAAGAAGTACAGCTGGTATTATTACTATTATTAAAACAAGCTAGTTAACAAAGCTAGCTCGGTTCTGAGCTGCCCACTGGACTCAGATGTGGAGATGTGCAAAAGGAGGATGTTGGGGAAGATGGCGAGGCGTCCTTCCAGTGTTACGGCCCTCGCCTCTGGAACGAGCTGCCAGAGGGCCTCAGGGCCGCAGAGAACGTTCATGTTTTTAAGTCCAGGCTCAAGACCCATCTTTTTAGGTTAGCTTTTATCTAAATATTTACTACAGTTTTATTTCTCGTTTTACATGATTATGTTTTATTGCTAGCTTTGCATGTTTTATATGATGTTGCGTGTGCGTGTGTGTGCATGCGTGTGTGTTTGTGTGTGTGTGCATGAATGTGCATGTGTGTGTGTGCATGCATGTGTGCGTGTGTACATGCGTGTGTATGTGTGTGTGCATGCATGTGTGCATACGTGTGTGTGTGTGTGCATGTGTGTGTGCGTGCATACGTGTGTGCGCGTGCGTACGTGTGTGTGCATGTGTGTGCATGTGAGTGTGTGTGTGTGCATGTGTATGCGTGCGTGTGTGTGTGTGCGTACGTGCGTGTGTGTGTGTGTGTGTGTGTGTGTGCGTGAGTGTGTGTGCGTGAGTGTGCATGCGTGTGTGTGTGCGCACCCGTGCGTACGTGTGTGTGTGTGCGTGCATGTGCATGCGTGTGTGTGCATGTGTGTGTGTGTGTGTGCGTGCATGTGTGTGTGTGTGCGTGTGTGCATGTGTGTGTGTGCGTGCGTGCGTACGTGTGTGTGCGTGCATGTGCATGCGTGTTCATGCGTGTGTGTGCATGTGTGTGTGTGTGCGTGCATGTGTGTGTGTGCGTGTGTGCATGTGTGTGTGTGCGTGCGTGCGTACGTGTGTGTGCATGCGTGCGTGTGTGTGCATGCATGTGCGTGCGTGCGTGTGCGTGCATGTGCATGCATGTGTGTGTGTGTGCGTGCACTTTGTTTGAAAAGCGCTTTATAAATAAATCTGATTGATTGATCATCTTAAAAATCCCCTCCCACCCACCGTGTTCCACTGCGGGGACCATGGACAGCTCCTTCAGAGGCAGACTGAGACATCCCAGATGTAAAACACAACGCTACCGTAGGTCATTCATCCCCTCTGCAGTAAGAGTGTAGAACTCCTCAGTTTAGCTTGTACTGGTATTATCCTGGTACACAAGAACCCCACTGCAATACTCAGTATGTGTTCAATACCTGGTTCACATAGTATGACTGTGTCCCTTACAGTATTCGTGGTTTTTAGTGGTCAACGGTTACAATAGCTCACTGCCTATGTGCATGTACATGTAGCTTTGTTAATATTATAGAGTTTGTGCTGCTGTAACAAGTGAATTTCCCCACTGTGGGATCAATAAAGTCTATTCTATTCTATTCTATTCTATTCTGAAACAGCCACACAGATGCAGCTATGAGAGCTTCTGAAGCTGCACATTAGCTCACCGAAGCGTTGGCAGCAGTGACGGTCCCTCCCTTCTTGAACACCGTAGGTAGTTTGGCCATCTGTTCCATGGTGGTCTGAGGCCGAGGATGCTCATCCTGAGCCATGGGAACTTTACCTTTCTTCCCTTTTACTTCAATGGGAGCAATTTCAGCTGTGAAGCGACCGCCATCGTGAGCTGTAAGGAAAAAGATAATAATGTTGAGTTAAGATGCAACCCCGTCTGTGAACAATACAGTAAGGCGACATATTAAAGCTCAAATTTGTGCAGAGAGCACCAGATGCATTCTGCCCACCTGACTTCCACCTTTGCTGTGTCTGGTATGCGTAGTTGTCACAGTCCTCTCGTGTTATCTGGTATTTCTCTGCCAGGTTTTCTGCTGTGACACCCATTGGGGTCTTGATTTGAAGATCAGTCAAACCTGCCCACAAAGTGTCTTCTAGCTGTCAGGGAGATGAGGACAGAGAGAGAAGAGTTTTATATTTGGATTCATATTTCCAACCAGTACTCAGAAATCTGAATATGGGGAAAAACATTCAGCTAAGAAAACCTTGAGATCGACTCCAAACTTGGTTCCAAAGCGGATGTTGCGAACAGCATATGGAGCCTGGCTCATGCTCTCTGAACCTCCACACAGAACCACTTCGGACTCCCGAAGACAAATCTCCTGCAAACGTTTGAGACAAAATAAGGAACATTTAAGTCAATATTCCAATCTTGTTTGTCCTAACGAAGCTTCACAGTGATGCCATATTATCAATCTGAACAAAGCTATTAATACTTTTAATAATAATAATAAAAATGATGATTGAACTTATATAGCGCTTTTCTAGACACCCAAAGACGCTTTCACATACTCTTCAGGGTATCTGCAGGTTTAAGGGAGCCAAGACTTTTTAAGACATTTTTTAAGGCCACTTTGACCAAATTTAAGCAATTTTTTAAATTTAATTTAAGCTATAATTTCCAGCTATTGCCTGGAACCGGTGCTAACCACGTCGCGAACGTGGGATTAACCATCCAGTTACCATTAACGTTGCCCTTCCCCATGGCGCAAGCTCCCGCTAGCTTAACCAGCTAATATGCTCATCTAAAAATAGCCCCCTTTCACAACCAACTGAACGTGCACGGCTCCGCTTACGCCAACATCACACACAGAAAATGCTGAAGACTAACTAGATATTCACGAAAATTTTATAGGAATAAAATAATCTTGTTTATTGGGTCTTTGAAAATTTAAGACCTTTGGAAACTGTATTTAAGGATTATTTGTCATTTTTAAGGATTTTTAAGGCCTTAAATTTGGAAAAGCAAATTTAAGACTTTTTAAGGACCCGCGGATACCCTGCTCTTACATTCACACACTGCTAGTGATGGTGAGCTACTTGTAGCCACAGCCGCCCTGGGGAGGTCTGACAGAGGCGAGGCTGCCATTTGGCGCCGTCGGCCCCTCTGACCACCACCAACACAGGCAAGTTGGGTGAAGTGTTTTGCCCAAGGACACAGCAGCAGGATACCCCTGGCGGGAGCTGGAATCGGACCCGTGACCCTCCGATCATGAGGCAACCCGCTCTACCAACTGAGCTACTGCTGCCCCAAACTTTTCTTCATATACTCAAAAAATAACAATGTTTAAGTCAACAGTCAGCGATGAAAACGGACTAATCTAATTCAGTAATGGAGTAACTAACACCTATAGCAGTGCTACAACACAAAATGCTTCAAAACATCTTTTGTTTTGGTTTATTGCTTACATGAGTACCACTGATGATGGACTGGAAACCAGACCCACACAGTCTGTTCACAGTGAGAGCAGGAACCGGGATGGGGACGCCACACCTCAGGCCCACGTGACGGGCGATGTACGCAGCATCAGCTGAGCTCTGAGACAAAAAGAAAATAGTCAAAAATGAAAAGAAATGAACCAAACATAAAACAAGACCATTTTAAATGAATGTCAGGTAAAGTACCTGCATGACGTTACCCACGATGACACTGTTCACGAGCTCTGGAGCCACGCCCCCAGCAGCAAGGGCAGCTTTGGCTGCATGCTCGGCCAAATCTGTTGCACTGTGATCCTTCAGTGCACCACCGTAGGTGCCGAACGGAGTGCGCTTGGCTGCTACGATAAAAACACCTACAGGAAAAAGAAGAATTTTAGATCAAAACCTGTGGAAATTCTCTTACTGGTTTAGGAAGGAACGATATATTCAAATATGCAGATCCACAATCATCATCATTTATTTATTTCCAACATGCCAATAACATCACAATTAACAACAGGATATAAATCAATAATGAACCTCACAAGATAAATCAATAATAAATCAAGATGACATTGTTGTAGGCATGTTCGAAAGCTAAGCTTATTCAAGCCCACCACTATTTTTCACTAACAGTTTAACCTTCAATGTGTAGAAAAAACTGTAATTCAACAACCTTATGACCAAAGAAAATCACAACAACAATAATAATTATAATGGTAGTCTAGACAATTTTACTATTCTTGTCAATATCATTAATTATATATTCCCATACACCTTTACTCACATCATCGCCCATTCTCATGTGTAATGTATTTTAACCTAACTGTTCTTCTGTAGTGAGCTTTAAAAATCTGAATTTTTTGACATTGTTTGTGATCAGTCTTTAAGTTATTCCATATTTTTATCCCACACACACACACACACACACACACACACACACACACACACACACACACACACACACACACACACACACACACACACACACACACACACACACACACACACACACAGAAGCTTTTACGTGTTGTTTGCACCAGGGCTAATTTAAATATTTGATCTCTCCTTAGGCCATGTGACAGCTCTTTAATTATAAATAGCTTTTGTAAATTATTTGGTAGAAGTTTATTAAATGCTTTGAACAGAATTTGAACAGTTTGATATTTAATTATATCCTGTAATTTTAATAATTTTGATTGTAAAAAAGTTGATTTGTTTGTTCTAAGAATACAACCTTATTTATGATACGGACCGCTCTTTTTTGCAATATATAAAGAGGCTGTAAGGAGCATTGATTATTATTCCCCCATACCTCAGCACCATAAGTAAAATAAGGGAGAACTATGGAGCAATACAATACACGAAGTGTGTTGCAATCAAGAAATGACTTGGCTTTATTTATTATCGATAGACTTTTTGAGATTTTTTGTTTTGTGTGTCTGATGTGAGGTTTCCATGACAGTTTACTGTCTATTGTGATTCCCAAAAATATGCTTTCTTGTACCATTTCAATTTGAAAACCATCTATATTTATTGGCAACTCAAACTTTGTTTCTTGATTACCAAATTTTATTGCTTTAGTCTGGTTTAAATTTAATGACAACTTATTGCTGTCCATCCATCTTTTAACAACAATCAATTCTTCATTTATTTTTTAATAAGATTTGGATAATTGTCACTGCTATAAAATATGTTTGTATCATCTGCAAATAAAATAAATTTTTGTGATGTAGATGTTTCAAAAATATCATTAATGTGCAAATTGAACAGACTAGGTCCCAGTACTGATCCCTGGGGTACACCACAAGCAATGTCAAGATTTTTTGACGCTTTCTGTCCAATATTAATATACTGTACCCTTCCACTTAAATAACTTCTTACCCAGTTCAATGCCACTCCTATTTTTATGTATAATCTCCATTCAACGTTACATTAAATAGCTTTCTCATTCTGATTTGTCAGGAACGTATCTGAACAGAGCTCTTATATACACTGCTGAAAAAAGGGAACACAAAAATAAGACATTCTAGATCTGAATGAAATATTCTTAATATTAAATACTTGTTAAATACTTATTAATACAGCCCATGGAGGTCTGGATTTGGAGTCACACTAAAAATTAAAGTAGAAAAACAAACTGATCCAATTTTGATTTACTGTGTTTAAAACAAGTCAAAATGAGGCTCAGTAGTCTGGGTGGCCTCCGCATGCCTGTACGAGCTTCCTACAATGCCTGGGCAGGCTCCTGATGAAGTGGCGGATGGCTTCCTGAGGGATCTCCTCCCAGACGTGGACTAAACCATCCACCAGCATTGACGGATGGAGGGAGACGTGATGTCCCAGATGTGCTCAATTTGATTCAGGTCTGGAGGCCAGTCCATAGCATCAATGCCTTGGTTTTGCAAGAACTGCATACACACTCCAGTCACGAGATCTAGCATCGTCCTGCATTAGGAGGAACCCAGGGCCAACTGCACCAGCATATGGTCTCACAAGGGGTCTGAGGACCTCATGTCAGTATCTAATGGCAATCAGGCTACTTCTAGTGAGCACATGGAGGGCTGTGTGGTCCCCCAAAGAAATGCCACTCCACACCATTACTGACCCACTGCCAAAGCGGTCGTGATGGACGACGTTGCAGGCAGCAGAACGTTCTCCATGGCATCTCCAGACTCTGTCACATGTGCTCAGTGTGAATCTGCTTTCATCTGTTAAGAGCACATGGCGCCAGTTGCGAATTTGCAAATGTTGGTGTTCTCAGGAAAATGCTAAACGTCCTGCACGGCGTTGGGCTGTAAGCACAACCCCCACCAGCCCCCAGCTCACACTGATGTGCCATCCTGGATGAGCTGCACTACCTGAGCCACTTGTGTGGGTGGGTTGTAGACTCCATCTCATGCTATAACTAGGGTGAGAGCACTGCCAGCATTCAAAAGTGACCAAAACATCAGCCAGAAGACAGGAACTGAGAAGTGGTCAGTGGTCACCACCTGTAACAGTTCTCCTCTATTAGGGATGTCTTGCTATTTGCCTATAATTTCCACCTGTTGTCTATTTCATTTGCACAATAACATGTGAAATTGTCAATCGGTGTTGCTTCCTGAGAGGAGTTTGATTTGTGTGACTGACTTGGAGTTACATTGTGTTGTTGCTTTATGTGTCGTTTAGCTCTGAATCAGAGCAATCTGTGATACGTGTCAGGAAGTGCAGCACGTTTTGACCTGAACTGAAAGGAGGTGGGTTGATTTAGTGGTGATGAAAACCAAAGTGACATCAGATTTGTTTGTTGAGTGTGTTTGTTTACTGTTGTGTAATGTATCTGATTTTTCCTTCATTCTATGAGAAAATATCACTTAAACACAAAGCTATCAATGGAAACAAAGGAATCAAATAATAGTTAAGCGGGAGGATAATCAAAATATATCACATTTATCTTTTTGTATTCTAAAATATAAATCACATTCGCTATCAGATTCTATATTTTACTCATTTAGAAACTCAAATTCTGTATATTAAATTTGATGTTATTGTATGTTTGAAACTAGTAAACCGAGATATAAACAAAACTTTGTGAATAGTTGTCATGCAATAGTATTATTATGGCACGCTGAAAAACACTGATACAATACAGAATGTTTTATTTGTTGTCACTCACACACACACACACACACACACACACACACACACACACACACACACACACACACCACTAAAATGATGAAAAATCATTAGGATAGTAGATAACTGTCAGAAGCATTACAATAGTTTCTATGGTTTAAAAATGATTTTGAGAGATTTTTTTCCCCCATTTTACACAAATTATCTGTATGGATTATATCTGCAGTTCACTGGGATTATTTTGGTCAGGTTATTAATAATACTACTAATAATAAAAATAAATTAAAAATGTAGCTCCAACTTTTTCTGCTGCCCACAGTTAAAAAAAAGCTAGTATTAAGAATTTATGACATTAAAGTAATCCAAAAACATACAATTTTACATCTAGAAGAGCTGTTAATAATCGTCCTAACACTATCCTGTCACCTTTAGCCTATATGGTGACGAAGTGTCAACTCACCTGATCTGGCATGTACAGTTTTACAGTACATTTGTAATTTCAGCATTAGCTGCAGGTCATTCATTGATGGTATACAACATAGCAAGAAAACGAGCGAAAATGTCCTACTTTTTGCTTTATTTACACTCAGTTTGCTGCTTTCTAAATGCTGAACTGAAGCGTTCGTTTACCTCTGAGAAGAGCCATGGTGTTGGTTCAACAATCCGCTTCAGCCAAAATCAAAGTTTTAAACAGATATCTTGCTGTTGCACTCTTCAAGCTGCTCACGAGCGTAGAAAGAGCCACTGCGACCTTTCACCCAAATAAAGCATTGGCTAATTTGTCGCTCACACAGACAGATTCAACAAAAAATATCTACATCAAGATTTAATATGAGCTTATTATAACGTAAAAGTTTCATTAAATACTTTTAATATCTTATAGATCATAAAAAAACTTCATGTGAAATTTTTTAAGTTATATTTGTGTTTTCAAAAACTCTGAATCTGCGTTCGAGAAACTTGAAATCTTACGGTGGGTTACGTCATATTCGTGCGACATTTCAGCTGTGTTCGGTCCACATTGACATCGGGCAAATGACCTGTGAACGTTTTTGTTTAGTTTTTCACTCGGATTTTGGTTTTTAATTAAACCTACGTCCTATTAAACATGCATTTTGAATTTTCTCGATGTCTCTGCAGGGTTTTGTCCCGACACGCTGCTCCTTCACGGTAATAACGGTGAAAAGTGACGTGTCCTCCAATGAATGTTTTAGTATAGACTAGAGAAATTGTGATAAACTTGATCTGTGACTAAAATTACTCATTAACGCTGATGGGCGGCTGACTCTTATTCTTCTGAGTTTGTTTGTATTATTTTGCAGCGTCCTGTTGGGACAGCATAAACAAGCTATACAAAGTCCCTGGTTTTCACCTGTGGTCACCCTGAAAACATCTGCTCCACTGAGGTAGGATGAGACGAGCTGATTTTATAACACACCAACTTCTATGTCACTAATACACGACTTAAAACTGCTTATCTAGCCCTTGCTGTACATTTTCAATACACTATCTTTACCTTTTTTAATTTTCTCACAGATTGAAAACTAAAATGTTCCTTTAATTCCATAAATCAAATGATAGTTTCACAAACTCTGTCTGCCTTTGTTGTTTGTGGCCCACGTGTTCAAATATGGAAAAAATCCCATCTAACCCTAAACTTGTGGAAATTTTAGTAAAGCAGCAGAATACAGAACATTATAAAATGTGTATGCAAACAGTTACTATTACATTTGTGCTGAGTGTATTACTTATCAATGATTGAAAATAAAAAAAACCTGTGAATGAAATGCACTAACATAAAATCACGGTTTGTGTTGCACCAGAGCGGAGCAAAGAAAGAAGAAGAAAGTTGACCCACGGAGGGAACAGATGGCGAGGGAGCGGCTGAAGAAAAGGCTGAAAAAGATGGAGAAAGTACCGCCTGAGCTCATTCCCATAGAGGACTTTATGACATCAACCAAGTGTTTGGACGAAACACGGTAAAAATAATTCACTGTTCTTCAGCAATGGCAACTCCTAGGCAGTAAAACCAAATTAGATGATTGAATATTTGTTCAACGTTGGAGTTTTGATTTTACTTCTCTGTATTTATTCTTGCAGAGTACGCCCTGCTCCAAGGCTTTCATTCGAAGAGAGTGAAAGTCGAGCTCTCCTGTTGAAAGAATGGAGTCGATACAAACAGGTTAACATGTATTTCATCTCCTTACGTGTAAGATTTGATATAAAATGTTCATTTGACTTATTCTCTGCAAGATGCTTAGTTATAATGAAGTATGTCTTTTGTTTGGCAGAAGCAACACAAGGCTGAAGTAGAGGCTGTTGAACTTGCTTTGGAGGCGCAAAGGGAGGCGCTGAAGGAGCTCAAGTTGGAGTCTGAGGAGCTGTACCTGGCAGCACTGGAGCCAGATCTGCTCCTTTTCCCCTACACTCGTGAAGGTCCTGTCTACTCGCCTCCCATCCCAAAATATGATGCTCCAGATGGGAAATATAATGACATTACTAAAGTGTACACTCAGTGAAAGTCCGAGAACAGCTGCACCTTCTGTAATATTTGTGCTGGTTTTATGTCAGTGAGCTGAGACGCAGCTTTTTGTTAACTTGCAGGTTTGGGTTTAAGGAAAAATGTTTTTCTTACAGAAACCTCATCAACTTTGATGTTTGAAGTCACATCAGCTACTGTCCAGTGAATAATTATCATTTTTGACCTTTATTGCATATTGATATGCTGTTTAAATTAAAAAGGTAAAAATAATGTTTTCACCGAGTTTGACCTTTTTTTCCTCAGAATTAATTAAATGTTCAGTACACAAGCATGCATTCAATCATCAAAGAGCAAGTCACCCCCTACCAGATTCTTACTCAACTCCCACTTCCTGTTTGAAAAATGCAACAAATGCTGTTGCCTAGCAGACCAAGCCACTAACAAATACACACGCACAGGCTCACAATGACATTGTGACATCATATGGTAACAGCTAACATTCTAGGGTACCTCTTAGCCAATAGCGATGGCAGATTTAAATTCAACTTCCGCTTCCGGTCGGTTACAAGATGGCGCCTGTGCTTGGCTTAGCTGCGGTCACCGGCCATTCCACTAACCTCTCTTCCACCTTGCTCCTGTCTGCGATCCTCTTCAGTAGTGTCCCTGCTACCATCTCCTATGATCGCCAGACTCTTTTGTCCTTCCGTTCGTTCACGATCACCCAAGCTGCACCCAGGACGTACCTCCCTGTTTGTTTACCTGAGTGGCGCACTGGCCCGGAGCCAAACGACGATTCCAACCAGGGCGCCTCCAGCGATGTTTATCCGGTCCCGGGAAAACGTCGGAGGAAAAGAGGTAAACGAGCAGAAATCCAGGTGAGAATAAGGCTTCTCTTAAAGCGTGGTTTATCTAGTAAACATCGGCGTGATCTTCTAGCTTCTTGTCCTTTGTTTGGTGACCTGAGCGCCACTTCCGCATTCCTGCCAGGCCGCGTTGTGACGCGGTTTCTCCGTCCCAAGTTTTTTAAGTCGGTTTATCCCCATTCCTCAGTGGTTTCTCCTCCTGTTCCCTCCATAAGTGGTTGTTATAAACACCGTGGATCTAACCCTGCTAATTTACGTCCACTAACTCCAGCTGTTTCTGTAGTTTCTGATTCCTCCACCTCACTCAGCATGGCTCTATTAAATACCCGCTCTGTTAACAATAAGTCCTTCCTGCTCAATGATCTAATTCTCTCTAAAAACCTGGATTTTCTATTTCTGACTGAAGTTTGGCAGCAAACATCTGATTATTCTGCTCTGATTGAACTTTGCCCGAGTGGTTATTCTTTTCTTAGCCAGCCCCGGGGTTCTGGTCGTGGTGGAGGCCTAGCTGTTGTTTTCAGAGACCATCTTCCACGTAGCTCTACAACCTCTGGTCACTTTGCTTCATTTGAACTGCAGCTGATTAAAGTCGGGCGTAAGGACCCGTTCTACTGTGCTGTGGTCTATCGTCCACCTGGTCCAAACAGTTCTTTCCTTCAGGAGTTTAGTGACTTTCTATCCTCCACTGTGAAGCTGTCCAGACTGGTGATTGCTGGTGACTTTAACATCCACGTTGATGATCCCTCCGATCACTTTGCCATGAATTTCTCCAGCCTTATGGACTCCTTCAGCTTTACCCAACATGTTTCTGGCCCCACACACCAGGGGGCACACTCTAGACCTTGTTTTTACCCTGAGTCTAAATGCTGACAGTGTTTGTCCTGAGGACGTTTATATTTCAGATCACCATTGTGTTTTCTTTAACTTGTCAGTTTCTGCGTCCCCACCTCCTGCTCGCCGTATGGTTAGTTCTCTTTTTCTTAATGAGAGCACAGCTACCAATTTTTCTGCTGCTTTTGATCCACCCTGTTCTTCTGATAACGACCCAGATTCCTTAACTTCTCAGTTTAACGAGCACTGCCTCTCCATCCTGGACATCTGTCCTGTCAGAACCAGATCAGTTCCTGCAGTGAACCCTACTCCCTGGTTTAATGACAGCCTTCGCAGCCTGAAGCGCCAATGCAGAAAAATTTAGCGTTTGTGGAAGAAAACCCATCTCCACGTCCATATGCTGCACCTAAAGCATCTTCTGACATCCTTTAACTCTGCAGTCAGAGACGCTAGGGTTTCCTATTTCTCCAACCTGATGTCCCAGAGCAAAGGGAACCCCAAGGTGCTGTTTAACACCATCAGCAGCATCGTCTCTCCTGCCTCTCCTACAGCCTCCATCCACTCTGTTGCAGACTGTGAGAACTTTCTGTCTTTCTTTGTGGACAAAGTCAATAAGGTTAGATCTAGCATCTCTCCTTCAGCCTTATCGCCGCCTCTCCCGACTCCAACCAGGCCCATCATCCTAGATAGCTTTGCTCCTGTTTCTTTGCCTGAGTTAACCAAACTAGTTAACTCTACGAAGACCTCTGCATGCCCCCTCCACATCTTACCCTCATCTTTGTTTAAAAGTGCTTTTCAGTCCATCGGTCCCAGCGTGCTCTCTATAATTAATGCTTCTCTGGTCTCTGGTCAGGTCCCTGCTTACTTTAAGAATGCTGTAATCCACCCGCTTCTTAAAAAACCAAGTCTCGACCCCTCTCTCCATAGCAGCTTCAGACCCATCTCTAAACTTCCGTTCATCTCCAAGATCTTGGAGAATGTTGTGGCTGAACAACTCACAGCTGCTCTTGATGAACACAACATCTATGATAGCTTCCAGTCAGGTTTTCTTAGAGCTCATTCTACTGAAACAGCTCTTCTTAGGGTCTCTAATGACCTTCTGACTCACAGGGATGCAGGGGACTGTTCTGTTCTTCAAATGCAGAGTTTTTACCTGACAACGGCACAACACTGACAGTTTTGGGCAGAAAATTTAAATTTGAACTAAAATGCACTAAAATGCAAAACTATTAACTGCACGTGTCTGCAGCACGATTAGACACACATTTATATAGTTTATCAGAAAAAAAAGTTGAGTTGGGGGTGACTTGCTCTTTAAATAACATTAAAAAGATTCTTAGGTAACCTGCTTCAGTCCAGGTGATAATGAGTGTGATACAGTAACACCGTCTTCACTACTTTATTATATCAGGATATTAAACTCATTTAATTACTCAGTGCTTTAGTTTTTTTTGGGAACTTTCGTAATTAAGTCACAACAATGGTGCAATCACATTTCAGGAGTCACGTGGGTTTTCCTGGTTCAGGGGCATGTGCCAGTCTCTGGGAGGCTCCCGTCTCAGTTCCCACACTGGTTTAAAGTTTTTTTGCTCTGCCACTCGAGTCCTTTCACTTTTCTGCAATGCTTCCTGTAAAAAAATCACAAATTTCATTTTGAAACCACTGTAAGCCATGAAACCATAAAGTTTTCAATTTGTTACAGATGTGATTTCCTGCAACAGCACCTTGGCTTCTGTGTTTGAGTGTGTCTCCCACTGTCTGCAGTTATGGTAGTCCTCTTTCCACTGGTGACAGGCTGGGAAGGTGCCATATGCATAGTAGTGATGGAAACGATTACTGAAACTTTTACAGTGTCTGAATTCATTTAAATAGTCTTCACACATTCGTGGTGGCTGAAAAAAACAAGAGTATAAGAACAGCAAATAAAACTAAACTATGGAAAAAAAAGTCCAATTTGACACTTCTATTTCTTTACAGCTATGATATCCGATTCTTTTTAAAGGACATGGAGAGAGAAAAAAAAACGTTTCCGAGGAAGTATACAAACCAAAATAGACTTTGCAGTATATTGTGATTCATGTTTCAACTCCTAGTGTTACTGATCTTACGTTAACAGCGCCGCCTGGCGGTTGTTGGTATAAACTCCAGGTGCTCAAGCATCGCACGAACAGATCACTAACGTAACGAGCAAAGTTTGATTCCAAATAAAACAAAAAGCCATAAACGTCTCACAGATTTCATGTCGGTCATTGGTGTTATTTACGCTCACCTGAGGGCCGGGTTTCTATGTGATAACTTATCAGCAAAGCTATCACAATGCTAACTCCCCACTAGGTTTAGGCATTTCTCAAATTATTTAGCACAGCAAATAACGACATAAATTAAAAATACGCTATGCTACAAACAACTTGATAATGAACAGAATTGTGAATAAGTTACCCTCCACGTCGCTGCAATACGACCATCCATTATTAGTAGCTATGGCTAAGCTAAAGCTAGCTTGGAAGACTGCTGCACTTCCGGTCATTTCAAAATAAAAGCATCCGTGCAATTACTAGCAATTTTTTTCCAATAATTTTTCACTCATTTTAAATCAATCACCAATTTTGAACTAATATAAAATGTGTTCTTGAGTACTACAAACTTGTGGGTTCCCTTATAAACAGTGTTTTTTTTATTTCGAATCAACCCCGTTTCAGTCACTTTATTATAGCTGAAAACCATCTAACCAACTTTACATTTAATACAAAAATAAGGAGAACTGACCGCATTCTATTACATTGCAGAAACAAATACAAGTTCAAAAGGCAATCCTTTATTTGTCTATAACTAAACCAGAAAAAATGTTCCAAAGAATTTAATCATAAAACAATATGCCCAAACATCAAAGAAAAGTATTATTGCTTCTACTGTTCTAAAACAATGGAATTCTGAATTGTAATACATCTAACATAAGTCAAAGTTCCTTCCAATAATCACCAAGTAGTGATGCTGTTTTTCTCCAGGCCCCTACCCTGCACTTTTTAATACAAATTATAACTCTGTTTGTAAGCAATGCTGCCTGTTAGAGCAAAAAATATTACTGTCAAAGTCAATTATAAACCTACGACCAAAAGTCAAATGCAAAGAACCCACTTCAAACAGACACTGAGAAAAAAACCCTCGTTTCTGAAGACCAAATTTTACTTTGCTGTTGAAAACATCGCTTCAGTCAAACCCTTTAAGGCTTTCTGCCCTTCTTGCGTAATGACTGTCCTTCTCCAGAAAAGGCAATGAATCTGTTCAAGGCATCATCCTGGAAAGAAAAAAAAAGTATATTAGGTGTGTTTTGGCTATAAAAGCAGCAGGAGCTTGAAAATAAAGTCACAAAATGAGAAAATCGAATACTAATTAAAAAAACGGAAAAGGCTAAGAGATTAGAGGTGAAATAAACCGTTTAATGCAGAGAATAAACATGTGCACATAACCCAAACTGATTACTTACCTCCTCTATATTTTTCTTGGGCTGAGGTCTGGAGTTCCTGATAAAAGTGATGCGGCCAACTTTGAAGTCATAGTTCGGAATGCCTCTGTGGCGGAAGATTGCACATCAGGTTAGAAAACGTTCACATATAAAACATCGCTGAGACGGTTCTCAGTTCAGTGATTTATGCAAAAGATATTATTTTGTTACTACAGTCGATTGTGTGAGTGGCAAAATAAAGGGATTATTGACAGGACATTTGCTATGATGTACTGGGTTAAATTTGATGGCAGACATTTTTAATCTCCCCTTTGTTCCTCATGATCTCTTTTAGCACTTTTCTTACCACTAAAAGCTCCAAATGATTCTAACAATAATCTGAACACGGACCGTGATCAGTTACAGATCCTTAACATGTTGAGAAATCTGGCTGTTTACCTTTTCATGTCACTTGCAGTGAGAGGAGCAGGACTGGGTTCAATCCCCTTCGTTTTTCCATCCAGGCGATTTCCAGAACCAGTAAAAGCCTAAACAACAACAAAAAAAAAACATTTTAAAAGCCAAATTATCTCCAATTTCCAAAGTAATCAGTAGTCATATGGCCTTTTATTTTATTCTAAAAGGCCCGTTTCCACTATTGGATCTTCTGGGTAATTTAACTAGACCTTTCCGGTATGAACGTGTCTCCATTTCACCAGACTGGCCTGAAAGCACCATTTCAGAAACCACCCAAGTACTGTGAACTGGGGTTTGTACTCGTGAATGCCCCAGTAGAGTCGCTAGGTGGGACTACTAGTTAACTCATACTGATTGGTTGTAAGTGGAAAACAGTATCAGCAGAGATCACCAAACCAGCATTTTTATCTGGTGAACTTTGACAGAATAAACTTTTTTTTAATGTTATTAATGTGTGTGTGCACCTTTTGGCGCTGAATAGTGATGTCACTCACTGCAGAAATGGTTACCATATACAAATGTGTTAGAGAAGTCTTTAAAGGGACGATTTTGGATGGAGACATAACAGCTGAGAGGACCGGGCCAGCATATTTTTCCTGTCACCTTCACCCCTTCCCAGAAATTTCCCACAGCTCCAATAGTGGAAGCAGGGCTTATCTCATAACAAGTACTTACTCTGAATCCCATGTCCATGTCGGCATAGCTACTGGCATCTCCTTCTTCCTCCTGCCCGCAAATGACTTTTATCGCACCGTTCAGAGTACAAAATGTTCAGTTACCGTATTCTCCGGACTATAAGCCGCTACTTCTTTCCCACGCTTTGAACCGTGCGGCTTATAATGAGGTGCGGCTTTACTGAAGATTTTCCTTCACCTGCCACCAGGGGGCGCTTTAGCAGGAAGTGGAAAGTGGAAATCAAAGAAAGTGCTCATTTTAATTTAGCACATGCAAGCAGCCGGCACGACGAAGAATCTGTTTCATATCCATACCCCCTCATCCTGGTAACTACACGTGTGAGTTCATATGATGCCGCATTTAAGTTGAAGGCCATCGATCTGACAGTAATGGAGGGAAACAGTGCTGCCGCACGTAAGCTTGGCATGAATGAATCCATGGTTCGGCGCTGGAGACGGCAGCGGGAAGAACTCATTCAAGCCAGCTTCACCCGGGGATGATGACAGCAACACGGACAGCGACACTGACATCACCACAGAAAAGGTATGTGACGAAGCTCTTCTGAGGCTGTTCAGCTCCGACACTGAAGAAGAGGACTTTAATGGCTTTAGTGCGCAAGAGGAAGATGAGAGCGAATGACTTCTTCTGGTAGGCAAGTGTGTTTTATTTACTAACCAGGCATGTTTTGTGTGCAGTTTTTATTTTCTAATCATCCGGGGCTTATTAATGCTGTGTCAGCGCTGTTCTTTTCTTCTAAACATGCAAATTACCGGTAATAACGTGTCAGTGCTGTTTTTATTTTATAATCATCCAGAAATATGAATGCTATCAGCGCGGTTTTCTTTTCTAAACTTGCAGGCACGTTCACCCGTGTTTAAAATGTGTTTTGTTGAATTAAAGCAACGAAAAACCTCCGTGTAGCGTCTTTCTGTCTAATTATCTTATGTTATGGCCGAACATGCGCTGTGCGCCGGAGACCTGCATGTGGCTGCTGCGCCGCGGCTTGTATTCGAGTGTGGCGTGTGTGTGTAAAAAACCTTTTCTTTGATGGTGCGGCTTATATTGAGGTGCGCTCTATAGTCCGGAAATTACGGTACTTCCAGAGTTTCAAACCTTACTGTTGGTTCTTCCTGATTCTGAAATCTTCGCTCAGGTTCTTTGTAACCCAAAGGAGCATCAAAATCCACCTGAGGAACAAAGTTACAAACAAATCACTAAAGCACGAACGCAACAAAACAGTTTCCTTTTGTTTGAGATAAGAATGAAGACCTCACGTTCATATCACACTCGATGATGGACACCGCTTTATCTGGTTTGGTCTCCATAACTCGCAACTCATAGATCTATAACACAAAAACAGAATAAGTAGCAGCAGTGCTGAATGAAAGCAAATATTAAAAATAGATAAATTTACCTTTTCATTGTAGTTTATGGCTATGACATCACCGGTTGTCAAACAAGCAAAGTTTCTTAGTGCATTCTCCAGGCTGAAACAATGGTGGGACTTAGTTAAATGGGTCAGCTAATTATGATAAAACAAGTCACACCTGTCCAGATATTATTTCTTACACTGCTTTTGGGTTTGTGATGTCCAGGAAGTCAGGACTCTGTGGCTGGAACTTTGAATAGGTGGCCACCATGAGGTTTACACTTTCTACCTGGACCAGACCGCCTTCCTCCAAGAGGAGATTCTGCATCATCTACAAACAAATATAAGCAATAATGTGTGTACTGTTTTGCTTTACGCAACGTAGCTCAGACAAAAGTGTAATTTTTATTTCTGACCCAGTGTGGAAGGTAACAGATTCCTTCATCTGCCACAAACTCCAGAACACCACAGTGTGTCATTCTGTCAGAGTTTTTGTTGGTCAACTTGAACAGCATTGGATAAGTGATGTTGAGTCTGCCTGTTGCCAGCAGAAAGATAAAATCAGAACAGGGCCTTCAAAACAGGAAAAAATGTAATCAAAATAATATTAGTTGCACTTACTAAGCTGATCCAGAGCCGAAGGAGGCATTATTACTACAAAATGAGAGAAATTATTAGTTTTAAGTTAGACATCCAAAATATAATATAGACTCAAGAAAGAATCCAACATTTTCCTCTAGAGGCAGATACAAACTATACATGTTTGAGGTGGGTTTCTGATATTGAGGCAAGATGAGCTGCCCAGTGATCAGTGCATGCAAAACTCATCTTTTGTTGTTGTTGTCCATTAAAAACCCGTTGTTATACAGCAATAAGAAAACATCCAACACTCGAACCACTTCGGGAAGGTTCCTCTGGGAAGTTGACTTTTCCTACAGTGGGTCTTCATCAACAATTTTCATTAACCAGGTCTTTTTCTCTTGAATTGTTAGTCAGCAGTATGGATTGTCTGGTTGTGTTATGTTCTGCCTCTCTGTAATAAAGATCTTCCATGCGGATGAGATCACTTCCAGAACCATATTTTTCAAATTGTGATGACACTGCAGCAATTATGATTAAATCAGATTGATTTTAGCTTAATTAAAACCAGACAAAATGTCTTGTTGGCAGGCCAGAGCTGTAGGGGAATCAGAAGTTGGTGTCGGCCTTCAAAACAGGAATAGGTGCATCTCTCAGTTTGGAAAAAGTCAAAAAATCATGAACATTATTAACAACTATATGGCATTTAATGCACATGTTATTTTACTTCATCTAGGCTCACCTCCCCAGATTTCAAGCTGCTTTAGCACGGCTAAACATTCTACTTTCCTCATGGACACTGAAGTGTCTGACTGCATGAAAGTACGTGACACGATCAGTCTGACGAGACTCACTTTTGCCTCCTTTCTCCACATCGGAGCGATCGTTGGGTCCTGCCAGCATCGACACCGAGTAGCAGCGGTACTGAGTGGAGAAACGGTTCGGAAAGCCCCGGGCCATCGGGTGGTCGAATACGTGATGGAAGGAAAACTAGAATGGGGACGACGACACTCGTTTAGTAAAATGTACAGTTAGCAGGTAAGCTTCACTAGACTGCATCATGACTGAGCATTTTGCTCAGCGGATCTGTTGTTTTTAGCCGCTAGCTAGCTTAACTGCCACAATAACAACTTATTTTATGTAACGTCTCGTGAGTAAATAACAAATGTTTAGCGCCTCTTACCATATTGAAAGTTTAAAAACTTTGATGAAAGGACAGTGGATTTTAAACGGCTGTTTAGGTCTTTTTAGGTTTCTTCAGCGTCTGCTCTTCTTCTTTTTCTACTCCCGGAAGTGTACAAGCTGACAGGAGGAAGTGACGACAAAAACGACGATAGCCAATCACGACGTTCTTTTTCTCTCCATACGCGTTGCTAGTTTATTCCACCGAAATAAATGTTCACGATACTTCATTAACATAAAATGATCGCCTGTGACAGTGGACACATCCATAGACGTTTAGACTTCTACAGTTATCCTGCTTAGACCCGAAGAGTCAACACAAGCGGAAGTAAAATAAGAAACCCCTGCGTTTTCCTCATGGTTACCTGTAAGGAAACACGTAGCTATCATTGCTTTGCACAAAAAAGGCTCAACTGGTAAATATATCGCCGCTAAAAATATCGCACCTAAATCAACCATTTAACGAATCATCAAGAACTTCCAGAAAACAGGCTCCATCCTTGCGAAGAAGGCTTCAGGACGCCCACGAAAGTCCAGTAAGCGTCAGGACCGCCTTCTAACCCTAACCCTAAGGTGTAACACCGGGACCCGAGCTCCACCAGTGCAGAGCGTGCTGAAAAATGGCAAAGGGCAGGTGTGAGTGTGTCTGCGCGAACAGTGAGGCGAAGACTTTTAGAATATGACCAAAAAGGGCAGCAATGAAACCACTTCTCTCCAAGAAGACTGGAAGAAAGCCATGTAATGTGATGGTTCCTGTTTCGGGTATTTTGAAAGAGAAGCAGGATCATGCGGAGAAGAGAAGGAGGGCCCTACCACCGGTCCTGTCATGTCAGCAGTAAAGCATCTTGACCATTTATGAGTGGGGCTGCTTCTCAGCCAAGGGAATGGACTTGCTGACGATGTAAATTACTTCATTCAGGGGCGCCTCCAGAAAATGTTGATGGGGTGGCCAGAGGGGGCTAAAGAAACTTTTGGGGTGGCACAGTTTAGTCTGTGGTGATGTATTGTATTTCTTCTTTATTCGTTTTTATTTAAGAAAAAACAAACAAAAAAACCAATATGTATCAAAACAACTTAAATGTAAAAACACAAACATTTCATAAAAATACACATTAGTTATTTCAAAATTTATTTTAAAATGTATTTTTTTTGTTTAATTCAACTGTTGCTGTGTTCACAAAATTATGGCGATAAAATCTTTTTAAAAAATGGTGAGCAGCAGAAACATGTATTTTTTTATTCTGATTTCTTTACTCATTAATTATATTATTATTTTGGTACTGAGACATCATCCAAGAGGAACTCCTACCAACAATCTAACATGTTTAGTGATGTGCCTTTTCCAACATGATGGGAGCATCATGCCATACCGCTAAAGTCAGAACTAAGTGACTTAGACAACAAAACATCAAAACTTTGACAAACTGCGACCAATAAAAATCCACAAATTTTGACAAACTCCAAACACTGACTATGGAAGAATCGGCAGCCAACAGTCAGAATTAAGCTTGAAAGTTGATGGGATGGCACATCATCAGGGTAAATAACAGAGATCTTAGAAAGGAATATATGCAATTGTGAGCTTTTGAAATGTACAACATACACCATGAAATCATATGACTGCCTTTCCTGATTCACTGAGTACTTTAGATTTTTTATGTCAGTCTATGTAGAAATAAGTGCAAAATTTATCATATCCCATTTCTATTTTATTTTTAATTAAAATGTTTTTTTTTTTTTTTCATTGTCATTGTAACTGTGCATTTATGATGTGGTGATACCAGTCTGATAGGAAAAATCAGTCCCACACCAGCCCAGATCTAAAGTTTTATGAAGTCTTATGAAGACCAATGTTGGATACAAATGAATAAAAGCAGCACATAGTCATTTTGGAGTACTAGTTGAAATATTTCTGCAATAAAATGATTTTACAGGTGACTAAATCAACGTATAAAACAAAACTAAAGCGAGTAGTTGTTGTGGTACTGTAGTTACACTTCGATAAAACATTTACAAAAAGTAGAACCCAAGAATGTTCTTTCTAGAGTGAAGTGAGCTCTGCAGATGTGACGCTCCACATCTCTGGTCAGAAGTTTAATGTCCTGATTCAAGCCTTCATACAGGGGGCCAGACTTTGGTGACATCCTGGTGCATTGCCTCAGGTAACCACTGGCAATATGCAGACAACAAAACTGCAGGAGAAAATACAACGACGTGATTAATGACTAGACGACTTTATTTTTATTTTTTTAAAACCAGCTGCTTTCCATCCTCACATTTTTCTTGAGTTTTCCAAACAGACAGGAGTGCGTCCCTGCAGTCCACTTTCATCGACACCAGTGGTCCCAGTATGGCCTCTGTCCTGGGTTGTAGCCTAGAAAAGTTTCAAACATTCAATTCAGACCACCTTGAACCAAGTGCTGAATGGGTGCTATTAGCGTTGGGTACCGAATTCGGTACTTTTTAAGGTACCGACCGAATTCCATAGTACCGACTGAGCACCGATTCACTTCATTTGAAACGGTGCCTCGTTTCGGTACCCGTCCTTCATAACGAGAACTTGCCTAGACAGCTGTGCATGCGCAAGAGCGTTATGTCGTCGGTCGCTGCGAGCGAGTTGTAAACAGAGCAGCACGGTAGAAAGAACGCACGCTAAAGCTTGGGTCCACTTCACTAAATGTGATGGGTAACTGGGTGATGATGAAACCAGCGACAACGATCTAAGTGAGACATCCTCATCTTAATCTGCTCCGGTAGGTAAATAAAATGTTTAAGATAACGTTAGCTTGATATGTTAGCTTCTGTTCTGCTAATGGTGCGTTCGCTTTCTCCTCGGAACTCCAAATTTCCGACTAGAAGAACATGAACGCGCTCTAAAGTTTGGCTTCACTTTACTAAATGCGACGGGTGATTGGGTGAAGATGAAACCAGCGACAACGATCTAAGTGTGAGGCCTCATCGTTTTAATCTGCTCCAGCAGCTAAATAAACTGTTTAAGATAACGTTAGCTTGATATGTTAGCTTCCATTGCTACCACTGTTATCAGCTAATGGTGCGTTCGCTTTCTCCTCGGAAATTCTAACTTCCCAGTAGGAAAAATCAAATGAAAAAAGACGGCAAAAGGAATGAAGATACACAGTAAATTTAGTTCACAGTAAAGATGTTTGCTTCAGTTTAATTATCAGCTTATAAAACTACAAGGACGATGTTAAAATACAAACAGTTGTATGTTATTTATCGTGATATTTATCAAGTATGGTTATATATTGAGAAATATATATATATATATATGTTTTTATAAAAGAGAATTAAAATATTAAACACTAAAAAGTATCTAAAATTGGTACCGTTAAGTACCGGTATCGATTCCTAGGTACCAGGAATTAGTCCTAAATCGATTCAAATGTCAAAGGTACCCATCCCTAGGTGCTATAACCTCTCCAGAGCTAGTTCAACTTTTCCAGAAATGAACTAGGTGATTGTTTACTTTGTGGATCTGTGGAGTACCTGTCAGTACAATTACCTGACTGTTCTATGAAAACTGTAAAAAACAGCAAACATCAGTCTGTGTGAGGGCATTTACTCACTTAGCCCATGTTTTCATCATGACGGAGGGGTTTGAGAGAAGGTGGCTGGTGTGTTTCTTTAGTTTCGGACAAACCTGTGAACCACAAAGCGAACGTTAAGAGAGAAACGCTTCTGTGAAAACATCCGAGTTCCAATATTTGCTGGAGTCAACGATAACTCGGATACGTTTGGCCTTTAGATGCTCTGCTGCCATACCTGTCCCTCAAGAAGAAACCTGGCAAACAGCCTGAAGCGCTCCAGGCCTTCTGGGTACTCCATCTCCACGGCAGGGAGCTGCCAACCCACCCGGACTGAGGGGGAATCAGAAACCATTTAAACAAACAGAAACACTCATCAGCACCTGAGGTCCAAGAGAAAACTCACAGAAGGTGCTTGATCTGTGACATCGGATGGTGCCGGTGGAGGAACAGAACCACGGGGCTGGCGTCTCCAGAGGAGGACCAAAGTGACAGTACTGAGGCAGGAACTGTGGGACCCACTCAGCTTCCACTGCTGAAACACCTGACAGGAACAAACACAAACTCTGGTCTCCACTTTCACAAATTTGGAAGAAAATAAAAAGTTGAGCTGCTCGTGTGGCTCGTTCACCTCTCATGTACATTTTTGATGTCTCCATGATCTCCTGGTAGACCACAAACTCTGGCAGTGTTTTGAACAGCGCAGAATTAGGATGAATGAACACCGGATCGTCCATAAGAGGGGTCTGTGAGTAAAAACAAAAGTGAAAGGGAGCAATGGTATTAAATACTCCGACTTTTAACAAAATCCTACCTTCAAAAGGGTTCAAATGAAGGCAAGAAGTCCAGTTGCCTTCATTTGAACCCTTTTGGATTACCATGACCTGGATGACTGAGAACCTTCACCAGCATAAAAAACTACCTTGTATCCATTCTTCCACTTAGGGTCCAGCATATCTTCTACTTGAAGTCGTCTAGCCAGATGATCACCAAGTCCAGCCAGAACAATCTGCCTCAAACAAACCACCTGATGTTCTGTCGGTGGGGTCATCTTCGGATCAACAAATACTCCCACCTCTGGACACACCGAGTTCACTGGCAGCAAGAAGAAGGGATTTTATTTTGTGGTTCTGCAGCAGAACTGGGATATCATGTTAACGTGCGTTTTTGTTTACCTGCATTGGTGAGTTGACCTCGGAGCTTCCGGATCTCCACCATGGCTTTATACCTCAGTCCGTTGTCCTCGCAGAACTTGGGGGTGCAGCCGGCGAACTCACAAGCACCAACAGCACCTGAAGTCCCGTTAATACAGAAACACATCAGAATTCTGTCATAATTCATGGTTGTCGTCTTCCTCCGCTTATCCGGGTCCGGGTCGCGGGGGCAGCATCCCAACTAGGGAGCTGCAGACCGTCCTCTCCCCGGCCACCTCCACCAGCTCCTCCGGCAGGACCCCAAGGCGTTCCCGGACCAGATTGGAGATGTAACCTCTCCAACGTGTCCTGGGTCGACCCGGGGGCCTTCTGCCGGCAGGACATGCCCGAAACACCTCCCCAGGGAGGCGTCCAGGAGGCAGATGCCCAAACCACCTCAACTGACTCCTTTCGATTCGGAGGAGCAGCGGTTCTACTACGAGTCCCTCCCGAATGTCCGAGCTCCTCACCCTATCTCTAAGGCTGAGCCCGGCCACCCTACGGAGGAAACTCATTTCGGCCGCTTGTACCCGCGATCTCGTTCTTTGGGTCATTACCCAAAGCTCATGACCATAGGAGAGGATTGGGACGTAGATCGACCGGTAAATCGAGAGCCTGGCTTTCTGGCTCAGCTCCCTCTTCACCACGACAGATCGGCTCAGCGTCCGCATCACTGCAGACGCCGAACCAATCCGCCTGTCGATCTCCCGATCCCTCCTACCCTCACTCGTGAACAAGACCCCGAGATACTTAAACTCCTCCACTTGAGGTAGGACCTCTCTCCCGACCCGGAGGTCGAATATAGAATACGGACACTATAGCGACATCTAGAGTTTAGAGGTGGTATTTCAACAACAGAACCCATTTTCCAGTGGCTGGGGGGTTTGGTTCGCTGCTGATACGTGAAGTGACCAGCCATCACCATGCCCAGTGACGAATCGTACAGGGTAAGAGGTAACCTTACGATACCAGTATCGCATCGGTAAAAGTTAACAGATACCAGTAACTGATACCAGTGCAGTTGCTTGAAAGTGACTTCACTGTAACTTGTCATTTCTGTTCACCTAATATTTTAGTTTTGTGATCACTTATATTACTTCTTATCTACCTCACAGTAGGGGTTGACTTAATTTTTTTAAGTCGACAGTCAAGTAATGAAAATCGAGTCGACTTTGACTAGTCGTTGAGGACATCATACAACTGAAGCGGCGGGGGGGTCGGTGGGTTCGCTGGAGTTTTTGACAATTAAAACCGCGCCCACATTTTCAAAGTTAAACACATTTCTTTTAACAACGATAGTTTCTGCTTCAGCCCTCTCCCCCCTCCCCCTGCTTCAGCCCTCTCCCCCCTCCCCCTGCACAGCGGCCGCAAACTCACTGATGCGCCTGCAGCCTCTCGGAGTTCCTGCTGCTCTAAACATTAAAATAATTATTTCATTTTCTGTTCCTCACTTCTGATTACCTTCAATGGTGTCTGTTTGTTGCAACAGCAGGTACAAAAACTAACTTGTTTTTATTTGACTATTTTTCTGTCCTGTCTGTTTATTATCTTCCTGCATCTCCTCTCAATCCTAAAGAAAAACTGCTACCTGGGTTCATATATATTCACCTCATGAGTTACCTTTGAACTGCAGTTCTAAAAGATCTACCGACCGCTAAAACAGCGGGGTGCTCGTCGGCCACATCAGTGAGGTAAAGTCACCGGAGGACAAAACAGGTGATGCGCCCCGCTCCACAGCAGCGGGGTGCATCAGGCAAAAATAAAAGACAGAAAACATAAAAGGAAATGAGCCGACATGAACGATGGCGTGTTAATCTAGTTTCTGAGGTGGCGACACCTGATTTGATAATGTTACTGTGGCCGTGCTCAGGATGCAGATGTCTGGAGCGTGTCAACGATCAGAGCGTTGCATGCGCAAGCTGGTTAAGGTTAGGATGGGGGTGAGGGGAAGGTTAAATTGCAAGAGGTTAAAGGTCACAATTTGGTTAAATGTCCGTTTTACGGCGGGTGTCAGTATCGACGCTCTGGCACGGCGCGTCGCCTCCGCCTCGATCCAGACGCGCAGGAGCTCGTCACCTGCTGTCTTTTCCGAGGACTGCATCTTGTCATTATCACGTGACAGGACTAGTCGATGACAGGCATAAAAAGTCACTAAAGCAGTGAGGTCGACTAGTCGACTAGTTCATACAACCCCTACCTCACAGTCTTTTCCTATTGAAAACAGAAGAAAATAAAACCTGTATTCCAATTCATTGCATTTTTTGTGTGGTTGAAGTATCTGTATCTGTAATCAGTAATGGCGAGTACTCAGATCCAAGTATCGGTATCGTATCGGGTTTGGAAAAAAGTGGCATCGTTGCATCCCTAAATATAAGTTAATCAAATGTAACTTTTTGGGGCTGAGCATCAAACCAAACATTAAAAAATCATCTGTTTGATCAGGCAAACTCACCCAACATGACCATGAGATCACCCAGGTGGAGCGAAGCTCCCTGACCCGCCCAAAGCCTTCTCATCTGGGTCAGCCGGGCTCGACGCTGATTTAGCTTTGAGCTTTCATCTTCGCTACCTGCAGGTCTGAGGAGAAGAGGAAACAAACATTCTATATCCTTTACAACGTAAAGAAAACTTGGAACCTAGATGTCCCATTTTCTAGTTTCCTAACTCAGAAATGCAAAAAGACTAATGATTTCAGAAAATGTTCACCTGTCAAGGTTCTGAAAAATCTCCCGAACGGTCATGGCTGCCACCACGGCGACGACGTATGGCAGGCAGTCCTGCTGCTTCCCGAGAGCTAACATTTTCCCGTAACGTGGAGCCACAGGAAAGGACGCCATTGCTCTGCCCAGAGGAGTGATGGGACAGTTCAGCTTGGACCGCTGCAGCTCTTTCATCCTTATTAAATGGGAGAGAAAAAAAGAAAATACCTCAAATATTGAACAAAAAAGAAACTTGAGGGGCTTTAAGAGATTTAACTATCAAATAAAAACATTTAGTAACTAGAAATAAAAAATATATATATATAATAGTCATTTTCTATAAATTACAACAAATAAGTTAAAAAAATGTGGGACATTTTTGAACCCTTCTTGATGAGAAACAATGCATGAGCAAAAACAAAAAACCTAATGCTTTTCTAACTTTACAGAATTATATATAAAAAAAATTAAATAAATTAAAAGACTGTAACAGAATGAAATAACTGTTTTCCACCAAAAGTCATTTTCCCCTCTCCTCTGACACAGAACTAGTCTGCATGAGATATGGCCTCAAGGTCTCATTCATTTGTTATAAACTGCTTCTTTCCAGCTCAAGAGAAGAATGAAGAATGAACTCTTTTCTTTTAATTAATAAAAGAACTCTATTTTAATAAAGCTAATCAAACAAAGTGTTAGTCAATAATAAGATGTGACCAATCTGTGAAATCAAAATGTTCATTACTTTATTATAATCCTATAGAATATAATAAGTAATATGACTTTAAATGTTTCCACTAGGACTGATCTCACGTAGCGTTAAGACGTGACACGTTGCTTTACTGATCCAATCAGAATCTGCCAGATCTGATGGAGGCGTGGTTATGGTGGTGTTTGGTAAATCTGTCATCTTTTCATTCGACCATAAACCAAAACATCCGAAGTATAAAACTGTGCCCACGTCATCTTTAACGCCAGTTCAAAGCGTTCTAGAGAAGTTGTCGGAGTGGCCAATCCGTAACTTTCCTCTTCAGCCAAAAGAACCGACGACAAGCTGGATAAAATCTGTTGCTGTTCCACCTGCTGCAACGGTTCCTTTCAGAATAAAAGCTGAACCATCAAGACCCAGGTTTGGGTCGTGTTAGATGCCAATAAACTGTCGTGACCCGGAAGTATCTCAAAGACTGGTGGTCGGCTGCTGCGGCTGTTCTACAGGCTTCGGCTCCATAAAGGTCAAGCTGGACCTCTACACCTCCTGATCTAACGGGGACTTCTGCTAAGGGTACGTAGACCGACGGAATGGTGTCGAATGTGTTTATGAATCTCCTAACCAAAGCTTAACGCAAAGACATCACCTTCACTTCCCACCAGAACTAATCGTTTCTTCGGATTTGCTGGTTCTGAGCAACATTCCACACTACACCGTTCTCCGTCTCATCCACCTTAGTTACACCATACATTTAGTGTTAAAGTTAGTCTAGTTTAATTTGTTAAGTAATAAATCTTTAAACTTTTAAAACTTGACTCTCTCTTCTGTTGTCTCTGAGTGAATACGAGGTTGTTATCTAATCCCTGCAATAAAAAGTTCCAATCTTCTGGTTTAAAGTACCCACAGATCCATAAGTCTGATTTCATATTTACTCTGGAATCTCATGTCTTATGGCTCCTTACATAACATGTAAATTAAACCATTACAAGACCAAGGCTAAAGTTACCTTCCAATGTGCGGCGGCTCCTGAAGAGCTCCCAGTGAGACCAGCAGCTCTTCTGCAGCAACAAGAGCCTCGGTAGACGGGGGCGTGGGAAAGGGAAAATTAATCACCTTCAAAAACAGAAAATAACAGATGTTATTTCATGATTTCTTTCCTCTCTTATACACCTTTTTTCTTGGACGGACCTTGTCTATGTTGAGGTCCTTCATCTGCAAAACCAGGTCCTCAACAGGCCTGCGAGTGATCTCTGCCTCTGAGAACGGACTGAAGTCTCCAAACACTGCAGATGAGTACAACCTGCAGGCACAAAAGAAACAAACTAATGAAAAAATATCCCAGTTGCACGAGGACCGGGGGGATCTTTACAGTATGTGTATTATGAAGTATATTATATTATATTTACTCTGGTCACACGTGTCAAACATGTTAATATTTGATTTAAATGACATCCGTGATGTTTTTTCCTCTGTGTTTAATATAACGTATCGTCTTAAAGGGACTTTTCGGACTTTTGAATTTTTATGCTCGCGATTGCCCCCTCAGGCCGAAAGCGTAACCGCAGCTTCAATAGTAGGCTCGTGCACGAGAAGCGCATGCTGTACGTGCACACTCCTTAACGAAAATAACAGCTGAGACAGTCCTCTGTGTGTGTGTGTGTGTGTGCGTGCGTGCGTGCGTGTGTGTGTGTGTGTCGTCTCCCCCCAAAACTACGTCCATGCACTGCTCTATAACCGAAAGTGAAACTCTCCTCCACGCTGTGCATTTCTCTTTTTAACAGTTTAACAGGTGAAATGTCTCCTCAGCCTTCATTAGTGTCTACAGGAGCGATTCATCACTAAATCAAACAAATCAGCTGTGCTATGCGACTGCTGTTATTCAGACACTGCATGTCTGCAAGGGTTATATGATTGGGACCTGTATCCAAAATCAACTGCCATATGTGTATGTTTTGTTCCTCCATGGTGGTATCTATTGAGACTGTTATGTACCAGCCCCCTAAAGAAAGTTCAATAAAAACTTGAATTAAAAAAATAAAATCAGCTGTGTTCACGATCTAAAACACGCACAAACACTGCAGTGCTGGCATGTCAGCTCCACTTTACTGCTGACCAACAGGGACTGGTCCGGCTACTCTGAAGTTGCAAGTGCAGTATTCTGGCCACAAGGGGCAGTGGGGGGGGTCTGAGTGACATCTCTTTAACCCTGCAAAGCAGGGCTATTCAATTCTGGGCCTGGGGGGGCAGGTATCCAGCAGGTTTTAGTTTTAACACAGCTGATCTGCATGAGGAGCCTGATGAGCTGCAGCACAGGTGATTCAACCACTGAATCTAGTGTGTTGGAGCAGAGAAACCACTAAACCGTGCAGGACTTTACAGGGTTAATGAAAAAGGTCATAACGGGTCATTTTAGCACATAATGTGCTCAAGAAAATTATTTAAACATCTAAAAAAGTTTCATAGTTTGCCTTTAATAAAACAACCACCTGATTACAGCGAAACCCAGTCTGACCTGTAGCAGTGTCCCGGCTCAGTTCGCCCCGCTCTGCCTGCCCTCTGGTTAGCTGAGGCCTGAGCGGTCCATGTGACTTTAAAGGACGACACACCCGTCACTCTGTCGTAAAAACGTTTCTTAACTCGGCCGCAGTCCACCACATATTTGATGCCAGGAATGGTTAAAGACGTCTCGGCCACGTTGGTGGCGACAACACAAAGTCGAGTCCCGGGAGGAGGAGGTCGGAACACCTGCAGCCATAAACAAACAAACAAACAAACAAACAAACACACACACACACACACACACACACACACACACACACACACACACACCCACACACACCCACACCCACACACACACCCACACCCACACACACACCCACACACACACCCACACACACACACACACACACACACACACACTGGGGTGAACCATTCTTTTGTAAACTCACCAACATTAAGCCAGGATTACAACCTGATGACTTCATATTTGAATTATTTAGATTGAATTCAACACTTTAACTCATATATTCAGTTTGCTTCAGTGCTGAAAACTAAACAAATCTTTCATTTTTTCCAGACTTTCCTCTGATAATCTGACCTTAGCCTGCTGCTCAGGAGCCAACAGAGAGTAAAGAGGGAGGACATAGAGAGGGATGGATGGGTCAGCCTTCTCCTCTACAGAAAAAAACAAACAAAAACAGTGTTTAAATTTCCCACTTTTAAAAATGCAGTGAAAGCATCGTGATTTGAAGTTAAAAGTCTGTAAATCTAAACCTGCTGAAGAGACAGGCTCATGTTTTATTAGCTTTTGATTTTACGCGACTTAAAGGGGCGTTATGGAAGTTTGACAGCCAAAACATGTATAGAAATAATAAATGTCTTCTTCATACATTCTCCTGCAATGCCCTGGTCCTGTAGAATGAGCCCTGGCATTTTTACTGTGATTGCCTGTTTTTGTGTAAAATCACAGAAAAAGAGAGATGCTCGGGTCGAGCAGGCTGCTTCATGCACGTTCACGCTCAGGCATCGCCCGTAGCATTTGCTATCCGTAGCTTTAGCAGCAGAGAGAGAGGCAGTGCCACTTTGTCGCTGTTCCTAACGCCTAGTGACAAAGCTAGCTACATTTCTGAGGACCCTTAGCTACTTTCTGTACAACTTTCTTCTAGATATTTCCTGCAAATTAGCAACAGAATAGCTATTTTCACTCCGAACCGTTCTTTGGTTTGACGTCGTTTCAGCTGTCATCAAGGATATAAAAGTTACAGATACAACGACTGTCACTGGCGCTTTAGCTCGTCTAGTAAGACGTCGGACTCTCGTGCAGAAGACCTGGGTTTGATTCTGGGTGTGAATAAAGTTTGTTATTTGGAGTTTCATTTTTACATTAATGATATTTTTTTTACAGTAAGACGCCCAAATTTTATTTGAGACTCGCCGAACGGCATTGAATTCACAGATAAAAAAGATGTGGGTTCAACTTTCATTTTGGAACAATTTTTCAAGCAAGGGAAGGGAATGATCTGAGCATGCAGGAGGACTGACCCATCATAAACCTTTTTCGGCTGTGCTGAAGAGAAAGCTACAGAACCAAATTATTTAATTAATTAGCTGCGTGTTCTCCTGCCCTCTGTCCTCCGCCCCCCCCCCCCCCCCCCCCCACACACACACACACACACACGACTGTCTCAGCTGTTATTTTCGTTAAGGAGTGTGCACGTACAGCAAGCGCGCCTCGTGCACGAGCCTACTATTGAAGCTGCCGTTACGCTTTCGGCCTGAGGGGGCGATCACGAGCATAAAAATTCAAAAGTCCAAAAAGTCCCTTTAAGAAACCAAAGCATACGGTTATAAATATTAAAATGCATCCATATAAGCTATAATATTAAAACATTGCTTTGCGTAAACCTACCGTTGTCAGCAGGATCGTCTCCGAGGTCGAGGTCCGAGCCTCCGTCCTCCTCGTATCCGATCCCCGCCTCTCTGTCTTCGTCCCCCTCGTCCACCGGCAGGGCAGAGTAGTTGTCCAAGTCGATCCGAGGAAGAGACTGGAATCAGATTCAAAACGTTTAAAAATAAAAACGTAAGGATGCAGAGGCGAGAAGATTACAAATGTGAAGTAATTCAAGGTTTTGGCTGAGATCAGGAGTAAAATCAGACTTACGACAGTCTTCTTTTGTTTAGCTTTCTTAAACTTCCTCATCGCCTCAGAGCTTTCCATTTCCTCATCTTCTGCTACAAAACAAAAAAGAAGCAAATGTAAAGAACCATTAATCCCTGCTGAAATGCATCTGCAAGTTAGGAAGTAGACTGCTCACCTGCAGCTGTGTTGCTTCTTCTAAAGGGAAAGGCTCTCCTGAGTCTTCTGCAGAGACTGTGAACCTCAGCCTGACCAGTCAGAAACGCCAGGATCCCACCTGAGTGACAGAAACAAGACAGGAATCGTGTCTGTGAGGTCCAGGTACCGATTTACACTAAAACAAACCTGGAGGCAGCATCCGGTGGATTTTGCAGATCTTCTGAAAGGCTTCTCCGGTGTAATCCTCCAGCGGAGTTCGTTTGTTGAAGTGGATCGTGACAGGAAACTGCCGAGCGTCCACTTTTATGACAGGCGGGGGAATTCGGAAAAGCTTCTGGTTTTCTGTGAAGTCCTCGACTCGTAATGTAGCTGACATGATCAGCAGCTTCATGGGCATGCCTTTCTTCAAAGAGAGGAGAAAATAAAGGTGAAACAAGCAGAAGAACGATGTTCTAGATCACTCTTACACACGGATGTAAGAGCTCCTACTTTATGTCTGAGCGGGACGATCCGGGACAACAATCCAATGAGGATGTCCGTGTAGACGCTTCTTTCATGGGCTTCATCTATAATTATAACGCTGTATCTCTGAAGCAGAAAATCCTGCAATGCAGACGAAAAACAGATTGCACAGAGTCAATGACTTGTTGTGTTAAGAGACTTTACAGCAATCCTCATACTAAGCAAGCATATAGCGACAGTGGAGAGGAAAACTCCTCTTTAACAGGAAGAAACCTCCAGAGGATCCTGGCTCAGTGAGCGGCCGTCTGCCACGACTCACTGTGGCTTTGAGAAGACGGCAGACACACAAAAAATAACAAACGGGTGAACTAGTAGTAGCACTTTGTATGTTTAGGAAATTAAAACATCTACAGCAAGAGAGGGAGGTGTTCACTCACTTGCAGCAGTGTGCTAGCAGACGGCCCCCTCCAGGAGGATATCACAGCTCAGCAGTACGTTCATTCAGCTGGTTATTTTATTTGTTTTATTAACATTTTAGTATAAAATAAGACAAAAGCTATAGAGGTTATATTGTTTCTTTAAAGGGACATTATGGAAGTGTGACAGCCAAAACATGTATAGAAATAATAAATGTCTTCTTCATACATTCTCCTGCAATGCCCTGGTCCTGTAGAATGAGCCCTGGCATTTTTACTGTGATTGCCTGTTTTTCTGTAAAATCACAGAAAAAGAGAGATGCTCGGGTCGAGCAGGCTGCTTCATGCGCGTTCACGCTCAGGCATCGCCCGTAGCATTTGCTATCCGTAGCTTTAGCAGCAGAGAGAGAGGCAGTGCCACTTTGTCGCTGTTCCTAACGCCTAGCGACAAAGCTAGCTACATTTCTGAGGACCCTTATCTACTTTCTGTAGAACTTTCTTCTAGATATTTCCTGCTAATTAGCAACAAAATAGCCATTTTCACTCCGAACCGTTCTTTGGTTTGACGTTGTTTCAGCTGTCATCAAGGATATAAATGTTACAGATACAATGGAACGTCATTGGCGCTTTAGCTCACCTAGTAAAACGTCGGACTTTCGTGCAGAAGACCCGTGTTTGAAACTGGGTGTGAACATAGTTTATTTAGAGTTTCTTTTTTACATTAATGGTATTTTTTTTACAGTAAGACGCCCAAATTTTTATTTGAAACTCGCCAAACGGCATTGAATTCACAGATAAAAAAGATGTGGGTTCAACTTTCATTTTGGAACAATTTTTCAAGCAAGGGAAGGGAATGATCTGAGCATGCAGGAGGACTGACCCATCATAAACCTTTGTCGGCTGTGCTGAAGAGAAAGGTACAGAACTAAATTATTTAATTCATTAGCTGCGTGTTCTCCTGTCCTCTGGGCCACACACACACACACCCCCACGCACACACACACACACACACACAGGACTGTCTCGGCTGTTATTTTCGTTAAGGAGTGGGCACGTACAGCATGCGCGCCTCGTGCACGAGCCTACTATTGAAGCTGCCGTTACGCTTTTGGCCTGAGGGGGCGATCACGAGCATAAAAATTCAAAACTCCGTAAAGTCCCATTAATCTCAGACTAGAAAAGCAAAGAATGGAGGTTTGCAAAATAATACTTCTGGTTTTCAAAATATAATATATCTTTTAGAGAACAAAACTTAGATTAAATAAATGGTTTGATGTAATTATTTATTCAGCCTTTAATAGACAAAAGTTTTTGAGGGCAGTTTGGGTATTTTTGTTTGCAGTTTCTCAAAATTTGGTTTGAACTTTGCTTTTTTAAGTACTATTTTTGCTCGATTAAGAAAGAAACTATATAAGGCCCATAGACTGCTACCTTCTGAATCTCCTTCAGCAGGACGCCGTCGGTCATGAACTTGATCTTTGTGTCACCGGTTGCATTACCCTCATATCGAATCTGGTATGAAACGACCCTGGAAAAGAGACATATAAACACGTGATATCATTTTAAAAAGTCCGTTTCCAGGATGCATCTTTGACTCACTGTGTGGGCAGGTTCATCTCTTTGGCCACTCTGTGAGACATGCTGACAGCTGCCACTCTTCTCGGCTCAGTGATGCCAATGATCCCGCCGCCGCTGGAGGAAACAGAAAGAAGTGACATTACAGTAATTTTTTATGATGGAACTTTATGGATAAACACAAACCTTTAAGTGGGTAAACTACCTGGCATAACCAGCTTCATAGAGGAACTGAGGCACCTGTGTGGTCTTTCCGCTCCCCGTCTCTCCACAGATGACGACGCAGGGGTTTTCTCTCACTGCCTCCATAATGACCTGTTCCTCCGCTAACACAGGAAGCTTCAAACGAGCCTCCTACAGCAACAGAGTGAACGGTACTTAACCAAAAGGGGTTTGGAAAACCCTTTTGGGTAATGTGTCTTCACACACACCTGTACTTCTGGAGTCCTGTCGACAGGGATGAAGACAGCTGGCTCTGAAGGCGTTTTGGCTTTGGTCTCCCCAGAAACCGCCCGTTTCTGTTCTGCAGGGACTTTTTGATCTGACTTTATTTCCTGTTTGATCGCCAAATCTTCAGGAGGACGATCACTTTCTTTAGCTTCACTCGTCTCTGTAGCGTTTTTCACTTCATCCTCCTCAGAAGATGTGTCCTCCTCACTGCTTTCGTCTTTCTTTTGCTCTTCTTCCTCTTCTTTCCATTTCCTCTTCCTGTTTGCACCACTGAGGCTGCTGATCTTCGGACCAGAGTCTCCATCTTTTACTTCCTCCAGTGACCTTATAAATTATAAAAACTCTTTGATCTACATTCTTTAAAAAAACAAATAAAATTCTCTTATATTGATTAGTCTTAAAATTACAAAAAAGCAACAACTTTTCACTCCAGAAATAATTTTAAAATGAATTTTCTCCAAAAGTGTAAATTTCAACTGAATAATTTCATGTTTTTATAACGTGAGATGAATTAGACGGTCATCAGTGTTCAGTGTTTGCTAAGTTTGTGTCAATTATTCCCAAACAGTCTAGAAATAATGACAGAAAATGCATACATTTGTAAAATAATTTCCCAGCAACTGCATTCAGATATTTGTGTGATTCCGTCGAGGGGAGCTGGCTCCACCACTGGTTTTCAGTCACAGGGAAGAAGTTTCCGTGGTGGTCGAGACCAGTGTTGCCAACTGTTTTTTACTGAAAGCAGCTGAAGTTCCCCCTAAAAGTCGCTAGATGTCGCCAGATGACGTCACGTGCTAATTTGCATACGACACAATGACGTCATCTGGTTTGCGTCACCGGTCATGTATAGTCAATCAAATAAAACCAGCGTGATTTTATTAAAATAATTATTTAATTTATTTTTTTATATTTTATTAAAGGGACTTTACGGAGTTTTGAATTTTTTGCTCGCGATTGCCCCCTCAGGCCAAAAGCGTAACGGCAGCTTCAATAGTAGGCTCGTGCACGAGGCGCGCTTGCTGTACGTGCACACTCCTTAACGAAAATAACAGCTGAGACAGTCCTGTGTGTGTGTGTGTGTGTGTCCCGGAGGACAGAGGACAGGAGAACGTGCAGCTAATTAATTAAATAATGTGGTTCTGTAGCTTTCTCTTCAGCACAGCTGACAAAGGTTTATGATGGGTCAGTCCTCCTGCATGCTCAGATCATTCCCTTCCCTTGCTTGAAAAATTGTTCCAAAATGAAAGTTGAACCCACATCTTTTTTATCTGTGAATTCAATGCCGTTCGGCGAGTCTCAAATAAAAATTTGGGCATCTTACTGTAAAAAAATATACCATTAATGTAAAAAAGAAACTCTAAATTAACTATGTTCACATCCGGAATTGAACCCGGGTCTTCTGCACGAGAGTCCAACGTCTTACTAGGTGAGCTAAAGCATCATTAATGTTTTTGTATCTGTAACATTTATATCCTTGATGACAGCTGAAACAACGTCAAACCAAAGAACGGTTCGGAGTGAAAATGGCTATTTTGTTGCTAATTAGCAGGAAATATCTAGAAGAAAGTTCTACAGAAAGTAGCTAAGGGTCCTCAGAAATGTAGCTAGCTTTGTCACTAGGCGTTAGGAACAGCGACAAAGTGGCACTGCCTCTCTCTCTGCTGCTAAAGCTACGGATAGCAAATGCTACGGGCGATGCCTGAGCGTGAACGCGCATGAAGCAGCCTGCTCGACCCGAGCATCTCTCTTTTTCTGTGATTTTACAGAAAAACAGGCAATCACAGTAAAAAATGCCAGGGCTCATTCTACAGGACCAGGGCATTGCAGGAGAATGTATGAAGAAGACATTTATTATTTCTGTACATGTTTTGGCTGTCACACTTCCTTATAGTCCCTTTAAAATAAAAACCCCATCGAATACAAAACAGCAGCCTTTAAAACAACAAGGAAAGACGGCACAAAAAATGGAAGGAATATTTCTATTTTGCCTGAAGAGAATGGAACTCGCAAACACAGAAATATTAAATTGATAGGAATGTATGTATGACTGAATTAAAATGAATTTTCTATTGTAGTTTTCAAGTGCCTTGAGATGTATTCTTCTGTTGTGATTCAGTGCTATATATTGACCTAACAGATAATAAATATTTTTTGTTTTTGTTTGGTTTTGTTGTTTTTAGTACTTTTGTGTAAAAAGAAGCAGGTCGTATTTAGTACTCAGATACGTTACATGCAAACTGTCAATGACTTACAGTATTATTCTGTTTTTTATAAAAGTTTTAAATGTGCTACGTTACTGAACTCATCATAGAGTTCCATTGTTCCTTGAATGCACCACAAGTGGTGCAAGAAGCCATGTGTGAGTGCGACGCTGCCTGCCAGTGCCAGCCGAGCTCAGCTGCCGAAATGCGACAGGATGGCGGAAGGAGCGGTCGCCCGTTATGTAGCTCCGGTTCCTAGCTCAAATAATGGACTTGTGAAAACCCACAAAAGGTTTGATTGGCCAGCGGGGGTAGCGTGATCATGCTGCACGCACATGCGCAGATCATTTTCTTTCTGATCCTCTGGAGGGAAGGACGGTCCTGCCGCATCAGATGCATCTCTAATCTGCAGGTAAAGCCGGCTACAAAGTTGTAGTCAAAGTAGCTGAGGGGGGTCAGAAATGTCACCAGATTTGTTGCTAGGCGCTTTTTTGAAAAACAAAAAAAAAAAAGTCGTTAAGGGGGTCTGAAAAGTCGTTAGAAATGGCGAAAAAGTCGCTAAGTTTGCAGCACTGGTCGAGACTTCTTGTACTTACTGCTTATTTAGGTAAAGTTTGTCTCCTGTTCCCAGTTTGGATGTTGTATACAGCAGTTTGAGCTCAGACTCAGGAAGCTGAACTTCAGCCAGTTTACTCAGGATCTCTGCTCTCTAAAAGAAAACAATAAACACAAAAGTGTTATTAAACTGAATCTAGGGTTGTCACGGTAACCGGTATAGTGGTAAACCCCGGTAAAAAAAGTAGACAATAATAATAACCGTCTTGTTTTAAAAAAAAAAAAAAATCTCGGTGGATTACCGTGGCTGCGGTGTAGGCGCGGTGACCAGCTTTTATGTTTGACGCGTCCGCGAGGTTCGCACGGCGAAATTGCGTCATTTAAACCACCACGCCCCTCCACCACGCCTCCGCATGGCCCAAACTTTCCGCACCGTGCACCTAGAACATTTTACCACGCGGACGGTCGGACGCAGAAAAACATGGTGGACTGGCAAGAACTAGTACGGCAGAGGTTCGTAAATACAGACATTTGTATGATTCAGCTCTCAGAGATCGCCGTGATCAACATGTTGTTAATAATTCTTGGAGAGAAATAGCTCGCACTGTCGGAAAAGACGAGGACGCTGTTAAAAATGCTGGAATGCCATGTTGTAAACAACAGTAATTTTTACTTCTACTATGGTGTAGTGTTGGATGCATGCCATAGCGCTCCATACTGCCCCCTACAGTTTGGGAGAATATTGGCTCACCGCAGAGACGAGCTGCATGAACCATAAACGCTGCAAGTTGTGAAGCGCGTTCCATCCGCGAGCCGCATCACCAAGCGGAAAGTAAATGTGTCAAGCATAAACCAAGCTTTACCAGCCACCGTATCATCTGCTGAAGTTGCCGGCGGCACATGCGCACTTTGTTGTTTACAACCAAAACTTTCTTGAAGCTAAAGCTGAAATAATGGCCAAAGGAGGAGACGGCAGCGCTCAGGACATTTATTATCCCTCAAAGAAGACAAAATGGGAAGTACGGGCATCTTTTGGATATTTGAAGAATGCCGAGGGACAGTTGATAGAAGACGGCTATCCTGTTTGCAGCACGTGCAGAAAAAGTGTTTGTGAAAGGCAGCAACGCTTCAGATCTCATGACACATCTGCGTGACCATCGCCCACAACTCTACAGTCAACGCAAGGCAAGCTAACGTTAGCGCTTTAGCTAAAATGCGTGATCCGAGGATTTGGGTTGAGGGAGAACGCAACGAGTCGCTATATAAAGCAGCCGCAGCGCCGCTACCTGCATATAAACCGTGTCGCGGACACCGCCATGTTGAAATGACGCTATGCATTACGGGGCTCCCAGGGGCAGATAAGAGTTGGTCTCTCTCCGAGAATAATTATGAATTTAACAACGATTACTGCCTGATGACATTTTCCCACATCTGCAAAGCTCACTGGAAGGACACAACCCGAGGACAATATTTTCCTGATATAGGGTTTATTACTCAAGTAAGGGTAAAAAAGTATCTGATTAGAAGGCTACTTGAGTACTGAGTATCATCTGATCTAATATTTTTAAAATGATGATATCAAACTGACAGGAAATAAGAAGTTATGGGCAAATATTGGTATTTTAAAGACTAAAGGGGAAAAAATGTAAACAAATAAACAACATAATTACAAAATAACACATTTTAGGCAAAATTTAGACACAAACTGAGGACAATATTTTCCTGATATACAAGGTTTATTTAGTTGTCTGAAAATGTAACACGTTTTAAAAAAATACCGCGATAATACCGAAAACCGTGATAATTTTGGTCACAATAACCGTGAGGTGACATTTTCACACCGTGACAACCCTAACTGAATCACACATTTACACGTGTTTAAAAAGTCCCCCCAGGAAGATGAGCTGAAATGTGAGTTTCAGGAAAAGACAAGCAACGATAAATACAATAAAACCTTGTTGTTTTTGACTCAGTCAGCAATAAAACAAAACAGATTGTAAATATGTATTCATAGATTTTTTTTTCTTTCCTGTAGAACTTCCCAGTTTCAGAACCGATGCCACAGAGGATGAGAGTTGAATCCTTCACCAAGTCTTTTTTTTTTTTCCAGAACTGTGCTGCTCTGGGTGGCTCCATGTTGGAGTAGCTCTGTTGACTACATGTAAGTTTTGCCTTTTTGGGGCATTTTTTCTTCTAGTTTCTCAAGAAAAACTGTATTTTTTTGGACACTTTACTTTTCTGTTTCTGGTGCTGTGAAGCTTGGAGGATTTTTACTGCTATTTTTTTAGCTTTTTTCACTTTTTGAGCATTTGTTATGATGCGTAACCGTGGCAACAGTCTGGTTTACAATCTGGAGCAGCTGATTAACATTAGAGAGGCTGAAATAATACCTCAACTGAAGCCACAAATCCCAAATGAGCTACAACGCAAGAAGCGTGGGTGCAGAGCGGGAGCAAAACGGAGACAGAGAAAGAGGAAATTCAAACCATCTCTTCCATCGATCATAATGGGCAATGTGAGATTACTGGCCAACAAGATGGAGGAACTCCAAGCCCTTTCAAGGACTCAGCCAGACTATCGGCAGTGCAGTGTTATGTGTTTCACTGAGACGTGGCTGCAGGACCATATCCCCGATTCCAGCGTCTCTCTGCCAGGATTCCTGACTGTACGAGCAGACAGAGATCTGAAGAGGAGCGGGAAAAGAAAAGGAGGTGGAGTGGCAGTGGCAATGCTTGTCAACAACAGATGTTGCCATCCAGGTCATGTTTCAGTGAAATGTCATCTCTGCAGCCCAGATGTTGAACTCTTGGCATCTCAGCCATTGCTGAAAATGCATGTGATGTCATCAGTTCCGTTGTCGCTAAGCTACAAACCCAGCACCCCAATGCATTTGTGGCTATATCTGTTGATTTTAATCATGCCTCACTCTCTGCTACACTTCCAACATTTCATCAGTTTGTCAGCTGCTCCACCAGAGAAAGCAAGACATTGGATTTGTGTTATGCAAACGTAAAGAATGCATACATGTCCAAAACAAGACCTCCTCTGGGACAACCAGACCACAATCTTGTTTTTCTCTTATAAAATATAATTATAAAATTATAATTTAGAGCTAAAAGGAAAAGACAGAATTAAGGTTAAGCACTTACGGGAACTGTGCTGCTCTGGGTGGCTGTATGTTGGAGTAGCTCTGTTGACTATATGCAAGTTTTGCCTTTTTTTGGACATTTTTTCTTCTAGTTTCTCAAGAAAAACGATAATTTTTTGGACATTTTACTTTTCTGTTTCTGGTACTGTGAAGCTTAGATGATTTTTACTGGTATTTTTTCACTTTTTGAGCATTTGTTATGATGCGTAACCATGGCAACAAGCTGTTTACAATCGGGAGCAGCTGATTAACATTGGAAAGGCTGAAATAATACCTCAACTGAAGCCAAAAATCCCAAATGAGCTAAAACACAAGAAGCGTGGGTGCAGAGCGGGAGCAAAACGGAGACAGAGAAAGAGGAAATTCAAACCATCTCTTCCATCGATCATAATGGGAAACGTGAGATCACTGGCCAACAAGATGATGGAGGAACTCCAAGCCCTTTCAAGGACTCAGCCAGAGTTTCAGCAGTTTCGGAACCGCTGGAGGAGATAATGCAAAGAAGGATTCTCCAGAGAATCAAGAAAATGATGGACAACCCTGAGCGTTCTCTTCACAAGACTGTCCGACAACGGAAGAGTGTCTTCAGTCAGAGGCTTCTTCAGTTTGGCTGCAACACTGACCGCTACTGGAGATCCTTCCTGCCAACAGCCATTGTAATATAAAACAACTCTTTGATGACTTGGTTATTATTATTATTCTGAGCTACTACAGCAATCAGTTTCCCTCTGGGATTAATAAAGTATTTTTGAATTGAAGTCTTAACTAAATGTAACTTTGTATATTAGATTATTGATTTGATAATACCAGGATGTACTCATCATTACACTTTGGATCTCAGGATTATCTGCATTTTTCTGATAAAAGAGATTTTGTCTATTCTGCTCCTTTTACAGGAGAAAGCAGCAGATTGACACCTGAGGCTAATTTCATATAATTTACTTGTTTTTATTAGGCTGCGTATTAGCAAGAATCTGCCGATACAATATATATCACAGTACAGATACAATAAGATATACAAAAGCCGGATTATATCTGCAAATTTGATGACTGAATTCAATTGGAAAACTACATCTGGTGTTTAACGCGATATCTTGTTCCGTCAGATTGAAGGCTGTAAAAACTGCTGCCACCTAGCAGTCAGAGTTGGCATTGCACCACACACACAAAATACAGTAAATGTTCTCACGCAAATTCCCAATAAAAATATCGATCCATTACATTTAAAAGTTAATTTATTAAAATAATGTGAAATATCGCAACATTGATGGCATCTATATTTTCCTATCTCTCTAGTTTTAAGTAATCCACTTCACAGTTTTATCATATTTTGTCCATCAGTGAAATTGTCTTATTTGTTAACCTTTTGAGTGGGCCACACTTCAGAGTTAAAAGTTGCATTTTGGTCCCCGTTTCTCTCACCTGAGCTTTCTTCTCCTTGCGCTCCAGAACCTTCTGCAGCTCTTTCTTCTGCTTCTTTGTCAGCGGCTTTTTGGTGGAAACAGATGAGAGGCGAAGGTCCTGCTTCTTCTTCTTGGATTTTGTAGCTGGAAGAACCAAAGCGTTGCTCTCATCAACGCCTTTCAACTGGGCTCCATCTGATGACAACACGTACAATGATTAGTGAAGAAACTGTCAGAAAACAGTGATAATGAATTAAAAAAACATTAACGTATACCTTGTAGTTCCACTACGACATTAGCTTTATCCTGTTCAGCTGATGGATGTGTTTCACTTTGTTGCCTTCCTTTCCAGTTGTGCTTTTTTCTTAACTTTCCCATTTTAAACTTACGTCCGGTCATAAAAACAAAATGATGTTCGTTAATTATAACAAACCTGTAACGTTTCAGCTAAACTGTTTTCCTTATAGCCATTAACGAAATGTATACAACTGAGTAGATTTTTACCAAAGTAAAAACATACTTACCTTTTAATTTTATTTATTCGAATAGCAGCAGTAGAGTTTAAACGGTAAATTAGCAAAACTGAACTCCAGCACGAACCTCACGTGTAAACATGAACGTGTCCGTCCACAAAAACTGTCCGCTAGGAAACGTTTAGCTAAGTAGAAATAGTTCCGAAGCGATAGAAGATCATTGAGCGGAAGCGGTTTGCTTTCATCCACACACACACACACACACACACACACGCACGCGCACGCGCACGCGTTATATATATTTTTTATTATTTTTATTTTTTTATTATTTTTTTTATTTACTATTTTTTTATTATTATTTTATTAATTTTATTATTATTATTTTATTATTATTATTATTATTATTATTTTTTTTTTTTAGCTTTATTCAGCAAAGTGCAAGTATACATCAAGAGAACATAAGAAGCATACATACAAATGAATACATTTAACAGAACATTCAGCCAGGGGGATTAAATACACAAATATATGTAAAAATCTACAAGTGTCAATTGTTTTCAGAGCCTTTTTGTTAGCAGACTGAGAAAATACGGAAAATATGGCATCTTATTACCAAATTTACATTTATGAATATGGAATTTAGCCAAGTTTATTACAAAAAAGACTAATCATACATTTTTTGGAGGATTAAAAAAACAAAATAACACATTTTGCCATCTTAAAGAGAAATCCTTAAAAATATGCAGAATAATAAACCTGCTGAACTCCTTCCAAACCTTTGTGTGAAAAGAACAGTGCCAAAACATGATGACCTCCACAAAAACCGCAGTTAACATTACTGTCTCTTTTAAACATCACCATGTAGTGTTTTGCAGGGGTAAATTTTATGAAGGATTTTAAATTACACTTCCTTTACTTTATTAACAAATATTTGGGGAATCATCCATACTGCCTTCCAGTTGATATTCGGAACATAGCGATTCCAGTATGTTGTGACATATGGGTGCAAAACAATAGCTTTTTGGAAACAAACTGCATATTTGTTTATTGCTGTTACCACGTCCTTGTAAAAAGCAAGCTTTCCCCGCTGCTGATTCAGTTGGACCTGGTGGTGTACATTAAGTAGGTGGCAAATTAAACAGCATTAAAGTTCCTGAGGGTATAGCATTCAGTACCATTGAGAATTCCTGGGGACTGACGAGCAGCTGTCCATCCTTATTAAGTAGTTGTGCCACCAGCAGGATCCCATTCTGCACCCAAGTCTCAAGGAACACACACACACACTCACACTCTGTGGCAGGTAGAGAGGCACATGAGGGGCGGGACTAGGCAGCTTCAAAATAACCAATCAGAAAAAAGACAGAAATGCCGACTGTACCGCGCAACTCTGTAGTTTTTTAGCTGTAGTCAAAAATGGCAACAGCCCAAACATCTTTTTTTTTTGTTTGTTTTTTTTTTAGAAGAAATGCTTTTAGCACTTCTACTTGTGGTTTCAAATACGTGTCCAAGTCATTTAGAACAGAGGAAAGAGCCGCAGCGAACTCCGCCGCTGTCTTCGTTGTTTATGAGAAACTGACCGTCGATGCGTGTGACGCCCGCGACGCTGTAGTTTTTTAGCTGTAGTCAAAAATGGAGTCTGGCGACAGTGCAAACATCTTTCTTTAGAAGAAAGACTTTTAGTGATTCTAGTTGTTGTGGTTTCAAAGACGTGTCCAAGTCAGTTAGACCAGAGGAAAGAGCCGCAGCGAACTCCGCTTCAGTCGCCATGTTTACGACAAACTCGGCATTGTGGTGTGTGACGTACGCTGCTCAGCGCTGATTGGCTCGGTTAGAATTATCAGGGAGTGGAGTTATTTAGACCCTTTTAGATTCTGTGCAGATTTAAACAGAGGAGGAGTCTGGCAGGCCAGGCTAGGACGTTGCTGCAGTCGGCTCGACCTTATGATTAACGACGACATTGCTTGTCTGTATGTTGAACTGACGGCTCCTCTGCGAATGATCGGCTCACTAACGGATAGCAGGTCCAAGCGGCCATCCTGCTACTTCAGAAGAGTTTTTCGAAACCCCGACCACCCTCACTCGGTCGGCCGGACAGACGGAGATATTCCAGGCCTGAGCTATCATTCCTGCCCATTCAGTTCAGAGATGGTAGCTATTTCACAAAGTGTCTCGATTCCAAACCTAAGTGAAAGTGAATTAAACTCAGCTAATTACATGTTTGAATTCTTCTATTAGCCCGTCAATAATGCCGCAGAGCATCATCAGCACTTCAGAGGGATTGTTTAATTTTTTATTTTTTATGTAAAAATTATCTCGTTAATCTGGATAAACAGACTTTTTTGTGGCTGAATGCAACACGCTTCTGTAGTTTTCTTAGCTTCTTTTTAAATGTTTTTAAACCTGTTTATGTTTCTTTTTGTTTTTAGTTTCATTGAGTTTAAATTATAGCATCAGTAGGGCTCCGTAAAAACCCCTAATTTCCAATATAGTCGTCTGGAATTTGCTGTAATAAGAGGATAAAAATGTTACAGCCATCACTGTTTCCTCATTACTCTTTAAATACCTTTACCCTCCAATAAAAGTTGAGTAATAAATCCATGATGACTTCAACTCACTGCAATGAAACAATACAACATACTGGATTGTGGTTATGGGTCTGTAGTACGCTTGATTGAAGACAAAACTTTGAATCACTGAGTGATTCTGGCTTGCTTTTGAGCCAAATCCAATTTGACTGTGAAAACTTGTTGCTGGCCTTGTCTGCTAGTGACTAGAGTAAATGGATTAGACCTTCAACAATTGAAGACCGTTAAGTGCCCTCACTGTTCGCTGGTTCTCTACAAAAAAAATCTAACCACACACATACGAAGAAAACGTGCACGTAAAAAAAACCTAACTGCCTCATTCCATTTCACATGCTGTACATGTAAAGTTAACTGCCTTCTCTCTGCCAAAATAAAGATTTAAAACAAATTGTTAGCTATTTTAACATTGAGCAATAAAGTTTAGGGCAAAAACAGTAATTGAGTTTGCTAGTCAGTCATATTGCAGTTTAAGTCTGCTGCAGTATAAGACACATTATGACCACGTGATTTCTACAAGGCACTCGAGGAGTACAGACGCTTCTCTCTTTCGCTCCCTTATCTTTTTTCCCAAGGCTCTTTGTCCTGTCTGCCCACAGAGCGCTTCTCTGCATTTCTTCTGAAAAACTCTATTTTTTACTAACCATAGATTTGATAAACTGGTCATTCAATGCGATCCATAAGATTTTTTCAACAATGAGAACGGAGCAGGGGGCTCCCACATGTCCACAGGGGACACACCCGGTGGGTTATATGCTGGATTCCTGGAAGGAGTGGAAGATCATATGCCTCTCCCAGCTGTCCATTGAGGATATCGAAGACGCGTGGATATTTGGTCTGATGATCACTGGATTTCTCCTGACTGGAGTGGGAGGATATCTGGTTTTCTGGAAATTTGGGAAGACGGGAGCGATTGGAGGGCGACCCGCACCCACGGAAAGCACCGTCCGTGTGGAGACTTCTCAGACTGGGACGTTACTCGAGGCGAATCGTAAGCTGGACAATGTTCTAGCTGCGATACCGGTATTAGTGCGCAAAATGGATGTAATCTCGGAGAGAGTCACCGGACGGTATGGACAAGTTTAAAAACCCGAAAATTGGCTTCACTGAAGGACTGGAATGATCAGTTACAGACTGAAGGCAGAGAGGAAAATTATCTGAGCCTGACCCAAACAAAGTCGTGTTATCTGAATCGGCGACCAAATAAAACCCCCACGAAGGAATGCAGACAGATGCTGTGAAACCCCCCGCCTTCAGATTGGGGACTTCAGCCTGGTGAGGTCATCAACCTGCAGGAGACAATGTACTCTTCGCTTCTCCCAAGATCTCCCTCCCACCTGTGACTGTACAGTAGATGACCGCCGTAGATGGCTGCTCTCGCTGGGGGAAACAGGATTTCAGTCCCCCCCCCCCGCCTTCCTATTGGAGTCTCATGTTATGTTGTGTTGTCTGAAGTCTTTTGCATATCTGTCTGAGGTGTTTTTTTGCAGAGCAAAGCTGCTCTCCTGCTGGAGGGTAACTCTGAAGTGCCTTTTTTTCCCTCCACCTGAACCAATCCTCATGTAACCCTCTGATCTCTATTAAGGTGGCGCGACTCGGGTTGCGAATGACCACAGTCACCAATTCTTGTCATGTGTCTTGCCCATGTATGTCTGATCTCTGAATTGTGTGTACTGAAACTCTAATTTCCCTCTGGGATTAATAAAGTATTGATTGATTGATATTTTTAAAACTATCAGGTTTTTATTTAACATTTTCGTTGTGGTCGTTGTCTTCCTCCACTTATCCGGGTCCGGGTCGTGGGGGCAGCATCCCAACTAGGGAGCTCCATACCGTCCTCTCCCCGAGCACCTCCACCAGCTCCTCCGGCAGGACCCCAAGGCTAACAAAACCCAGCCCTCCGCCTCTCACCCGGGGCAACTCCAGCAAAGGAGAGTGTCCACCCCCTCTCAAGGACTTGGGTTCCAGAGCCAATGCTATGTGTCGAGGTGAGTCCAACTATATCTAGCCGGTACCGCTCAACCTCTGCCACAAGCTCCTGCTCCTTCCCCGCCAGCGAGGTGACATTCCATGTCCCAAAAACCAGTTTCCTTGTCTGAGGATCGGACCACCAAGGCTCCCGCCTCGGTCTGCCACCCGATCCACATTGCACCGGACCCTTCATGTTCCTCCTGTGGGTGTTGGGTCTACAGTTGGATGAGCCCATGTATCCGGTTCGGGCTGGGCCCGGCCGGGACCCATGGGCGAAAGCCCGGCCACCAGGCGCTCGCTCACGGGCCCCAACCCCAGGCCTGGCTCCAGGGTGGGACCCCGGTAACCCTATGGGCCGGGTACCCCGACTCTTTGAATTTACATCCATGAAAGATCCTCTGAACCGTTCTTTGTCTCACCCTTCACCTAAGACCCATTTGTCATGGAAGACCCAACCAGAGGCACAAAGTGCCCCAGACGACATAGCTCCTAGGATCATTAGGGCACTCAAACCCCTACACCACGATAAGGTGACGGTTCAAGGAGTATTATTTAACGTTTTCATTGTTTAAATTTTCAAAAGTAAAAATGCTTTTTGTTAAAAAGATTTGGGTTAATAATTCAATTTATGGGTCAAACTTGTGAGAGCTCAACAAAATATAAACATTACAGAAATAACAACTGATGGTAACTTTATTCACCTTGATTTTTATATCATTTAATGGTTTGTTGTAATCTGGGTACACATAAACTAATTAAAGAGTGAAAAACAAAAACATTTGAAGCTTTTTAAACAGCCCAACTGTTAAAAATGTCCCAGCTTGGGTTAAATCTGGTCACAATAAGTCACATAGCTTTAATTTTAGATGTTTCAACCATTCATAAATATCTACAGGGAGTAAATTATCAATTGCCCACACAGATCCCAGATCAGATGCTGCTATCCTTTAAGTGCTCATAGTCATTCTCCCTGTGGGAATCTCCAGCTGTGAAACCCTCCTCTGTGGTTCTCTTCGCCTCCTTGGAGAGTGTCTCAAACCTCCTCAGGAAAATGATGAGAGCCACCAGCAGAGCCGCTTGCACCACCACGAACACAAACAGAGCCACCACCGAGGCCAAGGCCAGGTCACAGTACCAGTACTGGCAGGACTCAAGCACCTCACCCTCGGTTAGATGCTCTACCATTCGGCCTCTCAGACTGGGGGGAGAGCTGCAGCTCACCCTCGGGTGAGACACGAGGCTGGACGGCCGGCGACTGATCCAGGATCGCAGGTAGAGGATGCCACAGTCACACACCCAGGGGTTACCGTGGAGAGAGATGGAGCGAAGGGAGGTCAGGTCATCCAGGAGCTGGTTAGGGATGGTGGTCAGCAGGTTGTCATGGAGAAGGAGACTGATGGTTCCTGAAGGGAAACTAGTGGGTATGGAGGTGGAGGTGAGGGACCGGCCGCTGCAGTCCACCTGACCGTCTTTACAGGAGCAGAGGTCGGGGCACGCCGATGACCTCTGACCTCCAAACAGAAGGATGAGACACAAGAGCAGAAGCCACGTCATGGTCATGCCAGCTGCAGGAAAGAAAAGACCCACCTTTATGGTGTCATGTTTAAATTCTTACTTTTCTCTTTGCTCCGCGAAGCTCTTTCAAGCCCAGCTGAGTTTACAAGTGACATTTTCAAAATGTTAAAGATTCATCATTTGTCTCTTTGATTTAAGATCAACCAGCTGAGTGAACATGAAAACCTCCGTTAGATCGTTAGAATAAAATACCAGATTTATCTGATTAGCTTCAGGAGTCTTTCTGCAGGAGGCTAATAGATTTCATGTTGAACGGATCGTTTCCCTCATTTTATTTGTTTAAACCAACTGAAATACCTGCAGAGTTTACATTTCTAAGTGAGATTTTATCTTTAAATCACAAATTGTTTTTATTGTACACTCTTCTTGTGCAAAATATATTTTTGGACAAACAATTGTACCAATTAAGACAGAGAGGAAATTATCTCTGTTTGGCCCCAAAACAATTTCTAATCTGAATCTGGTGCCCTTGAGCCTGCAAGGCTCCAACGAAAACTCCCCCCTCAGAAGATATGTGGAATGTGCCGTCGCTATGGCAACTCAACTCTGTCTCCTTTCCCAGCCTGGGCGGGACTGCGGGAAGGCCGCTGAAACGTTCCAGGGTCACTGCAACCCTTCAACCCTCAATGCTCCTCCCCCTATCCACACTGAGGTGACATGCGCTGCTTATCATGGCTGCAGGAACTGAAGTGGGGATAGTCCCAACCCACCACCCCACCTAGTGGACACTTATGTTGTGATGTCTGAAGTCTGTTGCATATCTGTCTGAGGTGTTTTTTTGCAGAGCAAAGCTGCCCTCCTGGTGGAGGGTAACTCTGAAGTGCCTTTTTTTCCCTCCACCTGAACCAATCCTCATGTAACCCTTTGATCTCTATTAAGGTAGCGCGACTCAGGGTTGCGAATGACCACAGTCACCAATTCTTGTCATGTGTCTTGCCCATGTATGTCTGATCTCTGAACTGTGTGTACTGAAACTCTAATTTCCCTCTGGGATTAATAAATATCTTTGATTTGATAAATGTGAGGTTTTATTTCCAAAAAAGTCACTCAGTCCATAGGTTTTCACTACATAATACATAGCTTCACTTATACAAGAACTCTTTTGAAGATTCATTAAAACTTTACTTATTTGGGAGGAAAATATAATTTAAAAAACTGATTCGTTCTGGTTGATTATGGCTGCAGGGTCTACACAACTTTAATGCAAAAACTCAACCGAACAGCCACGACCACAGGAAACGCTTTAAAGTTGTTTCTTGAGCTCAATAAAGTTAAAAGTCTGAATGTTTAAGGGAAGAATTTTACCTTCAGCCCTGCAGGTCCGGTGGAGACGACTGAGACTCTTACGGTTGGATTCAGAGGAAGAGCGTGTTCCTGCAAGCTGTTCCTCGCTGATAAAGCCTGCTGTCAAAGTATAAGTGTACACACACACACACACACACACACACACACACACACACACACACACACACACACACACACACACACACACACACACACACACACACACACACACACACACACGTTTGTGCTCACTGTGTGCACAAAACATTCACAGCAGCTTGTGAAGTGTCTAATTTTAGGGCTCTTTAATTTCTAAAATAAAATAACAGAAATGATTTGTTTTTATTTTGTTTTTTGCACAAATAAACTCTTTAGGGCATTAAGAGTTATAACACTAATATTAAACCAATTTTAATTTGAGGTAAAGAGTTTTTTATTGTTTGAGTCTCACTTTTTTAAAAGTTTTTAGTAATATACCAACACGTGACTTTTTTTTGCTCAAAAATTAAGCAAACATTAATAAACTCTCTTATCCTGCATTATTTTAGCTGCTCTATCAAAAACAAACTTTATTTTCATTATTATATTCATTATTGCTGCTTTTAAAGAAATCTAGTTTACTTTTTATGCAACCAAATCCAAAACTTTAAGTTTGCAAAATCAAAACAGTGAAAAATCTAAATACATATTATTAAAGTGTAACTAATTAAATTGCTTAGTAAAATCTAATTATTTAGAAGTTTTTGTTATATAATGCAAAGCATTTGCTGCAAAATAGGAAATTCTGCTCAATATAAACGTTTAAAATGACATTTTGAATAGCTTTAGAAGGTAAAACTAGTGATATAACGTGTACATCACAGTAATTTGATTTGTTTTTATTTTGATTTTTTGCACAAATAAACTCTTTAGGGCATTAAGAGTTATAACACTAATATTAAACCAATTTTAATTTAAGGTAAAGAGTTTTTTATTGTTTGAGTCTCACTTTTTTAAAAGTTTTTAGTAATATACCAACACGTGACCAACAGTAATTTGTCCACATTGACATTTTAAATAAAATATAATTCGTACTTATTAAATGTATTTAAACTGAAGTGGCTTTGTATTCCTCTTCTGACTGTCAGGAAAGAGAAGACTGGCTGCAGGAGATAAATATGACTCAGCACATCGAGTTCCTGCAGAAGCTGCAGCTTTGCGATCTGCTGGGTGGACGATGTTGAGGTCACTTCTCTCGTTTGCAACAAAAGGACTGAGGCAGAGAAGCCGGACGGACAAGAAGAGGAGTTTATTTGTCACATTTTGCAAACGGGACACAGACTGAGCTCACAGCCTTCAGGCAAAAATATGTACAGGTCATCGTCACACTCACACACACGCGCGCACACACACACCCACATGTAGGCAGCTTCGATGGCATGACTCACTTCAAGGAGATAAAGCCAAAAGAGAAGCACTGACACAGTATTTGCTCCTTATTTTCCCGTCCTGTAGCGGCGACGAAGCAAACTGCACGTCAGGATGCATTTAACACGAGCACGAGGATTCAGCTTTAAAACAGTAAAAAATAAAACAAACATAATAAACCCACAAGCAGCTTTTTACTGCACAAGCCCTCTCCACGTTAGAGGGTTTCGCACTCTGAGCCACCAATCCGACTCCAGTTAGAGGCCGCTTTAACCGGCGATACGTGAGAATGTAAATGTTTGCAAACGCATAAAAAGCCAGAAGTTGGGTTTTTATTCGATTAAAGTCACCATGGCAACCTTCGGAAGGGGTTTTATGGACGGACACTTGGAGTTCATATACCAAAACACACAGTCGCATAATAGGAAACGATATCCACGTTCAAATCTACTCATCAACCCACAGTTCTTTACAAAACACCCTCACATTATATCCAAAATGTTTAGCATTGAATTATAAATTAGATACACTGAGAAGTCATTTAAATAATGCTTTTATATTATTTGTGTTAATGCAACAGCAAAGGGCCTTAAAATGGAGGGAAACTAAAGGTTTGAGGGGAGAAAATCACCTCCAGCCAGAACAGACAAAACAAAGCACCAAACTGACCAAAACGCAGAGCCCAGGTTGCCACTAGCACTTGATTTCCAGGTCCGAAGGTCTCGCTGTTGCTTGAGGAAGAAGCAGTAGGTGGCGCTGCTGCACAGCTCTGATCCAGGAAGCATCACTGGTCCTTATCGTGCATCTGCTGCTGCATCTTATTCAGCATCTCTTGCATCCTCTTCAGCTGCAAATGAGAGGGAGGAGGGTTACGGCATCGATGCATCCCGAATGAGTCACGTGTTTGCAAAGAGTTAAGGATGGATGATCATTTATGGCTAAAAGTCAGAGACAGAAGTTATTTATAGAAGTGGATGAGATGAGATCTATGTGAAAGGTTAGCTATTTGGATTAAAAAAAATCAGTACAACCATCATATGCTCGTGCGCCACTTATATGTGCACATGTTTACCATACAGTGAGTCTTGTTACTTACTGAATTGGGTTTTAAATTATTTTGGAAAGCCATTTGTATATTAATTCAACATCCCTTATTTCTAACATAATTTTGTGTTGCTAGTTTTGCAGCTATACCACACTACTTGGACTTTTACCTGCACTGTTTTGACACACTAGTTGAATTAAAACACTCATTAGTAAAAACACTCATTAGTAAAACTTTTTTCCAACCAGTTGAAGCCTAAGTTAAACAAGTGAACAAAAGTGCCACACTGGTGACCCAAGCTCCAAATATTGACTAGTGGACCATTTAACAGCATGAATGTTCATTATTGAGCATCAAAAACCCTCACAAGTTAACTACTTAACACATGATCACTAAATCAATTAATAATTGTAAAAAATTACTCTATTTTTAACTTACCATGTAACCAATTTTAGTCGCACTATTCACTCTTTTTAACAGGATTAAAGCAGCAATCTGGAGTTTTCCCTCGTTTCAGGAATTGTGTACGATTTTTTTAGAAACCCATATAAGTGATAAAATGGTGTAATATAATGTAGGCAATACGTCAGTTTGTTTTGCTAACCCCCTCCCATCCCGTAGAGTCCCATGCAATTTGAGCAAAATGCTCTTTAGCATTAGCCAGTAGCGTTAAACATCCGCTTTCGTATGTCAGAGAGCATGTGCGTTTCTTTGAGGATGTACCTAGACTGATGCAGAGTTGCCAACATCACATATATATAATAATTTTATGAATAAGCAGTCGGGTTTGGTGGCAGGAGAATCTCGTCTCTGCTTTTTGCTGATGATGTGGTCCTCCTAGCTTCATCCAGCTCTGACCTTCAGCTCTTGCTGGGTAGGTTCGCGGCCGAGTGTGAAGCGGCTGGGATGAGGATCAGCACCTCCAAATCTGAGACCACGGTTCTCGACCGGAAAAGGGTGGCTTGCCAGCTCCGGGTCGGGGGAGAGGTCCTACCTCAAGTGGAGGAGTTTAAGTATCTCGGGGTCTTGTTCACGAGTGAGGGTAGGAGGGATCGGGAGATCGACAGGTGGATTGGTTCGGCGTCTGCAGTGATGCGGACGCTGAGCCGATCTGTTGTGGTGAAGAGGGAGCTGAGCCAGAAAGCCAGGCTCTCGATTTACCGGTCGATCTACGTCCCAATCCTCACCTATGGTCATGAGCTTTGGGTAATGACCGAAAGAACGAGATCGCGGATACAAGCGGCCGAAATGAGTTTCCTCCGTAGGGTGGCCGGGCTCAGCCTTAGAGATAGGGTGAGGAGCTCGGACATTCGGGAGGGACTCGGAGTAGAACCGCTGCTCCTCTGGATCAAAAGGAGTCAGTTGAGGTGGTTTGGGCATCTGGTCAGGATGCCTCCTGGATGCCTCCCTGGGGAGGTGTTTTGGGCATGTCCTGCCGGCAGAAGGCCCCCGGGTCGACCCAGGACACGTTGGAGAGGTTACATCTCCAATCTGGTCCGGGAACGCCTTGGGGTCCTGCCGGAGGAGCTGGTGGAGGTGGCCGGGGAGAGGACGGTCTGGAGCTCCCTAGTTGGGATGCTGCCCCCGCGACCCGGACCCGGATAAGAGGAGGAAGACGACGATGAATAAGCGGCATAACATGAAAATAATTCTTGTAAAACAATGTGTTTTAGTTCTGTTGCCCAGCTAGAAATGCACGGGGGGCGTTGCTTCCAGCCGTAATCACAATAAAGGTAGAGGTGCTCATGGTGCAGTACATTTCTTTGCCCCTAGATGGTGCCCTCTCAGAAAAAAGTTTGGATTTCTACCTTAAAGACGTGGCAAACTCATTTAATCAATACATTTGCAGCGGTCTCTGGTAGGAATTGACGCCTTGCAAGCTACCCTCGAGGCAAATAAGACCCAGAATTGCTTGGATTAGCAAGGACAAGTACGCTGCTACCCTCTGTGCACCAAAACAGGATTTGGAGTCTTTTCCTGTCTAGCAGCAGTAAGGTCAAACAGTGTCAGCTATAGTTGACTACTGCTGAAACACTGTTACTGACCAACAAGTGACAGAATTTGTGTAGACTTGTAAACATGTTTAGGTTTGTGATGATCACTAGTTAACTTCTATGACACTAATTTGGTCCAGTGGTGAACTAGTGCATTAAAAAGTAAACAAGTTGGAGCCTTTGAGCAACTAGTGACACTTTAGCTTCCTGCTACAACTTTAGCTACAACTAGTTGCACAAAAGTGTAACTAGCTGTTAAAAAACGCCACTAGTACGTGTTTTCTATTTATCTAGGGCAGCAATATTTCAAAATCCCAACTTCTGCAGTCATGACAGGGATATTGAATAAATACACAAATGGCTTACCGTTTATTTTATTTTGGGGATGTTTACGGTCATAAAAACCTTACAAGTGTTTTCTTTTTCAGTTTCAAATCTTTTTAATTCAGATGATTTCATATTCTGAGATTAAATTTGTCTTACTGACTGACTTTTTCTTGTATTGTGATGTATTGCATTACGGAAAGCCACTGCACAATGTAATTCTGAACTATAAAAACACACACATAGCAGTCCAATTCAACTGATCTTATATTTCCTTGTGAAATTTTGTATTTATGTTTATCACCAATATGTTTCCCATTATGTTTCATGATCCTTCTTGTTTTGTAATGGATTAAAAAGTGACATTGCTCAACCAATTGGTAGAGCATTTCTAAAGTCCCCATCACATTGAAGCAATACATGGACTTAGGAAAAAGATAGTAAAACAAGAAAATTCTTAAAAATATGGAGTTTGTTTGAGGAAAAGGTGTAACATTATTACACTGCATTATTTTACCTTAATATTATTATAAGTAGTTTATTATTAACAGAGATGTGCATTTTTGAAATTCTGGCGATACAATACTTATCACGATACAGGGGAGACGATACGATATATCACGATATATTGCGATACGTTCAGTCAGACGTTACAAGCAATTTTTTAAACTAAATTTATTGTAAGAATGTTCAATAAACAGTCAAATCTGATACGTAACATGTTTAACATGAGGTTTCTGAACCATGATGGAGGGATTTACATTTCAATGGTGGAAACAAAACCCGTCGCACACTGCTGCTAACTAGCGGGTGGCGATTGAATTGCACAAAACAAAAAGAAAATACACAAATGTTTGCATGTAAATTCTTTCAAGAATTAGATACACGGCTTTTGAATATCGATGTAATAATTGCATGAAAAAATGTCATGATATATTGCCATATCGATATTTCCGATACACGGCTTTTGAATATTGATATAGTATTGCTGGAAAAATATCACGATATATTGCCATGTCGATATTTTCTTACATCCCTAATTATTAATATTATTAATTTACATTAAAGCGCAAGTCACCCCAAATCAACATTTTTTTGCTGATAAACTATATTAATGACTGTCTGATTGTGCTGTAGACAAATGCAGTCAATAATTCGGCACTTTAGTGCATCTTAGGTAAAATTTAAATATTCTGCCTAAAACTGTCAGTATTGCACCCTCTTCAGGTAAAAACTCTGCACTGCATTTGAATTTAAATCTGCCATCGCCATTGGCTAAGAGGTACACTATGATGTTAGCTGGTACATTATGATGTCACAATGTCATGAGTGTGTATTTGTTAGCGATTCCACCCTCTCGTTCTGCTAGGCAACAGCATTTGTTGCATTTTTCAAACAGGAAGTGGGAGTTGAGAAAGAATGTGGTTGGGGGTGACTTGCTCTTTAAACTAAAGCCCTTACTGCCCCACACATGGATGTAATTTTTACTTTAGAAGTGGGGGGGGGGGGGACACGGGGGGGGGGGGGGTATCTTTACAGTATGCTCTAATGGGAAACAGGCTTCAACACCAATGGTTGTTTTCCGCTTGGTCCTAGAGCTCAACCAGTGTCAATTTAATATAGCGTGATATTGTTTTTGCATGGTAAAAAGTGCAAGGGTCAAAACTTGACTTTGGAAAAAGTGGGGGGGACATGTCCCCCCTGTCCCCCTCCAAAATTACGTCCATGGCCCCACATCAAAAAATGCTAAAGTGGAACGTTTTCATTGCTTATTTCTTGGTGAAGGAGTCAACGAGTAACGGGTTTTAAATCACTGCACACACCTTTGTTTAAATCTAAAAATCAAAAGAGTGATTGTTGCTTCGTACCTCCTCGTCTTTCATTTTGATGAGTTTCTCAGTGTCCACATCTGGAGTGGACAGAGGCAGGATGGGGATGGGACTCTCCATCCGGTTGTCCTGAGCCAGTTTACTGAGAGGAGATGAGGAGAAAGGAGAGTTGATGCTCTAAACTCCAGAGGCAAACGTTTGAAAAGGGAAACTTTCAGACTCTTCACCATCCTCTCACACACCAACCTGGTCATCTCCTGAATGCACTGCGCTCTGTAGTTTTCATAGTGGACGTCGCAGGTCACGTCTTTGAGGTCATGCATGTGCGAGCGGATCAACATGTTCCTCAGCTTCACAAAGTCACAGTGCGACTGATTCTCCACTGAGCACAGAAATAGAAACAACAGCTAATGCTGCAGCACGTTCAACGAGAGGTTATTACAGTAATGAATAAATAATTTATATTAACAAATACCTTCAACAATCCCCCAGGGGTACAGTCTTCCTCTCACTCTCTGTCCTCGCGCCTCCACCACGGTGTTACTGCCAATCACAGCGAACGGCGTGCACTCCTGCATCACACACATGAAGACAGGTTGTGTTTTTAACCCGTCTGCCCGAGGACAGCTGACCGAGCGTGCTGGTGCACATTCACCGAGGTACACACACAACGTGGATGCAACTCAAGAGGAGCGTAACAGTAACCGTTGAGACACATAAAAAAATCACCAGCTGTTTATGTCTAAACTTGCAGCGTTTCAGCAAATATGCACAAAAATCACAACATTTTGAGAGAAAATTTGATTTTCTCAGCTTTAAAAGAGGCTTTTCTGTGAGCAGATCTCACTAAAGCTACTTATAACTAAACAAAAAAGACTCTGTGAAAAACTTGGCAGAGCCTGAGGTTTTTCTAAAGGGGTGAATTTCATAATTAAAGCCGTTTCTGTTCAGGAGATCTGAGGAGGCAATAAAAACTTCACACAGAAAGGTCCTTGCTAACAGACAAACCACTCAAGGTTCAGGTAGGGGTGCAACGATACCACTTTTTTCCAAACCGATACGATACCGATACTTGGATCTGAGTACTTGCCGATACCGATTACCGATACAGATACTTCTGCCACACAAAAAAATGCAATGAATTGGAATACAGGTTTTATTTATTCTGTTTTCAATAGGAAAAGACTGTGAGGTAGATAAAAAGTAATATAAATGATCACAAAACTAAAATATTAGGTGAACAGAAATGACAAGTTACAGTGAAGTCACTTTCAAGCAACTGCATTGGTATCAGTTACTGGTATCTGTTAACTTTTACCGATACCGATACTGGTGCATGGGTATCGGCACCGATACTGGTATCGTATCGGTGCATCCCTAGGTTCAGGTATAAACTCTGTTCAGCTAGTCAAACTAACAATCCTCATGTTCTCAACTGAACTAACTCCATCCGATCCTGGTTTTGTGGGCCAATACCAATTTTTGCCAGTTTCAGTGTTCCTAGAGACATTATGGAACATTTCTGGACGGGGAAAGGTGACCAGGAAAACGATGACTCGGTCGTCTCAGCCCCATTCAACGTTGGCTATGTCAGGACTTGGCTGAGTCGTCAGCATCTTGCGACTGTTTCGGCAGGGAGTGTTTTCACTGATCAGTGCCAAAAGGCACTTAAAGTTTTATCGTGTCAAAGTACACCATAGTTTAATCAATGCAGGGGAGCAGCCATGTGACGTTAAAAGCGGCGTTCTGTAGGAGACCACGATGTTCAGGAAGGATGTCTGCTGCCGGGATTTTAGAAGCATCAATGCTGCTTTTTAAAAAATGTCCTTCCGTTCCTGTTCTCCAGCAGCTCTTCCGATTTTACTAATGCAGCGCCGACTCAGAGATTGTGGGCCGACAACCTCCCAGCCGTCTGAGAAGAAAATTTGTTTTAACGCGACCTTCCTTCCTACATGACTGAGACATTCGACTGTTCTGTGATTATTTACGTTCTACCTTTAAGAGCTACAGTTAACAGACTATATTATTTCTGCCCAATTCCTAATTAAAGAGCAAGTCACCCCCAAATCAAATTTTTTTCTGATAAACTTTATAAATGTGTATCTAATCGTGCTGCAGACACGCGTAGTCAATAGTTTTGCACTTTAGTGCAACTTAGTTAAAATTTAATTTTCTGTCCAAACGGTCACTGTTGTGCCGTTGTCAGGTAAAAACTCTGCTCTGCATTTGAATTAAAATCTGCCATCGCTATTGGCTAAGAGGTACCTTAGAACATTAGCTGGTACCATATGATGTCACAATGTCGTTGTGAGTCTGTGTGTGTGTGTGTGTGTGTGTGTGTGTGTGTGTGTGTGTGTGTGGCTGTGTCTCAATTCAGGGTCTGCATCCTTCGTCGGCCGGTTACGTCACAGCGCCGCGACTAGGCCAGTCCCAATTCGAAGACTCCTTCAACTGCAGTCGACGAATCCGGCCTTCTTTTCGCCTGCAAGAAGGATGGGTTCGGTGTATCCTTCAATGGTTTACATTTCCCAAGATGCCTTGCGGGTCGGACGGCAGAACTTTTAAAAACAATGGCGGACAGTGAAGCGGGAGCTGTCGGAGAGGATTGCGCATATAAATGTCAGCATAAACTTGAAAACTGTTAGGTTAAGGGCTTTTTGTGATACATGAACGTTATTTTAGTTTGAAATGTTACAGTAAAAGTGCTTGTATTGCGGTCTCGGCTCGTATGTTCGGCCGCTCGGTGTCGCATTTCTCTATTATCACATCTTTGCTCAGGCTCAGCTTATCGAAAGTATTTTCTCTGAATTAGCTCTCCAACAGTCAAGGAAATGATTAAAAAGCTAAATAAAACTTCGAGCTCCATCGTTTAAAGTTCCCTCTCCCTTCTGCTCAGCGGTTCCACGGTTGCTAGGCGACGGAACGTTCGCCGAGGGAGTGGCGGGAATTCATGAAGGCTAGGCCTGTCCAAATTCACAGCCGTTAACATCCGGTCTACCCGGCTGACGGAGGACGCAGCCCACGTCGGCCGAGTAGGCTGGGTCCTTCGAAGGATGCAGACCCTGAATTAAGACACAGCGTCTGTGTGTGTGTGTGTGTGTGTGTGTGTGTGTGTGTGTGTGTGTGTGTGTATTTGTTAGCGGCTCCGCCCTCTCGGTCTGCTAGGCAACAGCATTTGTTGCATTTTTCAAACAGGAAGTGGGAATTGAGGAAGAACCTGGTAGGGGGGTGACTTGCTCTTTAATTAGAAATGTTTTATTCCAACAGTCTAATTTCTCATGTAATTTTTTTCTGGTGTCAGTTAGCGCTTAGCATCGGTGAGAACACACACAGGGAAAACCGTTGGATTGTTTTTATAGCTGCTCGGTGAAGGTGTATTCACAAATAAAAGAATCTAATATCAGCAGATAATTTATTTGATGAAATTAGATTGTTTTACATCTCACAAAACCAGAAGTTTGTTTTTTTATGTGTTTTGTTTTCTTAACTCACCTTCAACTCTTTGTCAAGTTGTTTAAACTCCTCATCCTCATCGGAGTCACATTCAGGAAACTGGTACACTTTGATCCCAAACTTGTCTATTTCCTCTCGTACCTGACACACACACACACACACGCACACACACACACACACGCACACACACAAACACACACACACACGCACACAGAGGAAAAGGTGACTAAGGTCCACTAAAATAATCTGATAACAAATCTGTACCTGCAGCTTTTCGACTCACTCTGTCTTTAAGTTTTTTGATCTCGTTTGGTGTGAGGCAGTCGGCTTTGGCGATGAGAGGAATTATGTTCACCTTTTCATGCAGAGCCTTCATGAACTCCACGTCAACAGGACGCAGCCTGTGGACAGATATTCAGGAGAAGACAGTTACCATGCATAGTTGTGAAACTGTGTGGTCGTCGAGTGTGTGTGTGTGTGTGTATGTGTGAGTGAGTATGTGAACTCTATGATGCGCGCCCGCCGTGTTATGCTGGCTAAGAGGTCTGAGCGTGTGTGCTGGGGCGTATGGATCCCAAGAGGAGTCTCAGGTGTGTGTGTGTGTGAGTACTGCAAATTTCTTCTTTACCCGTGTCCAAAAGGAGGTATAAAGTAGAGGCAGCAGTGGACTCTGTTATCCTGGATGTTCTTTCTGTTCAGCCCGCTCTCGTCCCTGAAGTATTGCTCAAACTGCTGATCAATGTAGTCGGTGATCGGCTTCCAGCTAGGGGACACACACACACACACACACACACACACACACACACACACACACACACACACACACACACACACACACACACACACACACACACACACACACACACACACACAGATCAAGCTCCGAGTCTGAATTAGCAGCCATCCAACCAGTGAGGGGTTGACCTTACCACTCATTGTTGTTGACAGCGTCTCCGAACCCCGGCGTGTCCACGATGGTCAGTTTGAGCTTCACTCCTTTCTCCTCAATGTCTACAGTGTGTTTGATGATCTCCACGGTTTGGTTGATGCGTTCTGCAAAGCACCATTACAGAGAAGACATCCAGGAATCCGTTTAATCGGGTCAGTAACAGGCTCAAACGACGGCTCACCTTCAGCGTTCAGTAGCTTCCTGTCTTTGTAGAGGTCGGTGAGGAAGAGGCTGTTAACCAGAGTGGATTTTCCCATCCCAGACTCCCCTGTAGCACAAACACACATGCATGCTCAAATAAAAACACACACTTATGAGAGTTGATCTAAAATCATAAACAAAAGCACTCAGACAAACCCCGAAATAAATTCTCACGTACTCAATAATTATGTCAGAGATTTCTGTAAACTACTCTAAAACTCCAGGTTTTATTAGCAGGACATGGATAATAAATAGTCAACGGTGTGCTAAGTCTTCTACTTTTTTATGTTTGAATGTAAAACTCAAGCAGAAGCTGACCTGCAACCATCAGAGTGAAATCAAAACCCTTCTTCACAGACTTCCTGTGGACCTGGTTGGGCAGAGTGGCAAAGCCCACGTACTGTTTTTCCTGAGACATTAAAGAGGCAAGAGCAGTGTTAGCATTCAGACCGATCATCGTCTAATTCTGTTTTATTGACAGTGATGTCTAAAATTATTGCAGTGTTAAATAAATCTAAACATATTCTAACTGGGAAATCATTATTACTCTTATCCCAATCATTAGTACTTCCTCATATGACTGTATTGTACTGTCTGGAGGTCTGGGCTAACACTTACAAATCTCACATAAAACCCATAGTTTCACTACAGAAAAGAGCAATAAGAGTAATTACCAACTCCTATTACCACGCACCAAAATACATTTACAGACCTGGTCAAACAACAAACAGCACAAGTACTCTATAAAGTACAAAATAAAATATTTCCGGATTGTATTCAGAAGCTATTCCAGGTCAAAGAAACTCAGTAACTAAGGGGGAAGGACAATTTGTCAGAGAGAAAGTAAGAACAAATGTTATAAGTCAGAGTTGCACAAGAGTAGGAGTCAAATTACGGAATAACTTGGAGACTAGGATCAGGACATGTAAAACTGTTAAATCATTAAAAAAAATGTACGTCAAGAAGATGACGTCATACTACCATAATGACCGTATGTGAGCTAGTGTATCTGATAGATGTGAATGAAAATGTAATGTTCTTGCACAAGTTATAGTATTTAAATCTCTGTTTTGATCATTGTCATACATTGACTTATTAAGATTATTGGTAGTTTTCTATAGTTCTGTCTTTAGTTCTGGGTATTTTTCCTCTTGCTGAATTATGGTTGTTGTTGCTCAATATATTTCAATTATTATTATCATCAGGGATGTGTATTTTTGAAATTCTGGCGATACGATACATATCACGATACAGGGGAGACGATACGATATATCATGATATATTGCGATACATTCAGTCAGACGTTACAAGCAATTTTTTTACTGAATTTATTGTAAGAATGTTCAATAAACAGTCCAAACTGATACATAACATGTTTAACATGAGGTATCTGAACCATGATGGAGGGATTTACATTTCAATGGTGGAAACAAAACCTGTTGCACACTGCTGTCAACTAGTGGGTCGCGATTGAATTGCACAAAATGAAAAGAAAATACACAAATGTTTGCATGTTTGCATTCTTTCAAGAATTAGTTACACGGCTTTTGAATATCGATGTAATAATCACAGGAAAAAATATCACGATATATTGCCATATCGATATTTCCGATACACGGCTTTTGAATATCGATATGATATTGCTGCGAAAAATATCGCGATTTATTGCCATATCGATATTTTCTTACATCCCTAATTATCATAATTATTATTTTGATCTCACTCTCATTTTTATTATTACATGACTTTTATCTTATTGTCATTTCTTTTTTTCTTTTTTTTGAGAAGTAATGTGATGGAGTAACAAGCATTGGCATAAAAAGCTAGGCTTCAGCCTACACCTTTTTGGTTACTATAATCGAGATTATGTATTACTGTGTTCTTTCTTTTCCTTTTGAATGACCAAAAATGTTGAATAAAAATAAATAAATAAAAACAAATATGCTGATAAATTGTCTTTTTTAATAGACGAGTGTCAGCTATCAAAAAGTGTTCACTGAATTTTTTGATTTTTTTAAAATAAAAAATAATTTTCAGATTATTAAGGGAAACTAAAGCTGATATTTACATCTAAAAAGATTTTTCTTCAAGACGTCCACATCTTAACTTGCTGTAAGAGTTAACTCTGCACACTGAAAGATGCATTTACTCCCTGTACGACACATTTTACACTTCATGTGAGCAAACTTCTGTTCTATTCCTGTTCTTTCATGCATTCAGACTAAACGTTTTAAAAATAAAACTTTAATAAACACATTGTTTCTGTACACAAAGGGAGAAACTGGTTCTTCAGCTCTAAGAGTCGCTCTGAATCAGATCTCTTGTTTCTGTAAGCTCAGGTAAGAAAAAGATTAAAGGAGCCTTTGTGTTTCTTGTCAGTACTTTTAGATTTGATGTAATCCTCTCACACACACACACACACACACATGCACACACACACAGACAGACAGACACACAAACATAAACACACGCACACACACAGTGCTTTATTCATGCATCTCTTCATACATTCAGTTTTGGTCTGAGCACAAAAGAACGTCACATGACCAGCAGCTCTGTCTGATATCAGCTCATTCTTCTTGAGAACTTTATTGTGAAATTTGTTCTCACACTTTTTGATTTTGCAGAAGGACGTTGCACACAGGCAGTTGCAACTTGTGCATTTTCCATTGCACACAACCTGTCGCAGGTTAGTTGTGATGGCATGCACTCAGACAGTGGACATGATAACGAGGAGTTAGGTGGTCTGAGCTACGGTTAGCTTAGCTTGGCTGCTGCTAAATCTTAAAACTAGAAAAGAAAACACAGTTTGATCATTTAATTTATTTCAAACCAAATAGAAATAAAAATATAACTAACAGGTTACCCGTCCATTTATACACACGTGATCTCAGAATCACATGTTCACCAAAAAGTCTGCATAACCAATTAAGTCTGACCGTTTGATTATTTCTGCTTTGCATTCCATAAATTTTGCACTAAATTATTTTATACATAAGTTCAAAGAATTTCCCCCAATAATAAAAGAACAAAAGGTTGAAAACAGAAACAGACACTAAATGATTTTTATGTGATGCAATAAAAATTCCCACAACAGACAGAAAATCTACGAGCGTGGAAAAAAGTCAGCGTTCCTCCTAAAGCAGCGGAGAGTAACCAGCGCCCCGGACTTTCCTCTCGGTGTTATGAAGAAACACAAAAAGAGCCATGAGACACCAGCCAGTCATTGTTGCTGCATCTGTCAAAACGTCATCTCCATGTGTGGAAATAAGCACACACACTCCAGCCCCGTCGAGAGCATTCTCTCACTCTCACACACACACACACACACACACACACACACACACACACACACACACACACACACACACACACACACACACACACACACACACACACACACACACACACACACACACACACACACACACACACACACACACACACACACACACACACACACACACACACACACAGAAGCTACATTCAACAGACCTGAAAAGCTCTTTTTTTACTATCCAAACACACACCGAGAGTCCTCGTGTGTGGTTATAACTCGTCACGGACATTTCTGATGCCTCCCTTGCGTGACAATCACATAAACATAAAAGAATATGGAGTGATGGAAGACAAAATGCTGCAGAAATGTACCAATCAGCAATGAATCTGACATAACAAGTTGGTTCTGAGCTGAATTACCTTCACTGAAACTCTGAAAATAGTAGTGTGAGAGAGTGAAGGTCAAACCCGCGCAGAGCTCCTTACTGTTTTTGTTGTGAATATGTAAAAATTCCTGACTTTTTCCACACTTTCCCATGTTTTTCCTCAACCTCTTTACCTTCTGTCTGGCAGTTCTCACTCGTGGGCACAGAAGCCTTTCCACCAGTTTTTCTTGCAGCATGATGGCATCCATCCTAAACCGCTCCAACAGTGATGGACCAAAATAGCCACGGGTCTCAGAGAGTTGAAAAAGTAACCCAGCAGAAAACCGAGAAGGGGAGAGAAAAAAGCAAATCCGAAGGCTTAGACGCTGGATAAACTCGCTTCCATAAACCGCTCTCCTCAAATCGGTCCGCCCTGCTCTCCCTGTTCCTTCATTTGTTTTTCCCAGCCCTGTCTCTTTGTTTATTTCTCTTTTCTCTACCCTACAGCGGTCCCGCTCTCCCTGTTCAGACAGGTATGAAGAAATTTTCCCTGCAGAAGGGAGAGGGAGTGAAAGAGAGGCGGCAATTTGAGGGAGGAAACAAGGGAGGGATGGAAGAGGCGAACGTCTTAAGGAGACCCATTCATTCAGTTTGCATTCCCTCCCCCGGATGAAAAATAAAACTGCTCTTGGAGAAATGAGCTCAGGAAGAAAAACGTGAAACTGTCCAGAACTTGCTTGAACTTGAGCACAACAAATGCTGTGATGTCACAAACGCTGCAAGTACAGACAAAAGCAGCGAGGTTATCAGAAAATGAACTTGTCAGCCAGCATGATCGCTCTGTGTGTTCCAACTCGTACCTAAAAGTGACAAAAAGGGTCTGTTTCACGTCAAGGTGACTGACAACCAGTGGAAAAAGTACCTTAAAGGTACTGAAATGATCACAAACAGAAACTTAGGTCAAACTAAAGTAAACACATCAAAAGATAGAAGTCAATGTCAAGTTTATTTATAAAGCACATTTCCAACAATCAGAGACTGCACAAGGTGCTGCACATAGACAAGCAGTAAATAAAATGATAAAACACTGAGAGCCTTCCAGTAGACCCTAAAATTACTTAACTATAAAATCAGTTAAAAGCGAGGGTAAAAAGGTAGATTTTTAAAAGAGACTTAAACGCAGAAAGACTGTCAGCAGACCTAATCTGTAGGGGAAGGCTGTTCCAGAGCTTGGGAGCGGCCACAGAAAAGGCTCTGTCGCCTCTGGACTTCAGCCTAGACTTGGGAACCGATAAAAGATGTGGAGAGGATGATCGGAGGTTTCGTTTGGGGACACGAGCGTTTAAAAGTTCCAACAGATAAGGAGGGGCCAAATTGTGTTGTGCCTTAAAACAGATCAGTAGCATTTTAAATTGAATCCTGTAAGTGATCGGGAGCCAGTGAAGAGCTTGTAAGACCGGTGTTATGTGATCCCTGCGCCTCCTACCTGTCAGCAAGCGGGCTGCCGCATTCTGAGCCACCTGCAAGCGGTGAAGTGACGACTGCTCCAGTCCACGATAAAGAGAGCTGCAGTAGTCGAGTCTCGACGTGACTAGCAGGTGTATAACCTTTTCCAAGTCTTTGAGTGGTAAATAGGGCTTGACTTTACTAAGAACACGCTCTGGACCACAGAACTTATCTGTTTATCAAGTTTAAAATGGCCGTCAATGAAAAAACCCAGATTTCTTGCCTGAGACACACAAAAGGATTCTAAAGGGCCAAATAC